ATGGACGCTTAAAGATATGGAATTTATCTTCTCGTGTTCACATTCGATATCTCACTCGTTCGCTGCGCTCACTCGTTCGATATCGATGTGAACACTCGAGGATAAATTCCATACCTCCGCGCGATCATGTATTATTCTCTATTTAACTAGTTTTTGGGATGATTGCTTTTAAACAATATGGCGCGAACAATGTTTAGGCACGGGTGAAGTAAAGGAAAATGGCGGAAAATGAAGTGGTCTAGGTTGAACCAAAGGAGAAGAGGAGGAAACCGAAATTCTTCATCTACCTAGAAATAATTGGCCCAGTTTTTATAACATAGTCCCCATATTCAATCCGGAGTCCACAGTCCATGTTTTATAATGACCAAATTTATTACGTGAAGTAGTAACCACCCTGGCAACTGCTTATGTTTTCTCCTCGTCTTTCTCTCGAGGTCGTTCTTGAGGATTTCTACCAAATATTGAATTGACTCTCGGCCAAACCTGTTTTTATTGAAAAGCTCTTTATCAGTGAATTGGTCGAGATCAATTTCTTGCTGTCGGAACTTTTTTACACGTATTTGAGGCAAGGGTGAGTCCGTCATTTTGTTTGTTTTACAAACGTTTTCCCCCGATTAGTGAATTAATCGACCTAGCTAGGTGGATTAAAATTAACACTTAGTTTATTCCTAGATTAAGGTTAATCATGCTTTCAGGAACAGGATCAAATCGTGGGACAAAATGTATTCCGCGATTAGCGAGATTTAATCCTCGATTAGCGCTAATCGGCTTTCTAGGAACCCGGGCCTGGACTTTAATTTTGGAATTCAATTGATGCGAAGACACGGTTTAGCTTTTTGAAAAGCTAGCAACTGAATGGCGTGATATTGCCCATTTCAGAGAGAAGTGATATTTGCGGCTGGTCAGCCAACCAGTTTCCAACCGCGTCCGGCAGGGCTTAACTTGAGTGGCCCACTGAGTTTGGCAAGACATTTTCAGTATTTTGAGCTAACGCTCGGAATCGTCCAGAGTAGGAACCCTACGAATTCAAAAGCGAATGTCGTTTCCAAATTTTGCTGCCAAGATGACAAAAAAGTCTATATTGGTTTTCATGTGAATTTTTGAATCAGTATATGGTGGCAAGGTGAATTGATCTGTTTAAAGTTTTTTATAACAAAGAGGTTAAACAGTTTTCTAGTTTTGGGAAATTCTTTTTTGCAGCTTACAATAGAGTTAGCGTTAGCAACCAATAGTATTTCCAAGCATTTTCTAGGAGAGATATGAAAATTTGTCAGCTCTTAACAATGCTTCGGCGGCCATTTATACGCTTAGGGAATTGCTGCAATGAGACCATAATTTTTCAACCTCACAGAATAAATAGCCTCTGAATCATTTAGTTCCAAATAAGGGTTTTGAAGGTTTTTGGCACTACTATTTTAATATCGAAATTCCTTTGATCTGGTACTGAGAAAGCCGAACTGAAATTAAATCATTTTGCGAGTCCATATGTTGAGGTTCAATTTAATCCTTGGTTTAAATTTCATTTCCCTTTGTTTTAGGTTATGGTAATGTATTATAATGAGTCTAAAACAAAAGAAAATAAAATTTAAACCAAGGATGAAATTGAACCACAACACATACACGTGTTGAAGGCGTGTATATCGCGTAGGCGTGTGTACTGGTATCCCCTGTGCGAAAACAGAGGTGTAGTTCAGAATTCCTAAAAACAAGTAAATTCTGTCGTAAAAATTCAATACTTCAGTACAAAAAAGTTTTTCCTATGTCTGTGATTTTTTTTGTCTATTTTTCTTTTCCCATGAATTGTATCCAAAAAGATACAAAAGCAATCAGCCTTAAAAGAAAGGGCTTTATGGACAGTTCGTTTGCTTAAGACTGTTAGTATACTAAGAACATCCAAAGGCTTTGTTTTAGAGCTCTAATCGTGAAAACCGTTGGCGATTCTCTTGTTTGTCCGAGTTGAATGACACCCTGCTGGAATAGATGTAGGTGGTTGGTTGCTCTAAACCTGACCCTGTTATATGATGTTTACACGGCTTCGCAATCCCTTTGTCTCTAGGAAGGTTCGCCCACTTCGAGTATTTCATTTCCATCACCCCCTGCTTTGAATAATTGTAGGTGATCGGTTGCCCTTAGGCTTACCCTCTTTTATGGTGTTTGCAAGCCCCTGCAATCCCTTTGTCTTCTAAGAAAGTTCGACTATTTAAGTCGCCCATTCGGTTGTATTTTTACTCTTTCATTCACAACCATACGTTTTTCGTTCTAGGCGACTGCAAAAAGGTTAGAGATGAAAAATTCAACAAGAAAACGGCCTACAATTTAACAAGGGAGAGAAAAATGAAAGAAACAGCTTGCCAAGACGCAGCTTCGAGTCCAGCACTTTTTAGCCAAAGAAGCATGCCGAGTGCCCAAACAAGCGAGGCACTTTATGATAGGTTTCCTGGATCATCGAAGCAGTTAACAACTGAAAAGCCTGAGATGTTTCAGAATAGAGAAGTTCTTCTTAAGATGCTACAACCTCCTTCTTTCTACCTGTCGAGGAGTGGCTGCCAATTGCCTTACCACGAGGAAGAAAAGAAATGTCCTAGTTCTGGTCGTGGATCGCAGTGTTTTCGTTGCATAAACTTAAAACCTCCTCAAATTCCAGTTCCCGTGACTACTGAGGCCAATGAAGATTGGAGTGGAAAGACAAAGAATGGTATGTACGCCCCACAACTAAGCATCAGAGATCAACACAACATCACGCACAGGCGAAGAGAAGAAAAAAATGTACAGTCACCTCGTGATATAGAAATAGATATGGATTTATCATATCATCGAGATCTTTTGAAAAACAGGCCCTTTGAGAAAACAAGATTGCTCTTTCCTAAAAATGCATGCTGTCCATCCTGTGAATTTTCTCAAGAACAATTTCTTCCACGGACAGTGCACTGTCAGAGCATATATGGCCAGAAAAATTCAACTACAGGGGATAGTTTTCAAAAGGAAACTCTGCCAATTGATGGAACCTGGGCTCTTGCAAACCAAAAGAGAAAAATCGAAGTCATCACACAGCAAAAATCGAAAAAGGGTTCAACGATAAAAGATGGCAGCGGGTTAAATCCGGAATTTCTTTCCGACCGGTGTTATTTTAGACGAGATTTTCTAGCTGATCAAGGCTCAGATTCAAACAAAAAAACGGGACGAGGCCATCAAGACAAAAAGACTGCAAGTGCTGAAGTGCGTAATGATGATCATTCGGTGGAAAGCAGCATAAATGGTTTGAGAAATCGCCTACATGGGAACTTCCTCATAAACGCTCCCTTCCCTACACAAGACAATCACATTAAAGCCCACCTTGCAGTTTCTCAAGGCTCTGCGTTTGTCCCATCGCGACCGTCACAAGTATTGCTGAATCATCAAGGCCACGAGGTCAGTGAATTGATATACAAAATAAATTTTAAAAAAATTTTACTTTTAGTTATTTCCTCTCAGGATAACGTAACATTCATGACATACGTTATCAAGGATGACTACTTATTATTCTCTCTCTTTTTTGAAGGAAAGAAACAAGGGATTTACAAGAGCTTGTGAGAAACAAAATGATGCTCGCCCTTGTAAGTATATGATATGTTATGTCTTTAAGAGAGTCTTAAGATCTGAAGACGGCGACGGCAACAAGAACGTCAAGAAGAACAATTATGGGTTTAATAAGTAAAACTGACCCCTCATGCATTTTACTGCTTTAATACTGATCGCATCTTAAGGAGCTGTGTCACGAATTTTATCAAAACTGTAACAGTAGAAATTGACACCAAATTGAGTGAGACATAAAAATAATCACTCAAAACGTTTAAAGAAGGTATCACTAACACAGCAAATACAAAACTAAATACGGATGGACAAACTTGAAGAAGATTAAAACGGACTGAAATTGCGGGTTTTTGAAAACTTGTTAGCCTAATAATTTTAAAAGTTCATTTTTATTGTTTTTAAAGTTTGATACAACGCTTGGAAAGTATGTTTTTCAGACATGAAGTGGGAGTTTATCTTTTATAAGTAATTTCTTCGTTTACTTCAAGTCCCACAGTGCATAAGGAAGTGTAATTGGCAATTTGTATTAACACCATGAACTAGAGAGCGGTGAAGGTGATGTTACACGAGACGACTCGCAACGACGATTTTTAGCGCAACACAGCGTTGCAACGTTGTTTCGAATGTTTACAACATTGTTCCAAAGAAACAGCGGATTAATAACTTCCGGAATTGAAAATTGGGCAAAACAGTACCTAATCTTAAGAACCCTTTCAGCATTACAAATGAAGCAGGTTTTTATACGAAAAATGACTAAAGATTAGACAACTCTGGGGCAGATCGAAGTACACGGTTTGATAATTAGTGTTTAATGTTCGAGCCAACCATTCACTAATAAAAGCTAGCTTTAATCCAGGATACGCTGCACAGCATTACTAGAAAACACTAAACAACATTCTGTACATTAGTCTGAAGTAGACGTAAAAGTAGTAATGCTAAAAAATGTCCCCTCACATTTTAAACCAGGCGATTGATTGAAATATATCAAAATCGCAAAGATTAATTTCTCCAGCCTATGGTTGACTTTTTAGCAAGTGATGTTGTATTTATCCCTTGCAGGTTGTCCAGATAAGGGTCCCCAGGAAGAATGCACTCCTGTAATTCTACAATGTTACAGTTTATATGAACCTTTTTCTGGAGGTGGCTCTCAGAAGATTCCGGGGCATACTGCTGTTACCAAGGACTCAGAATGGGTTCCACAAAGACGTGTTCAGTGTGACCGCCAGGAGTCTCCTTTAAATAAGAGCAGATCTTTTCAGCGGCAGCAAGGTAACGAAAGTGTTCAGAGTAATTCAGCAGCCTTTTGTCCGGAAACTAACTCGGATACATACAGTCAGAGTCTCGTTTCACAACTCAAAAGCATTTCGAACGAGGATTTTACCACACACGTGGCCGTTAACAATGAAAGGCATCAAAACGGTAGTGGTTTTATGTCGCCAAACCATGTCTATACAAAATTCAGCCCTCCAGCGAAGTGTCGTTGTCCAAGCTGCCCATCATACCTTTCTACCCAAGAAATAGAACAAATTAATTCCTCCTGCAATAAAAAGATCTCAGAAATTAGAGGAATTCCAAAGAGTTCTTCACTGGTGCACATTCCAAGTGCCTTCCACAAAACGCATGTCGTAAACGATGGGCAAAATGATGTTGCATCTGAACCGGAATCCTTTTATAACCCTAAAGAACTGGCTACCGGTCAGAGAGCTACCTTAAAAATCAGGAATTACTATGAAGAGCGGAGAGTTCTAGTTAAACAAATCTATCCAACTATTCCGGGATCAAGAGAAGATAGTCAGGCCGGAGAGCGCCCAGACCTTTCATATGCTCGTAAGATAGATGGTTTTGATGAAAACCATCATCACCGACATCTTTCGAGTGCCGTCGTATTCCAAGATCCTGTTTTAGAGAATATTCCTTTTCGTGCAAGAGAACGTCAACAGGGCTTTGTTGCTGGAAGTAAAAAGCGAAAAAACCGCCAACCTCGCCCTCAGAGAGTCAGAGAAGACGATCCTACACATCTTGCAGGAAATGGAAAGGGACATGTACGGTTTGAAGATAATCAACATGAGGAACCTTGTGAAAATGGAATCCTTCCGCAAGCAAACCCATCGAGCCATCATGACCCATCGATCACGAATAAAGGATCTCCTGAAACTTCCTCTCCTTATGAGGATGACTCTTCCACAGTCCCTGCTCATCACGGATGGATAAGAAGTTTTAAAGCTAAAGAAAGCTTCATCAAAGACACATCTTCGAGGTCACAGATTCGCAGAAATTCTATTTGTTCAGATTCACAGCCACCTTGTCATCCCTTACCTGAACGAAAGCGAACCGCCAAGATTACTGCACCAATGCTTGATACTCAGAAAGTTCAGAGTCGTGATGCATCATCGTTTGGCGAGATTTCCAGCGAGTACTCCTTTTCAAACCAATTCTCACTCGACCATGAAAAGAGTGCATTTCACCAGTTTGAAACACCACACTTCAAACTGGGAATCTCATGCGGAAATTTAACCAAGCGTCCAGGTTACTTACGACCAGAGTGGAAGTTAGACTCACAGCACCGTTATTTTCCTAAAAGGTTACAAGTTTCAAAAGCGCACTATGAAACTTTGGAAAAACGAAGAGCAAGTCTTGAAAGTGTCCAAAAAATCATTCCATCCCCAGTGCAAGTCGCGTTTGGTCCCCACCAACTCAACATAAGCAGAGAAGGCGTTATAATGGATCCATGTAATCACCAGGGCATGCCCAGTTATGCCGAGCGTCGTGCTGTGCAAGCAACGGAGAGTTCTCAAAAAGAGGAAATGCCCTCTCCTCCATCATCATTGTCCAGTGACCAGGATGGTGGTACCAGCGACGACGTCGATGAATTGCAGAAAACACAAATCAGTGAGCACCCACATCCGATAGAAGACACGAATACCCTCATCGACGACGAGAACCTAAAGAGACACATTGGAGAGAAACATGTCACTTTTCCAGAAGGCCACAGCCTTTTCTTCAAGAGGCCAGAAGAATATGATAACTTTATGACGTCTAATTTGAAAGAAAGAAGATTCGTTTGCCGCTTCTGCTGCAAGAAATTTGCCCACTTCTCAACACTCCAAAATCATGTCCGGACACATACGGGTGACAAACCATTTCAGTGTAAATTTTGCAGTCGTCGATTTGCTCAGTCGGGAGTCCTTAAGGCGCACTTGCGCACGCACACTGGCGACAAGCCTTTTGTCTGCATGTACTGTGGGAAAATGTTTGCTCAGAGCACGACACTGACAAATCATCTTAGAACTCACACTGGCCAAAAACCATACGTTTGCCATTACTGTGGCAAGTGTTTTTCCCAGCCCTCGACGCTAAGAAAGCACGAACTTTCTCACACCAAAGAACGCCCATATTCATGCAAGTTTTGTGGAAAAGCGTTTGCCCAGCAGTCCACGCTTACTAATCACATGCGCTCTCACACTGGCCAGCGGCCCTATAAGTGTCACTTCTGCGAGAAGAGCTTTGCCCAGTTGAGTACTCTTGACAGACATCTACGCCTCCATTCCAGCGTAAGTCTCAAGCCTCATCAGTGCCAGTTCTGCAGCAAGAGTTTCAGCTACTTCTCTAATCTAGCAACTCACATGCAGATACATGAGCAGGAACAATTAAAAGTGATTTAGGCTATGGTCACAATTGGTTCCCACGCAGGCGCATAGCTTGAACAGGGGCACCCAACGAGGATGTAGTTCAAAACCGCTTAACATAGCATTGTTGAACGTATTTTAGTATTTAAACGGTAGATATAGGCATATTTTTATCCCCTAAAAACTTTTCATCTTTTCGGATTTCCTAGCTGAAAGTCTAGTGATCCGAAAATTATAGGGATCAAAACTTACCTTTTCGAAAATTTCAGAAAGGAAAAGGCTCCCGAAAATTGTAGGTGGCCTTTTTTAGGGTAAATATCCGTTTAAAATGGGTAATTATACCATTTTGTAGATGTTCGAAAATCCTAGGAGAAGCAGGCAAGCAAGAAATTTTACAACAAATGTTCCGAAAATTCTAGTCCTCAAATCGAACAGATATTTTCCCGAAAATTTGCCGTTGGGTGCCCCTGCTTGAGAAATGTTTTCGATGGGCATTTATGCCACCACACTCCTTTTTTTTGGCGTCTAATAAAACTAGATAGCAGTTGACTGGAAATTCCAATTTCGAGTATCTAGTGTGAACACTTTACAGTTTGTGCTGGTACCAAGGCATTAGTCTTCGGAGACCGAGTGTAAATATGACTTTTTAACGTAATTGCACCTAATTAGAAAGATTCGTCTGCAATAAGAAAATAGACTTTTGTGCTTTTTCTAGTAATTTTCTACTTTTAAATGGATCAACAACTACTTACTTTTGGGTTTATAGTAAAATAACTTTCAGTAGAGATAAGCAAGCCAATTTAGTGGATTAGCCTACAAAAAAAAACAAACAAAAAAAACAATCACTCCTGTACAGAGCTTCCGTTTGTTTCATAGCCACCGACTCCAGTACTCACCATTTTTAACTTGGGATCTTTCACATCCTAAACATTCAATTAAGATTTAAGAGACTTGCTAATGTGCTAAGGCCTAACCAAAGAAAGCCGAGTATTGTTTCTGTGGTTCCCTGTCTGTCATAAGGGGGAAAAAAGGCCTGAAAGACAGGTAACAAGCTAAAATGGTTCTTAGTAAAAACGCTGGTTTAGGCATGAGGCAGGGTAGGAAAAAGTAGTATTAAATTGTTTTATATACATTGGTAGACAAAAATGAAAATTCACGGATTGCGGCAAATGTGACTTGACCTGCATTTGCTCTTAATCGAATCTGATTTACCAACAAAGAAACAGACTGAAAAATATAGCTAGCAGAATTTATTCCTCTGATTGGTGCAGAGAAAAATTTTGAGTTCTGCAAATGTGTGCACCAATGGAATACAGAAACTTTCCATATTTAAACAATAGCTGTAAACACCTAACTGGAAAAACTTTTGAGGGGACAAAGTGGAAATTTGTGGACAACTCTACGCAAAGTATTGCTGCTGTGATAGTGCCAACTGCGTGTCTCCGAGAAAAATAAGACGTACCAATCGTAGCGAAAGGTTCTGCAACTACCGTTTTGTAAGTAAGTATGGCGCCCGCTGACTTCTCAGAAATCCATTGTTTTTTGTTGTTCATGATTTTGACTTTCTACCCAACAACGTTTTTTCAGTAAGATGTTTTTAAAGTCTTCAAGAGGACTATAAATTATTATTAGAAAGAATAGCTATATATGTTTGAATGATTAGAAGAATCTGTTATTTTAGCAGCTATAATAGTATTTTATTTGAAGAAGAATTCGTTTATCAGTCTATAGCTATACCCAGGCTTTGTTCTTTGCAAAGAAACTAGTTTCAGCTCACTAGGAGTCCATAATAAGAAAGAGAGAAATCGCAATATATAATCCCAAATAGTTCTAACGTAAGCTACTACACACGTGAACAAAGCTGCAAGTTTGCAAACTGAGGGTGGGAAAGCGCCCGCGTGCTAATAATGGCTATACTTTAGCCATGACTACCAGTGCCCTCAGGGGAACAAGGCTTCGCAACCTCAGCCAAAGTGCTTCCCTCTACGTAATAATATGGTTTTATTATACTTTGATATCAGCTTTAAAAGCTAGGTTACCTTCCAAAACAAAACAAAAAAACTTTACAGCAGTCGCTAACTGGCAACGGCTATTTTTTAGCCATGATTGTAGCCTGTTCCTGTTCTCCACGGTTCACCAGGAATAACTTGTTAAAAGTCCAATTATGGTTTACCAGAGACTCTAATGCAAATTTTGCAATTTCTCTTAAACATCATAATTTACATCTTTGAGAGACAATTTTTTTATACACAGGTTAACATTATTTGGATTTTAAAACTGTGCTAAGAACAGGATTTGATGTTTTCATGGACATACTTTAGAACAAATAAACAAGTTTTTATTCACACTTGTACTTTTCGACTTTTTTTGGTCTATTTTACCCTTGATCCGACTCCTCAGAAAGGTACTCCCTTATAAAAGATATGCAGGGATGTGTGCTTACAAGGGTTTGGTTCTTGATCCTGGCGGTTGGTGTGGGTATAGACTTGAAATCTCTTTGTCTGGGACACTGGGTAGGTTTTTGTGCTCCTCTAAAGATGGGGTGTGGAGATGGGCCCTGAGCTTCGGATGCCCAGATAGTTGCCCTAAGTATTTATTTAGTTTGGAGCATGCGCCTATTTAGGTGACGTTCAAACGGGTGCGCCACCGAGTAAAAACCTGTCCTTTTTAGCAGTTCTCGTTACGGGTTTTCTTCAATTCCATGACTCTACCGTCTACATGACGTTGTAAGTTTTATAGAACGCCTCATGAAGAATTTCTTATCAGAAATGTTTTTTTTAGTGATCCCGGTGTGTCACTGTTGGCCGCAGAAAAGCGGCGCTGAAATAGGGTACAGAAAATCACATATTTTGGCCAAGAACAGGCAGGGAAAGGGTTTTACAAAGCATTCTCCGTTTCCCGCGAATTCCTAGGAATACCTTTTTTGCCCAAAAGGATTTTTATATGCTCTGCCGAAGACAGTTTGCATCCAAATTTCAAAACTCAGAGCAACAATTTCCAGCGATTCGAACGAAACTGTTCGATTTGCTTGAAATTAATGCCCTGGGTTTTGAAATTTGTATGCTAAATATTCTTTTTCTTGCCTTCAAAAATTAGGTCTATTGTTCAGTTGAAACAGGTCCTTTCCGATTGCTCTTAGCTTTACCCTAATCTTACCAGGGTAAGATTAAATTCTTTGATACAAAAAATCTTTTTCTCTTCTTCTTTGGATCAGTTTCCTTTGACATAAACATTTTCCAATTCACTTCATTTTCAAAGTGAGAGTTTTTTAAACTCGAAATTGACGTATTTTGGTAGTTGTAATCAAATGACGTCATTTTGGAAATAGCTTATTACAGCCTGGAAGTGCTTAGCTTGATAGAATGTTAAGTGTGGAGGGAGAAATCCTAAATAAAGAACCAAAAATTAGCACCAAACTGGAATCACACTCAGTGAACAATGGAACGAGAATCGAGGGCGCACATTTTTAGAAAGGTGAGAGGTGCAAGTTGCATAATAAAGCGTAAACATCAACCGGCTGCATTTTTCCGATTACTAACTGCCCCTTCCTCTTCTCTTCCTTATTAACTTCCTGAATATTTCTTCGCGCTTTTGATCGGTACAGCGCGTAGGCGCTACCTCCCTTAGTTTATTCCCACTATGGCGTTCCTTTGCAATGAGCTGTCTTTCTTTATGAATTTTTTCCTCCACTTTTGGTGACGCAGTGAGCAGGTTTTGTGTTCTTATGGTGTGAGAATATTTTCCCACACGCAGTGCTCATGAATTGCGGCCTTATTTTTAGAAATATCTTATTATTTCCGCAGATGGAGCCACATTTCATAATGAATACTATGACCCGTTGCCAAGGTATAACATCTTTTCGAGCGCGCCTTCATAACTGGGAAAAGACCCGTTAAGTACATGTGGGGAACTTAATTTACTGCTGCGGTGACTCGCTTGGTCATAACAGGCTGCAGCTGCGCTGAAGTTAACTGTGCTTTGTTTTGCAAATTTTTAATGCAAGTTTAAATATGTTTAAAAGCTGTTTAGCTAAATATTGTTTGAATTTGTTTTCTTTGTGAGATCGAGCTGAGCACTGTATTTTTATTTATAGTAAATTAAGTATATGTAACATGCTTAACCACATTTACATTCTGCGTTAGAGCCTGTGTTTAAGTTTCCCCTTACTGTTTTTCAATTCTTTAAAACCTAGTTCAGTTAAACATGTTTAGATGGTATGAATGGGGCATAAGGTTCAGTGTTCGAGTTCTCGGGCAGTATGAAAAAGGATTATCATTTCTTTAAGGAAGATTTTTGCTTCTCCACTGTTAGGTTTCTATCGGCTACCTGTTACAAAATAGAAAACACGGCTTATACATACTCATACACGCCTGCTGATTTAAAGACATGTACACATAATCGTTTATATAACAAAGCAAACAGAGCCGCAATGAGTCGAAATAATTGCCTTTACACGGAAGTGGATGAGAGAAGTTCAAACCGGCTAATAATTAGGCCAGTCCCCCTTTTTCCACATGCGTTATTCTATGTTTTGTAGTTTCTTGTTGTTTTTAACAACTGAATGAAGATTAAATGAGTAATAATACTGGGCCCTATTGTGTTTGCCAGAAAAGCACTGATGTTTTTTACGCTTGAATAATCGGTTGTTTCATGATACGGTTGTCATTTGAAGGAAAACAAAAACTTGAAAAAGAATACCAGCCAACTTAGCGGGTCGATCTAAAAAACTTTGAAATCTCTAAGATTTTATGAATTTGTTACAGCGAGCTGAATAACAACTTCCTTGATCCGTTGTATTCCCTGACATAGTTTTGCGTATTTCGTTCTTAGTTCGGTGAAGATACACTCCATTGTTTTAACCGTCCTTTGCCGGAGTGGACTTTTTCAAGATATTTTAAAAGCTTGTATTGTAAAGGCGTTTCACGGTAAATTTCAGTGAGACATTAAAGTGATTAGAGACTACCTTCGATTCTTGTAGTATAGAATGATTGTAATATATTCTAGAAGGGAACATTTTGATTCCAAATGCTGGTTTAGCATTCCTAACTTGTGTACTTTGACTTTTATTGCTGTATAAAGCTTTAATTGACTTAAATGGACAGAACACGGCGAAAAATATTCTTTAATATTTGATTTCGTATATACATTGACTTGTTTAAGTTAAAACAAAAAGTGCGCCATCTGCAAGATTAAAACAATCTACTTTATCATTCTCTGCTTATAACAAAGGATCTAATACAAAAGTGACCAGACACTTTTGTCTCCTTCTGTTAGCAGAAAGCTGAATATTCTTTGATCGTCGCATTTTTCTTTTCAAAGAGGAAGCTACCTTCTCGACCAACGTGCGATGATACTTTAATCAAATTCGAGATTCGTCATTGATTGAAATTGTTTTCTGGGGTCAAGCAGACATATCTTGCTAACAAAGCGAAAGAACAAATGATATACATTTAAACAAATCAGTAATGAAATATAGGACAATCAAACAAAATAAAAAAAGATGACCAGATACAAAGAAGCGCGAGCCCTCACAACAGGATATTCGCCGCTGGTCACCCAAGCAGTTTCCAACTGTTGTTACTTTAAGACTCAATTTAGGTGTCTCAACTTTTTTCTGTCGTCTGTTGCTACAAATGGCAAGGATTGACATGGATTAAACTCCAAGAAAAAATTACTGGAGGTCAAGTTTTAACGCGATGAGTATGTTAAGAAATCACCAAAAAATATTGTAGTTGCTACTCCCTGATGAAGTTTGCTTGATATCTTCTTGATAACTCCACAGGAGAATTTTGCATATGGGTAAAGCATTAAATTATTACTTAAGTATAGAGTTGACCTAAATAGCAATATACACGTGACATATAATCCCGATAAGTTGGTGGCTCACTGAGTTTCATGCACTACGAGGGCTTGCGAGATACATATTTCTGGCATTTTGAACTAGAGCTCGGGTTTGGCCAGCGTAGACATCCTCCTACAAATTCTCAAGCATATGTTTTTACGCCGTTTATAAGCCTAGGGAAATTGCTGAAATGAGACCAACCTCAAAGAACAAACTGGCTTCATCAGAATTTGGAACTATTTATTTATCAAAAATCCCTTAATCTGGTGCTGAGTCCAGGTGTTAAAGGCGTGTTATTAAACTGGTATTCATAGATCTATTTACTGAGACAGAGGTGAGGTTTAAAACTCTCTAAGACACTTCAATTACGCCCTGAAAATTCGAGAGTAATGCAAAATTTTTTCCCTTATATCTGTAATATTGTGTTTGGTTTGATACTTTGAAAAGTACACATACATTTTAGTTGTTTTGAAGATTGAAATACAATTTTAACATGACCGCGGGTAGCTGTGCTAATCTAGGCAGGTCATGTCTAAGGAATTAAATACAACTTACAGAGACTAGACACCCGATAAACCAAAAACTGACGTAATGACAGGAGATAACTAATAAACTAATCCAATGCGAATAATGACAACACAGTTATGATATTTAACAGAAGAAAAGGCAATAAGCCTTAAACGGGCTAAACGAGAAAGTTCCTTCGCTCAACACTGCGTTACATCCATCAGATCGTTTCTAAAAGATCTAACGCTGTTAGCATCCACTGAATAGAATGGCATTTTTTAGCACTTTAATCATGAAAAACGTCGGTAATTCCCGGGGTAATCCTCTTGTGTGTCCTATTTGAATGACCCCCACTGGTGTAGATGTAGGTGGTTAGCTGCCCTGAGGCTGACCCTGTTTTTTGCTGTTTGCAAGGCTTCACAATTCTTTTGTCTCTAAGAAAGTTCCACCATATCACTCGTCCATTTAAGTCATTATTTTTTTCCTCTCCTATTTTTTGTTAATTTTTTTTTTCATTCTAATCATGAAAACCGCTGGCAATACTCTTGTTAATGGTCCGAATTGAATCACCCCCTACTGGAATAGATGTAGGTGGTTTTTTGTCCTAAAGCCGACCCCGTTTTATGGTGTTTGTTAGGATTTCAATTCCTTTGTCTACTAGAGAAAGTTTGACCATTAAACTCGCTCATTCAATGTATTTTTACTCTTTTCCTCATACCCTTACGCGCGTTTCTCCCTCCAAACAAAATGCAAGAAACTGAGATGAAAGAGCGCTACAAGTTTTAAAGTACCAAATGATGATCACTCAGTGGAAAGAAGAAGCCACATGAAGCCTTTGAGTCATGGCCTACAGGAGATTCCCCTAATAAATACTCCCTTTAATACACAAGACAATCACGTTAAAGTCCACGTTGCAGTTCCTCAAGGCTCTGCGTTTGTTCCACGCCGACCCTCACAAAGTTTGATGGATTATCAAAACCACGAGGTCAGCAAATTGACAATGTAAATTTGTCAAAGACTGTCCAATAGAAAACTAGTTGCTTTTCAGGATAACGTAACTTTCACGGCGTACTTTATCAGGGAATCGCTGCTACAAAGTTTTACTGTAATTGAAGTTACCTATTTATTTATTTTCAATTATTATTCTCTGTTCTTTGAGGCAGAGAAGCAAAGGGTTTGCAAGGGCACCAGAAAAACAAAATGATGTTTACCCTTGTATAAGTACATGATCACATACTTGAATTTTCATTTTTGATTTTTATAATGGCATTTGTAACACCGATATTATAGTGGTCTGTTGTTCAACCAAATACATGTATGTTGGTTGTTTGTATTAGAAGTGATGGTCAAATGCCCGGGTTTTACCTAGGGGAGAGTTAAAAGTTTCGCTTGATCGGCGCGGTTAGAACCAATTGAGACTGACAGTAAAAGCAAACACGAAAAGTCGCTAAAGATTAGACAACTCTGGAACAGCTCAAAGACATGTGCGGGTCCATTACAAGAACGTTTGATGATTGTAGTCTACAATACGGTAATGAGACCTTAAGTCCCCGTTTACACGAGTCCAGGAAAATTTTTGATCGGACAAAATTTTGCACGGATTTGCCTTTCGTTTCCACGGGACCCTTCGAACAGTGCAAATTTTTGAAGGGCAAACAGCTCCAATCTGTAACAGAATTTACACGGTTCCGTGTAAACGGGTTGCACAGTTAAAAAATTCGTCCGGACCCGTGTGAACGGGGTCTCAGAGTCAATCATCCAGTAATTGAAGCTAATTTTCAGTAGGTACGAGTCTTTCTATGGGTACCTACCCAACTGTCGTTTTCGTCGCACGTTTTCAATTAATTATCGTCGGTTCACAAAGAAAAAGTCGGACATCGAGAATTGTTTTGTGTAGGAAGGCACCAGTTAATAATGAATCCAAAAAAAAAAAAACCTGAAAGAGCAACACACTTTTTGGCAGATTTTTTGCCGTCATCGCACGACTCAAGTGGTCAAACGTGATCGAACGGTAATGCGATCGTCGTCTTAATCTCTAAAAGGACCGGTTCAGTCACCGAATATTTTATGAGCTGAACTTAATCCGAATTTTTGAGGCCGACCCAAATGATTAAGACTAGCTGAATTGATTCATCAGACGCCGATTTTAATTCCAGCCGAACTGAACTCAAAGGGAGAACTATTTTCATCTCTATCAAATTACTTGCGAAATATGTTCTAATAACGTATGCATTAGCTTTCGCACATGAAAAGTTCGGCGTCTGATCAAAGCACAGGTAGCCCAAGCTCGAAATATGAGCATGGGCGAGCATCGGCATTGTTGCGTAACATTCAAAATATAGGGATTTGTATGGGAAACGGTTTAAACCGTTTACATAAAACGGCCATAAATCGGCCCGTGGACCACACAGGAGAGACGTCACACACATTTTAAGTAAGATAAGCTGTTTTTTATTGAAATCCTTTCATTTTCGTAGGTTACGGAAACGATAGGTTTTTTTCCCGTACAAATCCTTATATTTTGAATGTTACGCAACAATGCCGATGCTCGCCCATGCTCATATTTCGAGCTTGGGCTACCTGTGCTTTGATCAGACGCCGAACTTTTCATGTGCGAAAGTTAAACGATAGGTTTTTTCCCATACAAATCCTTCTGTTTTGAATGTTACGCAACAATGCCGATGCTCTTTGAGCTTGGGCTACCTGTGATCAAAGCCGCTGCAAAGTCGCTTTAAAGTCGAAATTCCAGGCTGGAACAGGTGAGAAGAACTGCTAAGCCGCTCCAAAAATTTTGATTGAAATAGGCATTCCTAACTTATTAAGACGCCGAAATCTTCGTGTAGTTAGGTTAATGCATATGAATGTATTAGGTTCGGCTCATGAAAAGTTCTGAACAAGGCTAAGATCGTTGTTTGACTCTGATTTCATCGGAAATAACCACGCAGACTCCCAGATACTGTACTGCACTGAGGTACTTCTAAATGACCCCTCCACTATATATTCTCTACATTAAAAATTCCTGATTCTTTGATGGGTGTTCACGGTAACTGGCCTCAAAAAGAATGAAAACGACCACCTCCCCTTATTATACACCCGTTTAGTAGTAGTAGTAGTAATGCTAACAAAATGTCCCCTGGTACTATAAACATTTGCAAACCTGGAAATTTATCGAACGACGTATATAATCAGTTATTTCTCGTCATCAGTAATTTACATGTTAGTGGTAAGACTTTTTAGCAAGTGATGTTGTATGATTTCCTAACAGGTTGTCCAGATAAGGATTTCCAGGAAGATTACACCCTTGTGAATGCTCACTGTCACAGTTAAGTTTATCTGAACCTAGCCTGTGCCAGGCTCTCAGATAGTATAGTGGGGACGTATTAAACAAGCAAAGCGAAAATACGACGCGCGCGACTTGGCAAAGGGGGCGGTGGCGGCCGTCCCATCTCTCCCCCGCGCCCGCGCGTTTTCTTATTTTTGAACGCCTTTTCACTTTCACCACTATCTCGGAGCCTGGAACAGGCTAATCTGAACCTTGTTCAAGTGGTTACTCCCAGAGAATACCGGGGTATACTGTTACCAAGAACTCGAAATGGTTCTCACAAATCCATCCTCCATGTGTACCCCTGCAACCTCCTTTGGATGGGAGATGTCATTGAAGTGGATGCAAGGTAACGAAAATGTTCAGCACAATTCAGCAGCCTATTATTCGGAAAGTAATTCAGATATATACAATCAAAGTCTCGTTTCACAACGAAAAAACCTTTCGATCAAAGACCTAACCACCTATGTTGCCGTTAACAATCAAAGACAACAAAACGGTAATGGTTTTATGACACCAAGCCATGTCTATACTAAATGCAGCCCTCCAGCGAAGTGCCATCGTCCAAACTGTCCATCATACCTTTGTACCCAAGAAATGAAACAAATTAATTCCTCCTGCAATAAAAAACGCCCAGAAAAAGGAGACATTCCAAAGAGTTCTCTACTTGTGAACATTCCAAGTCCCTTCCAAAAAACGCATGTCGTACAAGATGAGCAGAATGATGTTGGGTCTGGTCTAAACAACTGGCTAACAGTCAAAGAGCTTCTTTAAAAATCAGAGATTATTATGAAGAGCGGGGAAGTTTAGTTGAATCGAATGTTCCGAGATCAAGAGAAAAGACTCAGGCCAAGCACTCACGCCTTTCATACGCTCGTAAGATAGATGCTTTTGATGAAGACCACCATCGCCGACATCTTTCGAAAGCTGTCGTTTTCCAAGATCCTGTTTTGGAGAATGTTCCTTTTCGTGCAAGAGTATGTCAACAGGACTTTGTTGCTGGAAGTGAAAAGCGAAAAAACCGCCAACTTCCCACACAACTTGCAGGGAATGAAAAGAAACCTGCACATTATGAAGATAATCAATGTGAGAAACTTTGCAAAAATCGAATCCATCAGCAAGCAAAAAATATAGAGCCCATCGATAACTATTAAAGGATCTCCTGAATTGAGAGATCCGAATTTTCGCGTGACAACCTCTCCTTGTGAAGACGCCTCCAACGCCAGAGTCCTTGCAGATCTTGGATGGTGGAGAAAGTGTGACGACAGCTTCATCAAAGAACACCTTCGAAGATAGAAGATTAGACACTTAAATAAAGTTGTTTATTGATTGATTGACACAGATTTGCAGAAATGTTATTCTTCCAGATTCTGAGGCAAAAAATACTGTTCCGTCCTGAGAAAATAGAGAAAAATCAAACGAAGACAAGAAACTCGACAGGGGCAAAGTGAAATTTATTAATCGTCCTTAAATATTCACTGATTACAATGGAACGATGGTTCTTCTTCATTTTGTATTACAAATTCACCATTCAATGCGATGGAGGATAGAAAGCTATAGAATGTCTTAAAATCTTGTGAATCTTTGGAAAACAAATCACGCATAGCTACCGAGTGAATGAAATCTACCACCGTTTCAACTCGACAAGGATATTCGATATATTTTATTTCCCCTGGTTTTTATTTGATTCTGAGCTTAAAACACAAAATTAGAAGATGTTTTTGGAGACTAAGTGTCGCGAAATTTTAAAGGAGTAGAAATGATATCTTTTAAATGAGCTACCGCCCTGCTCGCTTTCAAAAAATGTTGACTGATTTTGATTGGCAGGATGGGTCATTGCTTATGGGGGGGAGGGGGGGGGGCAGGGGAGAATTGCAAGATAAACTGAACGTCTGTCTGCAAGGACCAGCCTCTCAGGCCTGAGTATGGCAAATAAGAATGGTACATAGAATAAAGCTGAATGCTAAAACAAGGTTTATGGCTTCATAGGCTATCAACCGACACAAACAAAAATAAAACACAACTAAAGCAGGTTGTGATAGGCATGTTGGATATGGATGGGTATTGGTCTTTGACAAACTATCAAATTGCCATGATTTTATGAAGGCCATAACAGAAGTTGGAAGTGACTTACTTGTCATCTTGGTTTTCTTATACCTATTTAGATCTTTGAAATTATTCCACTTTTTTGGAAATTTTCCTTTCTACACAATGATTTTAAGACATCCAGCAGAACCTTTGAAAAAAAATTACCCCTCTACGTCCTCCATAAAAAAATAAACACCCCACTCTGACCACACTAAAATACCCTTGACCTCCCCCCCAACCCATCTTTCCCTTCTTACCATCTTTTCGAGCGCGCCATCATCAGACCTCATTACCGAAAAGACCTGTTAAGTTCATGTGGAGAACTGAATTTACTGCTGTGCCTCCAGCTGCACTGAAGTAAACTGCGCTCCGTTTTGTACTTATTTCCGTAACGGAGTTCCATTTCCAATTAACTCATTTAATTTTAAGGCTATTAGATAATTAATCTTTACACTAAAACGTCGGCTTACCTATGAAAGCGACTCAAGATTTGTTCCTGTCTTTAACTTTTGTTCTTTTGATACGAAAAATTTTAAAAGCAATTTGTTTCACCAAATCACAACGTGGTCATTTAGTTAAAACTTAGCATGGTTTTGTTTTTGGCTGTTTGTACACTGACATAAAAAAATATGAAAAAAAATATGAAGAAAAACAAAACAACGGACGAGTTTTATTTTTGGCTCTCTTTAGTAACAGTCGCCTCAACCAACTCATCAATAAGGCTGGAAGCTATGCTTAGTGAATAAAAAACTAACTAATAAAGGGTTTCTTCGAGTTATCGGACATTCTTGCATCGAAGTTACTTTTCCGGCGTTAAGTTCACATTTTTCTTGTGAAAACCCCTTGAAATTAAAAGGATTATTGCCACTCCACTGTTAGGTTATCTCGGCTGGTCATGTCGGTTACCTGCTGCTGCACAGAAAAGAGTTTATGCAAGCCTGCTGATTCAATGTCATGTATACATATTCGTTTATTATCAACGCAAACACAGCATCTATGTCGGCCCAATAAGTCGAAATAAGTACCTTTACAGTTCCATTAGCCTAATATGGTCCCCCTTTTTTCACTAAAGCTATTCTATGTGTGGTAGTTTGTTGTTTGTTTTTGTAACAGTTGAAAAAGATTAAATGGGTAATACTGGGCCGTAATGTTTTGCCTTGAATAACCGGTTGTTTTATGATATTACTGGCTCGATCGAAGAAGTATATAAAATTTTAAGTCTCAAAATACTAATTTTTGACAGGAAGGTGGAAACGTCCTCATATAATTTTTCTTATTTCCTTCCTATTTCGGTGTGAAGCCGGAGATAGACTCCATTGTTTTAACCATCCCGTTGCTGCAGTGGACTTCCTGAGACGAAGTATTCAAGTTTAAGCTTATATATATAGTTTTATCTTTTTAGGCGGTATACGGTAAATTGTGGTGTAAAGTGAAAGTTCTAGTTTAGACTAAAAGGAGGGAGCATTTTAATTTCAAATGCGAGTTTAGAACTCTCAATTTGGATACTTTGAATTTCATTGCTGTATACAATGCTTTCATCGACTTTAATCTGCAAAACATTGAGACAAAGCATTTTTTGTGCACCTTGATTTGTTTATGTTTTAAAAAAACTGTGTCACCTAAAAGAAAAAAAGGCAATCTATTTTATCATTTTCTGATTATATCACAGGATCCAATATAAATGAAGCCAGACACTTCTTTTCACCTTCTATTGAAAAGCTAAATCAATAATTGAATATTCTTTGCAAGTGGAAGCTATCTTAGCGACCAACACGCGATGCTTTGTTGAAATTCGAACTTTGATATTGCAGATGTTGTAGTGGGAAAACAGTCACATTTTGATAAAAAAGCGAAAGAAAAAAAGATATACATTTAAACCGTTCTCTAATGATATAGGACAATGAAACAAGATAACAAAAGATGACAAGACACAAGGAAGCACCGGTCCTCACCACAGGATATTCGCGGCTGGTCACCCATGCAACCAGTTTCCAACCTCGCCCGGCTGGAGCTTAAAGGGGCTGTATATCACGCTATTTGCTGTCTTTGCTCCTGCTGTGGTATTTAATTTGCTTCCCAATGAAAAACACAAAAAAAGACGAAAGGCAATAAGCCTTAAATTAGGGCTTTACTAGAACGATCGTTTGCTTAACACTGACATGCATACAGGAACATATCGTTTATAAAAGGCCTAACCCTGTTCAGAGCAACCAAAGGCATTTTTTAGCGCTCTAATCATGAAAACCGTTGGCAATTCTCTTGTTTGCCCGTGATGAATGACCCCCAGCTGGAATAGTTGTAGGTGGTCAATAGCCCTAAGGCCGACCGTGTTTTATGGTATTTGTAAAGCTTCACAATCCCTTTGTCTCTAAGAAAGTTTCACCATTTTTCCCGACCATTCAATTTATTCATTTATAATCTTGTTTTTTTCTATTCTTGTTATTTCCTAAACATGTACGCTGTCCAACTTGTGAAGTATACGAAAATATCCTCAAGAGCAGTTAAGTTTACGGACAGCGCATTGCTAGAAGATTTTCATTTCTAGACGGCCAAAAACATTTAACTACCGAGGATTGTTTTCAAAAGGACACTCTACCAAATGAACGAAGCTGGGATTTTGCATACCAAGGATGGCAAATCGAAGACATTGCACCGCAAAAATTAAACAAGGATTTAGCGATATATCAACATGACAATAGCAGACATGCTTATCGTCTCTGAACGGTCTAACACTGAAAGCATACTAAGAGCATCGAAAAGAACTTTTAAGGAAATTAATCATGAAAACCCGTCTGCAATTCTCTCTTTCCTCCGTGTTGAATGACCCCCTGTTGGAGTAGATGTAGGTGGTTGATTGCCCTGAGGCTGACCCACTTGTATGGTGTTTGCAAGGCTTCACAATATAATCCTTTTGTCTAGAAAGGTTGAACATTTCCCTCGCCAATTGCATTTCCCGCACCTTTACGTTTTACCTTCCAGGAAACTGCAAAATAGTTAAGATGATAAATGCAAAAAGAAAACTGCCTAAGATTTGTCAAGACTATAGAGACATTGCCCATCGTCAAGACTATCGAGACAAAAAGACTACAAGTGTTGAAGTACCAAATGATAATCACTCAGTGGAAAGCTACATAAATGGTTTGAGTCATGGCCTACACAAGATTCCCGTTATAAAAAATGTCTGTACTACACAAGACAATCACCTTAAAGTCCCCCTCGCAGTTCCCCCAGGCTCTGGGTTTGTCCAATCCCGACTGTCACAGAGATTGATGGATTATCAATACCACGAGGTTAGTGAATTGACAATGTAAGTTATCAAAGACTGTCCAAAGAAAGCCAATTGCTTTTCAGGATAACGCAACTTTCACGGCAATGCTGCTAAAAGTTGTATCGTAATGCAAGTTATGTATTCATTTTTTATTATTATTCTCTATTCTTTGAAGCAAAGAAGCAATGGATTAGCAAAGGCCCCTGAAAAACAAAATGTTTGCCCTTGTAAGTACATGATCACATAACATATATTATCATTCTTGATTTTTATAATGGCCTTTGTAAAACCGATATGATAGTGGTCTGTGGTTCAAGTCAAATATTTTGGTTGTTTTTTCTTTACAAATGATGGTCAAATGCAGAGATTCACCAGGGTGGGGGTGGGGGTGGGTGGGGAGAGTTGAAGTTAGGAATTGTTAGTGCATTAAGAATCAATTGAGACTGACTACTATCAACAAACTGAAGCAGGCACAAATACGAAAAATCGCTAAGATTAGACAACTCTGGGACATTTCAAAGACGTATTCTGGCCATTACAAGAACATTTGATAATTATAGTGTTTAATGCGGTAACGATAGCCTTAAGGACCTGTTTAGAAGAGTCCAGGAAAATTTTTGAACGGACAAAATCTTGCACGGAATTGCCTTTCGTTTACGTACGCGGGACTCGCGGAACCGTGTAAATGTTTGAACTGCAAACAGTTCCAATCTGTAACAGAGTTTGCACGGTTCCGTGTAAACGGGTTGCACAGGTAAAAAATTCGTCCGGACCCGTGTAAACGGGGTCTCAGGGTCAATCATCCAGTAATTGCAGCTAATTTTCTGCAGATACAGTTTCTATGGGTAACTGTGGAAATCGTTTTCGTCGCGTGTTTTCAATCAAATCGTCGGATATGAAGAATTGTTTTGCGTGGTTAATCAGGCTACTAGCGAGTTCGAGCAACCGCTACGACGAAGACGACGACGACGGAAAAGAAAACGAGAACAATTTAGATAGGGACCAGTTAAGATAAAGCAGAAAAAGAAAACACAACAACTCTGAACGAGCAACACACTTTTCAGCAGATTTCTTTGCCGCCATCGCACACCTCAAGTGGTCAAACGTGATCGGAACGGCATATTAGGGTTTGAGGCCTGAACTAGGCCTTAAATTGTCGCTTAATCAGTAGCGATGATCTCGACCTTCATTTCATCGGATTCACCCATACAGAGTCCCAGATTAAAGCGCTTAGCAGCTTCTACACTACCTCTCCAAACTTATTTGCCACTACATATTCTATACAAAACTAATTAGCCACAGACTTCAAAGGAAATCCTTGATTCTTTGAGCGGGTGTTTACGGTAAATGACCTATAGAAAAAGAATACCAAAGCGTAATTACCATCCGTTGAGTAGCACTAGTGATGCTATGAAAAATTTTCCTGGAATTCTTAATATTTGTAAGCCTAGCAATTGATCAAGGGACGTCAAACTCACTAACAGTAATTTTTTTACGTAGTCGACTTTTGAGCAGACAGATGTTGCATTATTTCCTTACAGGTTGTCCAGATATTAAGGATCTTCAGGAAAAATGCATCCCGGTAAGTCTGCACAGTCACAGTTTTTCTGAGCCTTGTTCAACAAGTTACTCCCAGAGAATGCCGGGGTATACTGTTACAAAGAACTCGAAATGGTTCCCGGAAAGCAAACCTCAATGTGTGCACAGGCAGCCACACTTGGATGGGCGATGGTCATTGAAGTGGCTGCAAGGTAACAAAAATGCTCAGAATAATTCAGAAGAATATTGTTCCGGAAGTATTTCAGATATATACGAGCAAAGTCTCGTTTCACAACCAAGGAACTTTTCGAACGAGAAGTTAACCATACATGTTGCCGTTAACAATCAAAGACGACTAAACGATAGTGGTTCTATGTCGCCAAGCCATGGCTATACAAAATTCAGCCCTCCAGCGAAGTGTCATTGTCCAGGGTGCCCATCATACCTTTGTACCCAAGAAATAGAACAAATTTATTCCTCCTGCAATAAAAAGCGCTCAGAAAAAGGAGACATTCCAAAGAGTTCTTCAGTGGTGCACACTCCAAGTGTCTTTCAAAAAACGAATGCCGCGCAAGATGGGCAAAATAATGTTGCCTCCAAACAACTGTCTAACAGTCAAAGCCCTACTTTAAAAATCAGAGATTATTATAAAGAGCAGGGAACTCGAGTTGAACAAATCTTTCGCAAAAATCTGAGTTCGAGAGAAGAGACTCAGGCCAAGCATTCACATCTTTCATATGGCCGTAAAATAGATGGTTTTGATGAAAGCCACCATCGCCGACATCTTTCAAGTGCTATTGTATTCCAAGATCCTATTTTAGAGAATGTTCCTTTTCGTGAAGGAGAACGTCAACAGGGCTTTGTTGCTGGAAGTAAAAAACGAAAAAACCGCCAACGCGGCCCCCAAAAAGTGAGAGAAGAAGAAGGTGCCCATTATCAATATATACAACCTGAGAAACTTAGTGAAAGTCAAAGCCGTCCGCAAGCAAACCCATTGAGCTTTCATGATCCATCGATTACTTCTGAATTAAGAGATCCGAAGGTTCGTGTTACAACCTCTCCTTGTGAAGACGTCTCTTCCGGAGTCCATGCTCATCTTGGATGGATGAGAAAGTATGACGACAGCTTCACCAAAGACACACCTTGGAGACCACAGGTTTGCAGAAATGATATTGCTCCAGATACACAGCCGCCGTGTCACCCCTTATCTAAAGGTGGGAAAACTACCGAGGAGATAACTACGCCAATTTTTGTTACTCAACAAGTTCAGAGTCGTGCTGGGTCATCGTTTAAAGAGTTTTCCAGCGAGTACTCTCTTGCAAACCAATTGTCACTCAAGCATGAAAAGAGTGCATTTCCCCAGTCCAAAACGCCGGACTTGAAGCTAAGAATTACCCCCGGAAATTTAAACAAGCGTCCTGGTTACTTGAAGGCAGTATGGAAGTTAGACCCACAGCACTGGTACGCTCCTACAAGCCTGGAAGTTTCAAAAATACAGTTTGAAACTTTGGACAAACAAAGAGCAAGTCTTGAAAGTGTCCACAAAGTTGGTACGTTTCCAATGCAAGTCGCATTTGGCCCATCCCAACTGAACGTAGACAGAGAAGGCTGTAAAATGGATCCACGCGATGACCAGGACATGCCGTGTAATCTCGAGCGTCGTGGTGTGCCATCAAAAGAGGGACCTCTAAACGAAGACATGCACTCTCCTCCATCATCATTGTCCAGTGACCAGGGCGGTGTTACCAGCACAACTCTTGACGATAAAGATGGATTACAGCAAACACAAATCAGTGAGCAGTCACATCCGACAGGTGACGCCAATACCCTCAACTACGGCAAGAACCTAAAGAAACACGCTGAAGAGAAACTTGTCAACTTTACAGAAAGCCACAGCCCTTTCTTCAACGGGCGAGAAATTTGTGGTAACTTCATGTCACCCAGCATGAAAGAAAGAAGGTTCGTTTGCCGCTTCTGCTGCAAGAAATTTGCCCATTTTTCTACACTGCAAAATCATGTCCGGACGCATACAGGTGACAAACCATTTCAGTGTAAGTTTTGCAGTCGTCGATTTGCTCAGTCGGGAGTCCTAAAGGCACACTTGCGCACGCACACTGGCGAAAAGCCGTTTGTCTGCATGTACTGTGGGAAAATGTTTGCCCAAAGCACGACACTAACAAATCATCTTAGAACTCACACTGGCCAAAAGCCATACATTTGCCACTGCTGTGGCAAGTGTTTTTCCCAGCCGTCGACGCTAAGAAAGCACGAACTTTCTCACACCAAAGAACGCCCATATTCATGCAAGTTTTGTGGAAAAGCGTTTGCCCAACAGTCCACGCTTACTAATCACCTGCGCTCTCACACTGGCCAGCGGCCCTATAAGTGTCACTTCTGCGAGAAGAGCTTTGCCCAGTTGAGTACGCTTTATAGGCATCTACGCCTCCATTCCAGTGGAGGAAGCGGAGACTCAAGTCTTATCAGTGCCAGTTCTGCAGCAAGAGTCTCAGCTACTTCTCTAATCTAGCAAAACTCACTTGCAGATATATGAGCAAGAAATCAAAGATGAGTTAGGATATTTTGTAGCCTGTTTCTGGCGTTCAGATATAATGGAGTGAATTCCTGCCGCACTCTACAATCTGAACTCCTGGGACAGGCTAGCTATATTCACAACTGGTTCCCCCATCCGCGCACTATGCCTGGGTTAATAATTTTTGATGAGCACTAACGCGAGCACACTGCTTGTTCGAGGTATCCACGTTTGGTATTCGGGCTCGGCACCGGTGCCCAAGTACAAGCTTCAGACCTTTAAGTCGGGCGCCAAAGTAGGCACAGTTTCGCTGTGTGCCTTTCTCGTTGGTTCCAAGGTACTTGTGATCATACAGTCGACTGATTTTATACTCACAACTCCTCTGGAACCGATTAATGCTTCAAAATAGCGTTTGACATAACGAACAAGCAGTTGAGTGCAAAGACCAATTACGAGTATCAAGTGTGAACACCCCAGCCTTTTTTGCCGGTGTCAAAGTATCATGATAGGTCGGGTAGCTTGTGTAAATACATCTTTCGTTTTAGGTAACTGCACCTTGCTAGGACGGTTCGTCTGCAATTAGAAATTAATTTTTTGTGCTTAAGTACATCAACTACCACTTCACTACTTTTGGGTTTTTAGGCAAATAACTTTCAGCGAAGATAAGCAACCTAATTTAGATTTTAGAAGTGGATTCCCCCAAAAAATGATTATCACCCTTGTACAGAGGTTCTGTTTGTTTCACAGCTACGGACTCCAGTAGTCACCATTTTTAACTTGGGATCGTTCAAAGCCTGACCGTGCAATTCAGATTTGAGAAACTCGCTAATGTTCTAAAGGTGTTTAAAGTGAGAAAGCCGATAATTTTTACTGATTTAGTATGTTTTCACTATGGTTCTTTGTCTGCCATAAAGGAACGAAAAAAAAGGCATGGAATTGAGCCCTTGCCGGAGTGACTTTTGGAAACAAACTAAAATGGTTCTTTAGTAAAAAATGGTATAATAGTGATTCGGGTCTGGAAATATAGGATGCAATCATACAAGCTGTGAAAGCTTGGGCATTAAATAAAAGTAGAATTAGATTATTTTTATATACTCTACAGGACGAACATGAAAAATTAAGTTATTCCGACAAAGGTGACTTAACCTGTCTTTGCCCACAATCGAATCTGATTCACCAACAAAGACTGACAAACCAAAAAATGATTGCTTTCAGCGGCTGTTCCTCAGATTGGTGCAGAGAAAAATGTTTTAACGTCAATGGAATATGGAAACTCTCTATATACAAACAATAACTGTACACACCTAACTGGAAAAACTTTGGAGGGGATAATTAAAAGTACAAATTGTGAACTACTCCTGACCACCACCAAGGTATAATTCTGTTATGCTGGTGCCGTGTTATTTTATCACTTATCAATAATATCTTTCATTTATTTTGAATAAGTATTTGTTAATATCTATGATTCATTCAAAATATTTCCCCGATTCTGATTGGCTAAAAGCACACGTTTAATTCACCACAACCAGTTACTGATGACCAAATTTGGAAGAATTTTGCGCTTAGCGAGGAAATGACGTCAAAAATGCAGTGTTCTTGCAGGTTAATGCACCGTTAACCGCGAAGACCTGGGGACGAGGCTGAGTTGTTTTGGTTGTGAACTTGAAACATGGCGGACATTTCACTCGTTTCAAGAGTAAGAATTAGGCAAAAAAATTGCTAAAAACATGGAAAGAACAGCAAGAAGACAACTCGAAGGGCGACATCTGCTATTTCGAGAATATTTGCGGAGTTGAACAACCCTAAACGTGCACTATCGAAGATGAACTTAACATCGATGGATCGATGGAAGTAAGCATGTTTTAGCCATGTTTTAAAACTACAGGAATTATTTTGAATGAATAATAAAACAATTATTGAATTCGGCTTTCGTATCATATGAAGAATTATGGCGATCTCGGAGGGTGTTACGGCCGAGGCGGATAACACCCTCCTCGATCTCCATAATTCTTTATAAGATACTCAGCCTCATTCATTAATTGCCGATTAAGCTTTACCCTTTCTTTTTGCTCTTTGCAAAGAAAGTAGTTTCAGCTCACTTAAAGAGTTCATAATAAGGAAAAGAGAAATTAGAATATATAATCGCAAATAATTTTAACGCAAGTGACTTCACACGTAAATGAAACTGTAAGTTTGCAAACTCGTATTTCGATCAATTAAGGACTAGCTCAACAAGTTTGTCCACCTGCAACATAGAAAGAGCAATGTTGCTGACGGACATTTTAGAAGAGCATGAAATTCCATCCGAGTATGTTCATGGTGCCAATAATGAATAAAAAACTGAGTTGAAAAAAAGTGATCATGGACATTTCTTCTATCCAACTTAGGCCATGCTCGAGCTTTACGTGCACTGTAATTTTTAGGGAGTTATTATAACTCCAAAAATGGAGTAAAAATTTTAGGTACAGGATAACCCCTTTTTTGGGGTTATTTTAACTCCTAATTTAACTCCGAATTTGGGGTCATTTTTACTCCTGAAAAAGAGTTCTTTTTACTCCCAGTCTTGGAGTTAACATTACTCCGAAATGGGGTTACTTGTACTCCTTACAGGGGTTGTTTTTACTCTTTTTGGAGTTAATTTAACTCTGAAAGTGGAGTAAAAATTTTAGGTACAGGATAACTCCTTTTTTGGGATTATTTTAACTCCTCAATATCTGGGGTCACTTTTACTCCTGAAAAAGAGTTCTTTAAACTCCTTTTTGGAGTTAAAATAACTCCACGAAAAATAACTCCACTGTAAGGAGTTAAATTAGCCCCACTAGAGGAGTTATTATAACTCCCTGAAAATTACAGTGTGCCGACACGTTCACGCGTGCCGTTGGTAATAACGGCTATACTTCAGCCCTGACTGTACCCGGGTCCTGTACTCCACTGCACACAACCTGCAAGAGAACAGTCCAGTTATAGAGACTCTAATCCTAATTTTGCAATTTCTCTTAAATGTCTTATATCTTTTAAGAAACAATTTTTCTGTACCCGGGTTAACAATTGAATATTAACACTGCCAAGAACAGAATGATTTGACGTTTTCTTGGACAACTCTAAAGCAAGTTTTCAGTAAATTGTACTTTAATCATTTAATCGAGTACCTTGCTTTCTTTCTTTTTCTTCGATCGGTACTTGTGAGTTGATAGAAAGCACCGTGGAGGAGCGTTACTAAAAATTCTTTTTTTAACTGGTTATTCACGGTGTGTCGCCGTTGGCCGCAGCAGGGTATGTTTTTTTGTATCAATAATCTCTTGAGCAGTTCCCATTCGGTTCAGACCTGAAGCAGGTTTAGAAAATCACATAGTTTGGTCTGAAACAGGGAAAAGGTTTTGCAACTCACTTTCCCTTCCGCCAATTTTCAAGGAATACATTCTGTTCTGGTTTATGCGAAGGATAGCTTCATTAATTAAAGTAAAACGTTCATAATTATTCCTTCTTTGTTTTTTTCTTCGAAAATAAAGTCTATTGTTCAGTTTAAACGGGTCATTTATGATCTGCTCTTAGCTCTAACCCTAGTCTAATGAGGGTCCTTTAGGTATTTTCTTGCCGTTTTCTCTTGCCGTCTGTGATCTATGAAATTATTTCACTTCTTTTAAAAGTTTTCCTTCCTATACAAACTCATGGTTCATAAGACATACAGCAGAACTTTAGACATGATCCCTCTACTTTATCAATAGATTAAATTAAGTACCCCCTTTAACCACGCAAAAATACCCTTTACAACTCCCCCCACCCTCCCCCTATAGTTCCTTCATTCTCCTCCTCACTCAAATGGGCCAGTTCCCGAAGAATAACTTTATAACCTCTTTTCGAGCGCGTTAAGAGGGGAACGTACGAATACCGCAAAACCGCAGAGAATTACGCATAAAAACCGCTCAAAAGAAGATAAGAGAACCGTAAACCGCATTGAAATTACCCAAAAATTTCTACACTAAAATATCGCAAACCGCTTGGTCTTGTAAAACCACAATACCGCAACTTAGAATTAAAAATTTCCGTACAACCGCACAAAAAAACGAGCAAAACCGCACCGCCGACAACCCTTACGCCCCCCAAAATTTGTCATGAAAAAGAGGATCTACTGGGCAGCTAATAAGAGTTTTTGTGTAGAGACAGCTTTGTTTTTAATTGTGAACAGTGACACTAGTGGGCTTGTCTTGTCGTAGCATATCGCAGCCTCTAGCTGCACAACTTTACTCACTGCGCTCATTTTTCTAAACCTTTTATGCAACGAAAACCATCTTAGCTCATTTAATTTTAAGTTTAAAAAATGTCGGCTAACCATGAAAGCGACTCAAGATCTGTTTCTGTGGTTAATTAATTTTTGTTTCCTTGATAAGAAAATTATATGGAAATCTCACAGTAGTTTCATCAGATTATGACTGCATTAAGATGGTCATTAAAACACAGCATTGGTTTTCTAGTTGGCTTTTTCAAAATCTCAAGAAAAGCAAATATGAGAAGGCTAGAGTTCTGTTTGATGTTTGTTTGCGTTTGATATTCCGAGTTATCAGTATTTCCAGCAACATATTAAACTGTCACTTGAACATGGATTTAATATAAATTTTCAATCGCGACAGGTTGTTATGCAAATGAATATATAATCTTTTACTTCTAGTCTTTTTTTACATACTGTGGGTCATTGACGCCGCGCAATATGTCACTTTGTAATCAACTGGCGCTATCAGAAATTATGCCTTAATATATATATAATTAAAGGCAAAGTTGTTCGCAATCTTTTTATCACAAGACCCTCGAACACTTTTGGCATATAGTGTCTGAGATCAGCGTAAAATGGGCTGCACTAATTCGCACGGGATCGAAAAATCGGTCATTGAATACCCGTTCGCTTCCATCGAGAAAACGGTAATTCCCTTGACTGAGGATCAAATAAAAATTGTACGAGAAACTTGGGACATTATCGAACCACACAAGAAAGAAATTGGGGTCAATGTTTACGTACGGTAAGATGAATTTTGTTATAATTGCATGTGACCGCTAGATGTGATATTAACAGTGAAGTTAGAAGTAAAGGCCAGTATTGTTAACACACCATAGATGTAATTTCGTAAGACTCATTTTTTAAAAAAGTAAATAAAGAAAATACAACATACTGTTTGAAAACCTGCAAACGAAAATATAATTAAAAAAATAGCATTTTGTCAAGTTTACGATTACGTGCAACAAAATCTTGTATCAAGTGACAGCCTGCTTTTGAAATAAGGACAAAAGTCTGCACAACTCAGATGGTTGCAAATTACGCCAGAAAATTGAAATTTTTCTTGAATTTATGTTTCCGAGAATCAAACTGATATTATCCTTCTTCCATAATTCCTCATGTAGTTAAATATATTAATTACCATTTGGAAGACCTGAGGTCTTTAGCTAGTACTGATGATTTTATGTCACCAATTCAATGTTTTAAGAATCCCGTGGTTTCTTTCAAAGAAAAAGTTTCTCCTGTTTTTTTTTATGCTTTTTTCCTCCTGAAATGAAAGAAGTTGGTTTATAATTAAAAGCAAGAGGGGATAAAGCCTTGATAAAAGAAAGAAAGAAAGAAAAAGAGATGATAAGATAAACGAAAATTGTAAACGTAAACCATGAACGACGGTTCTCTCATGGACGTCACAGCTTTAAAACGTAACGCGCATAATAGAATAGAGGCAATGCATGAAAGGTCGAGCGTAAACGTAAAATTTGAAACTCGCTCATCACCTTTTACGTTTACGCGCGATAACTCGCCGGTATAATGCCTCTGTTTTATTGTCACGCACGTACGTACGCACGTAAAAATTACGCGATAGTGGAAAGACTGTCAATATGCTGTTAACCGAAGTAAAATTGATCTGAAATACTAAAATTGCACTGTTGTTGTTACTTAGATTTCTATCCATGAATCCTACCCTAAAAGCTTCCTTTCCTGACTTTAAAGACATCTCAGTTGATGAGATAAATCAGAGAAACAGCCATCCCAGAAGATTAATGGCGGCCATTGAAAACTCCGTCAACTCGCTGAACGACGTGGAAACATTTACTGAATACGTGACAGAGTTAGGAAGAAGGCACTCAAGGTACAGCCTTAAACCTACCAAAGCTTATGTAAGTATTCATTACTAAAGATTATTTATGCGAGGACAGAGTGGTCATAAAAGCCCACCATGCCACCCGGCATTTAGGGTACGATAAAAGATTAGTGAGGTCCTTACTTTTTGCGCTTTGCTCGTTCAGGAATGGGGATGGGGAGGATGACGCAATGGTGAGAGATGTCGCCTCCTACCAGTGGGCTACCAATTTTGCTCGGGTTCGAATCCCGACGTCGACGCCGACGCCATATATGGATTGAGGTTATTGTTGGTTCTCTCCTCAGGCTTCTCCGAGAGGTTTTTCTCCGCGTACTCCGGTTTTCCTCTCCCCTCAAAAATTAACACTCTTTTAAAAATTCCAATTCGATCTGAGCGCATGGACACGTTTCAACGAGTCCTTAGTATTCCGTAGGTGAACAAATTACAAAAAAAAAAAATTACAATTACCATAACAATGCATGCTATGCAGGCTTTGCCCTATTACCAGAGATGCAACTTAGAGAACCCCATCCTTTTCTCTGTGTCTAAACCGGCTGATTAAACTCTTTGTTTTTGTTTTTGCTCCCGAAGCCGCGATCGATATCCTTTTGGACCAGGCCAAGGGTAAACGCCGGTGTTGTAGTACGTAAATGATTGATGAAATTTTAGGGGACGGTCGTTCAATAAGGGTGCAAAAATTGATTTTAAATATGTTATCTTTTAAAATCAAGACATTTTTTTATTGCTGAACATTGCTTTCTTCTAGCGATGTTTTTAACTTAGCTATATAGATACTATTAAAAGTAAATTTCACAGGAAAAGGGATGGCCGCGGTCCAAAATCAGTTTCTTACTTTTTTAACTTATCTCCTAAAAGTAACTTAAGCTGAACAAGGTTGCCTTACTCTCATGGAATGTTTTCATTAATAGCACGATCTCTTTTACGAATCGCAGTTCAGGGATCTAGAGAAGGCGTTTCTTCGCAGCTTAAAAGACCACCTTCAATCTTGTTGGAGAGTAGAGGTTGAGGAGAGCTGGGTACGACTGTTCAACTTCATGGCTTGTATTATGCTCAAGGGACTCAGCTCCAAGACTTAGAGAGTGATTTCAACAATTATTCTGACCAATCATAATATGAGCTGAATTTGCTCAGCAAGTAAAAAACCTTTTTCAAGGACTTGTCCAAGGACAAGTTTTGCTTTACAAGGTCCAGTCTTCCTTGGACATCCATCCTTAAATTTTGCACTCTCAACTCTGGCAGAAAGGGCAGTGAACAACACTAAACCCAACGCCCGGGTTTCTAGCTGTGTGTAAAGATCCCTTGTGACATCCTCAAGCCATGGAAAACAGCTGCTGGTCGCTGGTTGAAGGCTGATGGACCGGTAGAATCCTCCAATTTGTGCTTACACCTCAACTTTGTTATGCCCAATAGAAAGTCGGGGAAAGTTCAACGGCTTTTCAAGCACTCTTGAAGACACTCAACCACCCTTCGACAATTAATTGAAATCAAGGACATCAATTGTAAGGACTTTTTTTCAAGGTAGTACGGTAATTAACGGATCTTGAGGCAAACACATGAAGCTGGTGGCAAGCGCGAGAAAAACCTGTGAGCACGTCACCATCGGTTTTCTGTGGGATGCCATGCAGATTGGACAGGAAAATTCCCGTTGTCAAATGTTATAGTGGATTATTTTTGTCTTCTCAAACACCTTTCGAGCCTTAATTTATTTACAATGAAATTACATAAATTGTACGACATTTCTGGTAAACCAATTTTACCATTTTTGCGACAGCATGTTGTTAAGCCTTGCAGCTGATTCAAAAACTCCAAACGAACTGAGAACTGGATATTGCATTTACACCTAGTAGCAGGCGCTTGGAAGTAATAGGCGCAAGAAACAACGGGGTGCACGAGGGAGACACGCGCGGGGAGGAGGAGCGTGTCTCCGTCACGCACCTACCCTTAACTCGGTTATTTATTCGTCAATGGCGCTGGACAGCGGCTCGATCAAAGCTGCAAACGGTTGCTCGCAGTGGTTTCTCTCCCTTCGAAGCGTAGCGTCCGGCGCCCGCTAATGTAGGTCCAGCGCAATACCTATTCTAAATAACATCAACTATTGCGCATCAGAGCTACACAAAAAATAGTCCTTTCCAGTTGGTGTTCCCAGGATAACCTTAAGCGATTACCACGTGACGTTCAGATATGACGATTTTATTCGATATTTTACATCCGAAATTTAAAAGGAATTTACATTTGCTCAAGACCTAGTTAATATACATGATAAATAAAAATGACTGCGAGAACTTAATAACATATGTTGAAATTAAACAAAGTGAAAGTATTACATTGACCTGTCGTTTTGTTATTCGGTTCCGTTTTCTCCTAAAAGTATTTTTAGCAGGTTAAGGGCCTGGTTACAAAAGCCGGGCTTGACTGGTTTCTCGGGGTGGCTTGATTTACTGGGATCTTGCCACGTTAGGGACGGACCATTAGAAACATTATGAAGGGGGGATTTTTTAGGCCATTGCATGAATATTTTTAATGGTTACTGGGTGTGCATGAATGTTTTTTCTTTTAATTTTCCCTTGCGCGAATATTTTTTTGTACTTCGCACGCAACCGCCATAAGTTTTCTAATGCTCCGTCCCTCAGTTAAACGCAACATTGTATTGCGATACTGGGATCCCAGCTGCGGGAATGCGGGCAGCACACTGCTCATGCACTCTTCTTCCTAGACTACGAGTAGTCTCTCTTTTTTCCTGGTCCGTCGGGCAAAACGCCCGAGACACGCAAGCTCGCGCGCGCGTGCACTCCCCTAACTAAATCTGAAGAAAAAGAGAGACTGCTCACAGTCTATCTTCTTCCAATTTCCCGGTGAACATGGCCGCTCCGGGCTCACTTTGGCAACCGGGCCGGCGCAGCTCATGTAATCAGGCCATAAGTAAATGAAGAACTGGAACACATCTATTTACGTCTTCAGTTTCAAGTTTAATTTTAAGTTAACTACAGGAGTCGCGGTCAAGCTTGGTCCATTAAATCCAACAATTCATCACCTTTTTCACCTAGAAGAAAAACAGTCATTAAGGAATCAAATGGGCATAACAAGTGTTGAAACGAAAAGAACAACAACAACAAAAGGATGAATAAATGGCGTAAGGAAAAGGGCATACATGTATATTAAGCATTTGGCATTTGTCAAGTCATCATTGAGAAAATTTTAGTCAGACATTGCTCGATAACCGACCGACTCTTAATGCAGCCCTGCTACAGTATTTAGTTTGAGTTTTCCGTCGAGTAAGGCGAAAGTAACAATTACTGAGATATATGTGTGTAAAATAAGAGAAGGGAAAAACGATCTATATAGAAAAAAAACCTAAGTTTGGCTACTGACGGAGAAGTATTTCCTGGCACCGGTTGTTCAAATGTTGGATAGCGCTATCCACCGGATAAATCACTACGCAGCGGATAAGTATCAGGGAAACCAATTGCGTTATCCACTTGATAGATTTTTATCCGGTGGATAGCGCTATCCAACGTTTGAACAACCGGGGCCAGGTGCGCTAGCGTGTGATATGCCAAGGACATTCGGTTTTTATCTAGAATCAAAATCGCCAGTTGAACTGCTTCTGTCACCTGTGTTCTCTGGAAATATATCAAATATTGAACTTACGGTCACCAGTTCCTTCAATTGAAAACTCATTCATCAAATGCGCCAGCTCTTGCCTCTGTGTCTTCTATGAACGAAAAAAGAAACAACAAAAACAACTGTCAGTCGTTATCTTGACTTTTAAGACTAAAGCAGTTCTACGGCAGTTAGTAATCCATGATCTCAAACTTTTAAACGACTCTCATCGTTACGAAGCATATCTGAATAGAACGTTAGTCCAGGGTTTTCTCATCTTTTGATACAGAGCAGTACGTGAATATCCATCGACACTGCTGAAGAGAGGGCCTTAAAAATAAGGTAACTTAATTACCAAATTCAAAGGTGATATATCGAAAGAGAAAGAAGGTATTGCCCCACAAATTCGCGAAATATTAAAGGCGTTTGCATTGTGGCATGTTAGCACGAACTTGTCCCTCACCATCTGTAAAATGCGGCGACTTTGCGGAGCTGTATGTCTTCAATCACTTTCAAACTTGAAAACCTTTACTGATTTTAGGGCGTTCTTTGCAACCGTGCTGATGGCTTTTCGCTCACTGGTCCCAGTCAAAAGTTGAAAAAACTGCCCGTATTCCCAGAAGATCTAACTGCATCACCTACACTGTTAAGTCGTGTAGAGATTTAGCAAGAAAACATCCCACTGTATTTTTACCCTGTCAAAACTATCAACTTGCTCGGTTTGCTACGAACTACACTAAAATTTAATATCTAAGTGAAGTGCAAATTTGTTTGAAGAGGTAGAAATGGAATTGCGTGCGTGTTTACGCGAGCATAGCCAACGTGGCGTACGTTTCAAAAGGAAGGAGAAAGGAGAGGACGCGAGTACGCTACGTGCGTGGGCGCTTTTCCTCTTCCTCGAGTGGAACCTAACAATACAGCCTTACTTTTCTCCTCTTACCTTCGTGGCGTCAATTTTGATGACCCGGTGAGGAGCTTCCTTGCGAGCCTGGTTAGCTGCTTGTCTGTAGCAAGAAACACAGCGAATTTACAGTTGGTACAAAGTAGCGGGATCTCGTTTTAGCACTCAAAAGTTCAGGTTTGTATTTCCCTGCAGTCAATTTACCTTCGCAAGAGAATCGATGAAGTAAGAAATTTTGTCTTTCAGCTTCTTTCCAATATAAAACCTTCACACTGCGCGTTAAATACGGGGTACCGATGGCAGCTCAGGGAATCCCAAATGACTGTTTTGGGTGCTTTACCATGTTAGTAATAGGGAGCTTTAGCATCGACGACAGCGACGGCAGCAAATGAAAAACGTTACTCTTGAAACGAATTCGCGTTTTTTTCTTTTAAACTTTGTCGCGTTTACACCAATTCGCCAAATGTAGGCGAATTTCCCTAGAATTGATCACTTAGGGACCGCACTCAAGTTTAGAAAGAGAAAGAAAACTTCGTTATCGCTTGTTTATGTCCTCCACGAAACTTGAAATTAGACATTCTCACGTCGTAGTCGTGCAGTGACGGCAAAGAAATGTACAAAAAAACGTGCTGCACGTGCAGAGTAGTTGTTTTGCTTTTTTGAAGTCCTTGTTGCCAACGCCGTCGTCGTTGCCTAACATTTTCCTAGATCGACATAAGCTCGTGTCCTAACTTCTCAGGAACTGGCTACAGGGTCTCAGAGCTGAGACTGTTTACAACACGTGGTAAGTTTCCGTTTAGTTAACTCAAATAATGTGCCAAACACGCAGGCTTTGAACAATAAAAGCAACAGAAAACTTACTCTTCTTCTTCATCCGTATTGAAAAGGTTTAATCTAAACTGACCTACAACACGAACAGAAAATAATAGTGAGTAAACCGCTTAACAATGGACATGAAAACAGCTATAGGTATCTCCGTCAAATATGTACGATAATAAAACTAACGATAACAGACAATTCCACGGTTTTTCTCAACTTCTCAGTGATAAAGAGAAGTAAGCAAATATCCATTGACTGGAAAGCGCCTTAAAATAAGCTAACTTACCAAGTTTAAAGGTAATACGTCCAAAGAGAGCAAAGATATTGCTCCCTAGAGTCGCGAAATTTTACAGACGTGTGAATGCTGGGGGGCACGAACTGCTCTCCAACCATTCTTCGTTATTAGTTTTCAACAAATCACTTTCAAACTTGGCAACTTTACTGATTTTAAGGCGTTCTTACCGGCTGTGTTGACGGGTTTCGCTAACCGGTCCCAGTCGAAAGTTGAAAAACCGTGGAAGTGTCTATTAAAATGGGGCTGTGAGGAACATGATGATGAATTTAGAAGTGATGACGACAATGATGATGACGCCGTTTGGTTTCCAGTTACTTTTCTCGTGAGACATAAGCCAAGGCTGGATTTATTCAACAGCCGTAGCAGCTGTGAAGCTAACCTCCCACGCAGGCGTTTTTAGGGGAGCTCGTTTTTCATCCCTCCCCACAAACGCCTGCTCAACCGAAAACAACATTCCTTTCTCATTGTTTTATTTGCGTGGTAAGTGACCAATCAACAGTTTTGAAATAAAGTGTTGAAAGACTAAACACGACTAAAACGTGACCTTAGAGTTACCGTTTTCCTTCTTTTCTTTCCTTCGCTAAGGTTATGGAGTGCTTGGAGTTTTCTAAAATGAGACTAAATTTTACTTTTGCCGCTCTTAATCTAACATTTACCAGAGGTCAGAAAGCTTTCCCAGTGTTTCATGCAGATCGAGTAATTATCAGATTACCCTGCGGTCAAGGTCATCTTTCCAGAATTTGGAAAGTACAATGTGATTGGCTACGCTTGGGAAAGGAATGTTGTCTTCGGTTGAGCAGGCGTTTGTGATGAGCTCCCCTAAAAACGCCTTCGTGGGAGGCTACTGTGAATCAGACAGCTGGTAGTCCTTCAGTTCAGCTACGCAAGTTGCTCTGAGACTAGAGGCTGCTAGGAGTTAAGTGGTGTGTGTGCACCAGCTGAGGGATCACGATAAGTTATGTATTGAATTATAGGTTTGTTACCATATTGCTTATCTTAAAATAAAAAATTCAAAAGGGCTCAAAGCAGCTCTTCCTGTGTAAAGTATATGGCAGGATGTACGTCGCGTGCTTGCAGGCTCGGGTCAGAGCGAGGACGGTAGCAAGAGAGTGAGAGACCGAGCTCCGAAGCTCATTTTTATTCACTACTGCCGGGTTCTAACATCTTGCGTGAGTAACACGAAAATAATGCAAGGCGATACACCAACTCGTGAGCCTGCTCGCAGGCTAGCGCGTGTGCATGTTCTTGAGTGTCCTTTTTATTAATTCTCATGATATTTTTTAAATTCTCCCTACTACTTCTGTAACAAACTTATGAGACAAGAAAGGCGAATTTTTTTTTGAATTTTGGAGATTAACTTACTTTCTGTTTTTTTATTTGCCCCACCAACGAGATGAGCCAGCAGATTCAGCTCAGCTTTGGCCAGTGGGTTTGGGTTCTCTGACGATTCCTGTAAAAACACAGAAAGGCAAACGTCACATCAGCTAATAACGCAAACAAGAAAGACAACAAAAAAACTATGACAACAACAGGAAACCTTGAAAGATATAACCTGCGATAACAGCCAACATTTCGCGACGCCATCCCCGCGAAATGACGTCTGAGAAAAGTGCGCAGAAAAAAACATACTGATGACGCGACACCACCCAGATCTCGGTTGTTCGTGCTGATTGGTTGAAGCAAACTTCAACCAATCGGGAAATTTCGGCTGTTTTCTCAGGCTATGAAAGAAATGACTGTCAGTATCTTCTTTGCATTTGTTCAGAAGAGTAGATTGTCACTTGGATATACAGCAGATTTTTTTTTCAAAAGTTTTCAATTCACCAAATCACAACAAAAGTTGAAGACAGAGGCATTTGAGAAGCGATTTAAAGAAATATCGTTGTGGCCTGAGTTTAAACCACTTTTTTTCTTAGTAGTTCAACAGGAGGCATTTTGCAGTTGCGGTCATCTATACTAATAATTCAGAATGTCGAGAGTGAAGAAGAATTTGTACTGAGTGCGTTTATTAAGAAAACTTACACACGCGTTTGTATGAAATAGTAAACGCGTACATAAAAACTTCCGCGTTTACTCCTTCGGTCAGCCTCACACACGCCGGCGAATGCGAACGATCGGTAAACGTTATTTCTGCGTGGGCAACCGTAAACACAGAAATTTGTTGGTCCAAACATAGATTACCTATACCTGATGTGACTAGAAGAGAACTGAAAGAACAAAAGATAAATAAAGTTGGCGGTAGCCTTCTACGCAGACGTTCATAGGACTTCGTCAGGCGTTCCGAGGCGAAGTCCCAAGAATATCTGCGTGGGAGGCGACAAAGTTTTCGTACCACTTCAGACGTAACTGATACAGAGCTTCCGGGAGTCTTGTTTGCTGCAGTAGAAGCACCGGAAGTAGATGAAGGAACAGAGCTGCTAGGTACTGTTTCTACTGGTCTTGAGGCCGTGTACCTGGTGATAATTAAAAGAAACTTTTACGATTTTTGGCCACACTTATTTATACAAGAATAGCATGCCCAACAGGTGTGCTCGTGTGCGCACCCACAGCCGTAGTTCAAAGTACCCGAGAATATTGTTCACAAACACAAAAACTAAACCTTGTTTCCACTGGTTCACTGTGATCACTTAAAAAGGTCACAGATCGCCATGTTCAACAACACTTCAACGATCGCAGCGAAACATGAGTTGTACGCTTTTGTGATATTATAGCTAACAAGTGTAAACCAGGAAAAATGGGAAACTTCAGCCAGAAAGCGGTGCAGACTTGAAAGCAAGTGCTAATCCATTTAACTTACATGTTACTGCCAAGTTTGATAACTCTGTCACCCAAAAGTTCAAATGATCCTGGTTTGTCAGGTAGCTGATGTCGACATCCGGTTACAAAATGACTTGTCCTGGTAATCTGGCCATCGTCGCTAAAATACCTACAGCAGTTCACGCCGGAAATAATGTAAAAATAACCCAGTGAGTCCTAGTATTTGAGTACAAGCTATGGTTTAAAGATACTACATGTAGATGCAATTTTCAGACTTCTAAAACCAAACTATGAGTTTCTACCAGCAAGGGTGCCCATTTTCAGCTGGAGACATTTAACAAAAATGCATGAAAACGGGAGGGACTCTTTCTCTGTTAGAGTCATGCGCGAATGGAACAATTTGGCCAGCTACGTTGTTGCCCAGCACTGTAGGCTCGAAATTTAAGACGTTTTAAGGCTGCTACTAAATCGACCATATCTGTGTAATTCAAAATTTCATTCTTTTTCTATGTGCGGCCGCGCCTCTCCCGTCACGCGTCTTCAGTCATGTGCGCGGTCATTTTCATGTGTCGCACGTTTTCCTCGACCGACTAAGAAAAAAGGGAGACTGCTCATAGTCTAATAAGACTATGTTTCCTTACCTGATGGCCCCTGGTACCTCAGAATCCCATGGCACAGCGCCGTCAGTTGTTAGTACAAATTTACCATTTGCACTTTGAACTTTGTCCTTAAGAAATATAGAAACCTGAAACATGACCAGAGTGAGACATGCGGTTAGAAAAAAGTATTAGGATGTAAGTTGGAAGAGAGCAACGATCGCAAAACTATACGACAGCTGTAAATCACTATCTTACTGTCTCACTTTGTTTGGAGCACATCATGGTCAAAGGCACACAAAGGAACAAGTTGAAAATGAATTAGGAAATTAATTCATGATTAAGTATGTGGAAATGCAGCGTTTTGATGAGAATTTAAAAAAATTTACTTGACTAAAAGCAAAATAATTTTGCAAAAAAAACATAGGCTGTGCTAGTGAATAAGCATAATAATTGCTGCATAATTAATTTAAACAACTGTTAAGCATAGCAAATATGTTGATTCAAGAACTCTTTAAAGGAATTTTCAATGTAACAAAATTCAAATATTGTTAACGACTCCAAGCAATAACTGGTAAGAATATGACACTTACAGAAGGAATACCAGCCATTACCAAAGACACTAACTTGAAGACTCAAGTCACTTATTAGACTAGAAATAGTCCAACATCAAATTTGAAGCACCAAATGAGGGATTTTCAAGGAATTGCGGAGACGAAGTGAGCCCTCATTAGCTTTGTGCTTCAAAAGCCATACTTACTCCTACTGACTAATAGTAATTACAAATTAATAGAGTGCAGTTGAGATTCCACTTTGTTTGCTATATTGCATGGTTTAGAGAGGCAGTGAAGAACATGTGCATATCACATGTTCTTGGCGTGAAAATGAAGCAATTTAATAGCTTGCATGGAAACAGGGTAAGTATGCACAACCAATAAAATGGCAAACATTCTTAATATTCATCCCATAAAATCAGGGAGTGGTCTGCAGACCTCAATAATGTAATGTTAACAATCAATTAAATCAATTAAAGTTGGTACAGAATAAGATGACTTTCACTAACTGGAAACAAAGTGCACTTACCCTAATATGCATGTCTTGGAAAAATGAAAGAAGAGTCTGACGGATGATTTGAAACTGGCCTGCAGTCAAACCGGCATATGTCTAGTCAAGGTAATAAACCCAACTTGTTAATAACTATGCTTCAGAGTCCTCATGACACCATAATTATCAAGTTAAAAAAGATTAGAATATATCTAATTTCATAATCTCACAGTTTATTCCAATCATAATGAACTTGACTCCAAAATATCGGTTTGTAGCATTAATTTTTTCTTGCTTGTGTTTTCTAATAGATACTACTACATGTAGTGTAAGTGCAGTGAGAAATATGTTGAAAATGTTTTAAAATTCTAGAATGAGTATGCACATATTATTATACCATTTGACAAAATTTAAACTCTACCAGAGATGCACCTGAGGAAAAACTAGTATGCAGGTTTTTTTTCTTTTAATAGTCAAGCAGGCTTTTTATGCAACTTCACATTCAAAATTACCCCCTCTCTTCATTTGTTTTTCAGACTGATCTGAGCCAGACAGGTAGGTCTTTTTCAGCCACTGAAATTAGCCGGCAGCCAGCTCTTAGCAACAGCCCTGCTTACACATTCCCATTAAGCAGTATTAGCTGTGCAAACATTTGTTAGAATTCCGCAAGTAGCCACTTATCATGATCATACATTAAGCCAGCTCCATTTCCAGACAAAGCCATAGGGTATGTTTGCTTATAAAGCCTGTTTCCCCAGGTGCCAAAAAAATTGTTAAGTTAACTTACCTCATACAAAAGTTTGTAGACATTTTCCACTTGACTACTGATAGCTGGATTATCACAAGCAAAGCCTCTAATGGCATCCATGTGATTGTATGTGACTAAAAGAACATCAGATGGTCTGAGGCACAGTGACACCTAACAAAATAAGAATAGTAACAATAACAATATTATTATATAACCATACAGAAGGCAAAATGTAAGCTCTTCATCAACACCTACCATGAACAACTACAAACAATGTAAAATGATGAATCACAACGTTATTCAAGTAAGGCTTATTCCTGCTGATTATATTACGGAATAAGAATTAACGGATAGAAATAAACACTAGACATTCTCAACTGGATGGCGTTTTCACAGATACATGTATCCTCCAACAATAGCTAGTTAAATTCCGTTAAGAATTCCAGTATTCCAGTGGTACCAAAATCCTAATGGAAAAGATGAGGGATTGTTTTTGGAGGCAATGTATTGCAGTGGAACCCCATTAATACGGTCACCAATGGGTAAAAAAAAAAATTGGCTGTATTAACAGGGTGGCTGCATTACCAGATAGGGTCAAATTTTATATCTTGAGCGCCATAATAACAAAGACATCATACTTTGCATTTGCACCTCTTGAACTTTCCTTCAGTACATTAAACGCTTTTGAAAATCGGCTATCAAACTGCCACATATGCATTTTAAGTGTACTGTAGTCTAAAAAAAGTACAGGATCATGTCAAAAGATCAGGCTCAGCTTACCAAGTCAATGAAATTGACAAGTCACAAGCATTTTAATTCAGTTCTAAATTTGGAAAGAATGACCGTCTTAACGGGGTGAAATTATAAAAGATTCTACTGTTTGGGACTTTAAAATGGGGCCATTGGCCATATTAACAGGTGACTGCATTAACAGGTTTTTTTTATGTATGGCCATTTTGCTGGGCAGAAAAAGTGTGACCGTAATATTGAGGTGCCAGTATTACCAAGGTGGCCGTAAGGCACCGGTTCCACTGTGATCCAAATGAACCAACCTTTAGTAAAATGATCAAATAATACATGGTGTCCAAACAGATTTTCTTTTCTACTATATGACCAAAATATCTCATGCATATTACATTAGGTACCTCTGAAGATAAGAGATAATAAAAACACCTACCCAGAATCAAATTAAAGAAACGTGCTACGCTAACTAAATTGCGGACAGCAATTCTTCAAGTTTCTTTTTTTTGGCTGCTCAGTTTTACTCAAGCTTTTACATATTTTCTACTTTAGTGGACTGAACATTTACCTGGTATTTAAAAGCCATGGTCATTAAATCATAGAGCTGCCAATAAAAATAAGACACACGCAGTCACACACAAACTGTTAGCAAATAAATGAATCTAACTTTTTACAGATATGGTGGCCATATTGAATTTATTAGATTTACGGAGTATTATGGGGATGCCCAGGGCCCAGCACTCACTCAGTATTTATGCGCACTTTTCGACAAAAAGAGAGAACTTCAATGTATATTTCTGGGCAAAAAGGTGATCATTTACACAGCACAACAATTTTTTTTTTCCATTACAATCTTTTTCTAAGAAAACTTGAAGAAAAATTGGCCCCAAAAGCCCGCATAAATACAGATGCGAGTATATCGGATATTGCTCATGCCCCCTGGGCATCACATAATACTCCTTATAATCCAATTAATTAAATATGGCCACTGTATCAATAAAAAGGTCTATTCTCATAAATTAAGACTTGCTTAGAAAAGTCTAATTACATAAGAATAATTAACATCTTTTAATAGCAAATTAATGACAATTTAGTACCATTAATGATCCTCTCAGTCTGAAAATTTTTTTGGTACCACATGTAGCCTGCGAAAAAAAGCTGTCTCTCCTATCACTTGTTGCCCCTTGTTGTGTTTCTTGGCAGAGGCAGCTTAGCACAACTCTGACCCCAAAATTCCATATTGATGACACAAATCAGTTCAGGTAGTCATGGGGTTCCGGATGTAAATTTGTTTGACTTATGATGTTTCTCCTGGTCTGTATTATCAAAAAGTCTTGACTTCTTTTGCGAACGAGTGGCAGCAAAATTCAAATGCTTGGTGTAAAGAAGATTTAATATATTCCACAAATAATAATGACTACTTTTTAGTAGATTCAGTGCATTTACATTTTATCTTGTCAACATTTGTCTTTTGTCTGTTATTTGAAAAAAAAATAGCTAAAAGAATATTATTATTGCATACATGTGCATCAACCAATCAGTGCTAGTCGACCAGATTCTGGACAAATGTACGTCATCAGTGTGGAATTTTGGGGGCCAAATTGTAGACGTTTCTCTTGCGAAAAATTTTTAGTGGCAAGGAGTGAGGAGAGACGCTGTATTCCTGGTCTAGCTGAAGCCAATGATGTGTGATTTCTTCTCACCTCCCACTATTACAGAAGCCTCACTACTATGGACCCCTAGAATTTAAGAAAGTGTCTGCAATGACAATAGTTGACTGTATTGTGTGAAGTGAATGCCAAATTCTAGATAACAAGTGTGGATTCCAATCATAATCAAGCAATAGCTAGTAAGCACTGCTGAATAATGGTTACCTGATAAGATCTAAACTGCTTCTGCATGCAAGGCAAAATACGGAGGCATATTTCACAGATAAAGTTTGCAAGAAATTTCGGGGAATGTCAGAAAATGAGGTGAGGTTTTACCTTATCCATACTTGCTGAGTTCAATCTCATGATTGAGGCATGGGCCAGTCTGTCAAACACTGTCCTCATAGCTTTCTTGGAATAGGTGTCCTGTGGCTTGAAAAGCTCTTCCATGAAACGCTTGTTGAACATAGTGCCAACAATATCATGCATAACTTAAAGGGAACAGGAGAGTTAAAAGTCATGATTTATAAGTATTATTCTTGTGTTAAACTGTATGTAATAAATTATATGTTACAGGCCAAAATTAAATTCAAGTTGAAATTTTTTAACCTAGGTTGATTTTCAAATTCTTTGTCTCCTAGCCCTAAGAGACAAAGGAAATTGAGAATCAACTTAGGAGAAATCAAAATTAACCTGAAATCAAATTTGACCTGTAACATATACGCGCCCACCCCAAGCCAGTTCGTATAGGTAATAGCATGATTTGTAGTGATATTTGGCATAAATACCACAAGTAATATTTCAATTAATTGTTATACCTAATTGAAATTTGAGACAATTTTGAAATAGCATGAGTGGTATTTATGCCAAATATCCTGTACAAATCATGCTATTATTTGTTTATACTACTACCTAAAAAAGGTTTGTAATTTTCACATTCATGTAGGTATTTCAAATTAAGCTGAAATACCACTACTCTAAGCCAATCAAATTGCGGAAATTTTTCATCTAGTAGTATAACTAGGGAAATTTGAATATAGCTTCACCCATCTCTGTATCAAGTATAACTGTCAAGAAAGATCCTTGAATTTTTTGAAGCATATATAATAGTGCATTTCTGGGCCTTGTGTATGAATACAGAGAGTAACTCTATCTCACAGACACCTCTTTGAAACAGATAACCTCCTAAAACGGATGTACTAAAGTTTGTCCCTGTCATTCTTCAGTCAGTCCTAGCATTGTCTGCCTCAGAGAAAGTTGGTTGTAATGAGCGTTTTATTATTATTTTATTATTATATATATATTTTATATAGTTTTGAAGAAAACAACAAGAAATGCAATGTCACTATGAAACACAGTTTGATGTATTCCTCTTGGAACTCATGCACTACGTGTGCAGCCTACAGATAAGTCAGTTATCTACTGGCAAGTAACAAACTAATGGTCCAAGGTTCATATCTCACAATAATTGCCAGTTGAAGGTTATGATAACAATCTCTGTATTGACTCTGAACGATTCCAAATTTGAACAGTGTATAACACTGAGTAAAACAAGAGAAAAGTTGATTTCCAAAACAGAAAGGTTCATGTGCATGAAGGCAGAGAGAATGCATTGGACTGCCGCTCTATGATGGAAATTGAATTAAAATGCTCCCCATCCACAATTAACCATTGATAAACACACTTCTGCTCACTTACCACGTACACTTTATTACAGTCAAACCAGGTCAAGCGTACCCCCCAAGAACCCATTAATGAATTTATTATTCAAAAGTTGAATCCATTGCTAGTTGTAGATTTCAGATTGATCTCTGCATTCTTGTATGCGTAATGAGCCGTGAATTCACACGCGAGACAGTTATGAAATTTCTACCAGCTCCATTTTCCTGAAATTGATGTAAATGTCTTCTAAGAAGCTTCATCTATTCAAAGATTTCCAATCTGACCAAATACAGAGAAGTTCTCGTAAAATATTCACTGCTCATTACGCATGCAGAAATGAAGGTTTGAATTTGACACCAGTTACGGGAACGACTAATGGATTCATTTTTCAAATAATCAATTCACTGATAGAATCTTGGGGGGTACGGCCTTGACTTGGTTTGACTGTAACACGCAACAAGTCTGACCCACCGCTTCTTTGCTTGCAAATTTACTTGTCTAGTGTAAAACTGTATGTACAATGTAACCCTAGAAAGTTCTCAACAAGAACCTTTGCCAATAGCAGGGGTGCTGAATGGTACCTCGGAAAACGTGGGTCTCGGAAAATTTTGGCAGGATCTCGAAATCTCGGAAGCGTTTTTGGTAAGTCTCGAAGTCTCGTTTTTTCAAGGTTTGTTTTCACTTTTTTGAGTCTCGAAAATTTTCACCAAAGGGTCTCGGGCTCGGATTTTTAACTAGGATCTCGGCGTCTCGGCAAGTCACGGATTTTACCATTTGCCACCCCTAATAGCCAGTGTGCAATTTATTTTGACTATTAAGGCGTAATTCTCCAAGCTATACATTGTGGATAACAGCAGACAATGGCATCTAACATTTCAATTTCATGCCTTGTTTTATCCAGAGATAAAATAATTATTACACACATCTGAGTGCATGGATCAGATTCATTTGCTATAATATGGAGGAAAACTCTCAGTTAAAGGCAGGCTAAAAATCCAAAAGAGATCTTAATATTGCTTAACTACTCTCAAATGTCTTGTCAACTAAAAAAGTTAGCCAGGAACAAGAAAAAAGATAGCTTTAAATGATCAGTGCTCTGGAATGACAATAGCTTGAAATTATGAAGTTAAAAAAAACGCAGATGAAAAATATAAAGCTGCCATCCAAGAAACAAAAGAACTCTTGTTGTTATGTCATAAAGAGGATAATACAATGCAAATAATTTGTCTTAATAGTCTTTTAAGTTTCAGACAAATTTTATGCAAATTGATTTGACTGATTGTCATTGATTTATCTCACAAGTGCCAAAAAAGAAAAAGAAATCTTAAATATTATTCCATAAAACTCGGTGCCGCCCTTTACTTAATTTCAAAAAATTGAAATTTCCATAAGAAAGGACCAAAAACCTGGGTATTGTAAATACTTTGACAAATTTGCATGGAAATGTGCCGCAAACCCTGATAAAAATTTCAGAGAACTTCCTTTTTCTAATTTTAGCTTCTCCAGCTGTCAGTCAATAAGAAAATTCTAAATGATACTGCTTGAACTAAACCTTTACATAGAAAGTTTTACGCAAGGAAAAAATTATGAAAAATATATTCTACAACGCTTTTTGTAACAGTTCGAGACAGAAATAACAATTTTTCAATTGCTTGTTTTCCTGTTAAACATTTCAGTCAAAAGTCGTTTAAAATAAGCTAGACATTTGGCAGTCTTCTCCTCTTGAGGATTTTTTAAGCTCACAAACTAAAATTTCACGTATGTGTAAGCTTAAATACAGTTTGAGTTTTATTAAGCTTGTACCCTCCAGTCCAGTATTCAACCCTGGTCATGATTGACAGCAATCCCACAACGCTAGCTTTTCCTACGACAGAACTTTGGCGCAACAAAAGGTATGATTAAGACAACAACACTTTTAAAATTTAAAGCATTCAGAAATGTGATTAACCTGAGCAACAAAGAGAAGAAAATAGATCAACACGCAGGTAGCCATTCTAAGAAACATATGGCAGCTGAGCAAATAAGAAAAGCACTTTGCAGTAGGCTAGTTTTAATTTCCAAGAGCCCGGCTACGAAGTGTAGCCTAACACGAAAAACCAAAAACACAAACTCGCTTCAGTCGAACGCAATCTTGAATATTAACCTAAACACACGCAGCGAAATTCTCTAAACAACAATTTTGCCTTATCTTTCATATTTTCCTCCAAATGTCTACAGAAAACGTATATTTATTTGTTAATACGCTCGCCATGGAAATAATCTTGGTGGACGCCATATTTAATAGAGCTCATATTTGAGGCCGCCGGGAGAACTTTTCTTGCTTACCTTTCCGAGCTTTCTCATCAGGAATCGACTGCGCTCTCAGTCGCTGGTCCAAAATATAAAGCATTTCTCCTCCAAGATTAAGGAATAAAATGGGCAGAGTTCGCAAAGACATCCTGTCTACATATGAAGAAATTACAAAGTCCCTAAACACAGCTAAACGGACTCCTGTAGCAACTGCATTGCAATAGGGTTAATGGATTATCAGTAACTATTAGAGATCATTAATCCGCGTTCTGCAAATCCGACTATGGGGTGGCTGGGTTGGTAGGTAGAAAAACTTGTGACACTTTTTTGTAACAAACAGGTATAAATGCAAAAGTAGAAACAAAATTTTAAGTGATTGAAATACTCTTTTTTATTCGTTATGTAAAGAAAGGCTGGCCTGGGTTGTGTTTATTGACATTCGTGAATGGGAGACAGCACTGGGGAGGGGTGGGGATGAATATTTTAAAAACATGTCCGGAACTCGGCAGGCTAACTGATAAGGCAGCTGTACAGGACGTATGGTGGAAAAATTATTTTTCTTTAGGCGATTAGTAGCCATGGCTAACAAAGTATCACAGGATCAGAGTCGGTATCAGCATGCAAGCAAGCTCTCCAGTTAGGGTAGTCGTAGCCTGAGATCCTCGCAGGTTAGGGCAGTCGCTAGAAGTGAGTCATGCCAGAGCCGGGCGCGATAGGAGATGAGAGGGAGACTCGCGCGTTCTTCCATAATTGGAGAGCTTGCCCGCGGGCTACCAAAGTTTGTCGGTGTCGGTAAAATTCCCCAGCTTCATCCCCACAGGGTATTTCGCGACGACACCACTGGTTTCCCCGCGGCCCCCGCGAAATGAAGTCTGAGGAACGAGCAAAGAAGGCAAGTCTCTCTTGGTCAAGGGAGCTGAAGGTAATCCGTTCCACGGTGGACTCTGGGATGCTCGTCGAAAAATTAGATCTAACTCGACCAATCAGCGTTGAGTAAATTTCCCCTTACGACATAGGGCTTTTGTCTGACTCCTTGTCTTTCAGTCTGGTCTTCATCGCGATTATTCCTACCCACCTTCTTTGTCAAATGTTGGCGAACTCTCCTGGAGTTAAACGTTCTCCATAAATCGCGATATTAGGCATTTTCACGTCGTAGTCGTGCAAAAAGGGCAAAGAAATGAATAGCCTGTGAAAACATCCGTTTCTCCACGCTCTTCGCCGCTGGGGACTCTTTGCGCGAAACGTCCCAGCGGCGAAGAGCGCGGAGAAACGGATGTTTTCGCAGGCTAAGAAATGAACAAAAAAAGTGTGATGCACATTTTTTTTTGACAGGTTCTCGTTGCCGTCGCCGTTGGATCTTTGAGCCTCTAAATATAATGAATGTTTAAATATTCATCGAGAACTGGATCTTACAATTTTTGTGTGGGCGATTGAAAAGTTAGCCTGCGTGCAGACGATAACTAAACTCTGATTAGTACCGTCTGCGAAGCAGCGCAGAGAGATCCTTGTTCTGGACCCCCAACGGACTCAACGAATTACCGGAAGTGCGTTTCGAATTCCCCTTCAACCTGATGGGCGATCACGACAAACAAAACAAAGGCCTTTTTTAACTGGCCAATCGTGGCGCGTAGTCAAATCTGGGTACACAGCTGGAAGTCCAGAACAAGGATTTCGGCGCTGTTTCGCAGACGGAGTTAACCAGAGTTTAATTTCGTCTGCGCGCAGGCTATTGAAAAGTTTGAGATCCCTTAAACGGAGCTGTCACAAGTTACAGGCTTATGGTAGAGTGCACCGTACAACAACCGTCATATGCTCACTGTATGCTTTAGACTTTTGTCAATCCGCCATCGTCACAACTCCGCCCTCCCATTTTTAAGATTAAATGCCCTGGAGACGAGGCTCGCTTTTCCAGACACCAGTTACAAACAGAAAACGGAAGAGGCAGTTGTGGAGGCCATATGGCAGAAGAATTATATTTCCTTGCAGGCTATTCTTCAGCGATCAGGAGCCATGGCCAGGAGGAAGTCCCACTGTATATATCAGTAACGGAATAAAAAAATATGTATAGCTCAGCAGTTTTTTTTCTCTCAAACGAGGTTGAATGCTAAACCATTCTCAAAAAGGAGTCCTTTGTCAATCTACTCAAAGCTGTTGCTTTTTACTTCGGAATCCACTTTGACGACGCGGTCTTAATAGAAGATTTACGTTCGATATGAAACGGGACAACACTCACATGATGATCTTAACACCAGATGAATTCACGTCAAACGGTTGATAAGAACACCAGCCTGCGTAGAAGGCGTTTGGAAGTATAATGGCGTAGGAAAGAAGGGGGCGCGCGCCTGCTAGGTACGCAGGCTATCAGAACACATACTTTCCGCACTTAACGGTAAAGGACTGGAAACTAAGTTTGACTTTCTCCTAGACCCCATTCGCCCCTCGAGACTTTGCCAAAAAACGCGTTTTGCAGCTAAGTCGAGCGGTTTTCTGGCCACTGTCGTGCTATAAAGAGCTAAAACTTACCACAAAGCTGTTCAAAGGTCGTACACTTCGCGGCCTTCTGATCCAGATGCAAAATCTGGCACCGATGCTTGAAAACTTTCGTTGCGCCTTTTCTCCCCGCCCGACTGACTGCCCCTGGGTCTCCGAGGATAGTTTCGGAGTATCAATTCCGGCCACAAACACGCAAATGCACAGCAAATCCACGCAATAGAGCCTTATTTTAATGAATGAATTGCAGGTTAAGAGCGCTTTCCATTTGTCAGAACTGACCGTGCAGACCTTCCCGTCGCAACGAGAATTTCACTTTTAATCAAAACTATAGTATGCAAGAAAAAAGATGGTGTTTCAGCAAAAAACTCTTAGAAAAAACCGATTTCAATTCAAACTGACTGGTCCGGCCGGCCGGTTCCGACGAATGGAAAGCGCTTTAAGATTGTTTCCGTGTTATCTGAAACCGGTTAAGATCAAATTAAGGGGATTTTGTCCAGTTATAATGTTGCTCTGATTACTTGCAAGCTAGTAAGTCTAGTCACAAATGAATGAAACTCCCAAAACAGCGCAACTGCGTAACAAAATGCGACATCACAATCTTTCACGTGTTACGTTTGTCTCCCGCAGCTCATATAAAATATACACTCACTTTCTACGGTTATACAACGAACTGAAAAAGTGACCAGCTCCTCGGTGAAGCCTGCGAGCTACGTAGCTCTCCATTTATGGCGTGCGAGGCTGGCGAGCCGCCCACGCATGACTTCTCTGGACTCCACGAATGGAGAGTTTGCTCGCAAGCTAACCTCGGTGGTTTGAACACTACACCGACATAGGTTAGGATTTAAGTCTCGTTTTCCTGGCTTTCTTCTCGCATGTGACTGCTCAAGTATCGTACATGACTGCGATGATCTCTAACGCCCAAAGTGATAACTACTGCACGTTGTCTCTTCCATTTTTGGACACCAACTAGGCCAAACGTCGAACTTTTCATGAGCCAAACTCTAATTTGGGTCGACCTAAATAAAGATCGTGGGTCTGCAGACGTCGAACTTAGGTCGCGTCGAACTAACCAAGTGAATCAGATCAGGCCCCAGTTCCTGAGAGGCCGATTATCGCTAATCCCGGATTAAAAATTTTGTTCCATTTTTGTATTTACCTTCCTGTGCATTTCGTAGAGTAAAATTCTATGTTATCATCACTGAATCTCGGAGTAAAGACACAAAGTATTTTGTAAGCTCGAGTAACATGTTCTTAGACAAGAAAACCTTGCTTAAAATTTGGCTTAATCCTGGATTAAACTTAACCATCTTTCGAGGAACCGGGCCCAGGAATAAATTTTCTCCCGAACGAATCTAAAATATACATCATCATACTAATTGTTAATTACTTAGTTTAGTTCGTCGCCTGTGAAGATCGACGTTTGTCCCGGAGACGATCTTCAGACGTCTGAAACAGACGGATAGAACGTGTTGAACGATCCAAACTCATTCAAACGAACTAAATTGAGCCAGACGTCCAACTTTTTATGAACTTGACTCACTGAGTTTGGTTCGTCCAATGAAAAGTTCGACGCTTGGCCTAGGGTTAAGAGAACGACTCGAAAACTTACTCAAACATAAGAACAACAAAACTATGTCAATAAAAATTTTAATAAAATTTCTAAAATGTACAATGTACGAAATAATTAATCCGAGTCAGCTTTAATGCTGATACTGATTCAGTTAACGTTTTCTGTTCGGGAACCAAAAACACCTCACCAAATAATTACTTCTTTTCTATAAGAGGCAACAGCAACAGAAACCCGGTATACTCATGACAAACATCATTACTTTTTTCCCAGTTTAACCTGCAACGAAATACAAAAAAAAAAATCAGCACCGTTATATCAAAAACACAATTTGTAACCTCCAAGGCCACTAGTGCAAGGACTCCTGGAGTGGACACGAGGAATGGTGCTCTGAAGGGGTACTGGTAATGCCGATAAATGTCGTGTCTACGCTGAGGTATTACAATCACCTGAACAATAAGCCAGTTATCGACTAGTATGTCCGTCACAAAGCTGAACAGTTGGTTGGTTGATAAATCAGTTGTTCTCTGACGCACTGCTAGAGGAATTGCCCGCCAAATGTCGCCTTAAATCTTTTTAAATTGCCAAATAAACTAGTTTCCATAAGTTAACGAAATTAAATTTTTCTGGATCAGTCAGTCGGTCGGTCTGTCAATACTCTTGTTTGGATTTGAGGTGAGATGGGTGTAACATGGACAATTAAAAGCGCGCGTCTTACTGTGTGAACCTGAATCTTCACAGAGACCGACAGCTTATTGATGGTCATTTTATTTTATGATGTACTCACGAAAAATATATACAACAGATCGTAATACAATTCAAAAATAAACTACAATCCACCTTGACGATCCACGGGATGATCACGCCTTACGTTTTCTGTCCTTCTTACCCTCCCGTTCACTATGCGATGATGAACTGGAAGATCTTCGTTTTCGACGATGCTTCTTGTCAGAATACTCCCGACTATGTCTTGATGATTTTTGTTTTCTCGAAGTTCTACTCTCGGTGTCGCTCTCCGATTCGCTCTCACTCTTCCATTTCTTCTTGCTACTGTGTTTCCGCGGCGATCTACTTCGAGATCGGCTCTTTTTTCCGTGGTGTCGACGATGTCTCCGCCGGCGCTTTGGTGATGAGCTGTCGCTTCTTTCTCTTCGATGATGCTTCTTCCGCCGACTTTTATGATGAGCTGAAACGGAACTTGAGCTCTCGCTGACAGAGGATGAAGGGCTTCGATTTCGTTTATCCTTCTTCACGTGCTTACTGCCTGCATCATGGTGTTTTAAACGTTTCGATTCCTCCTCTTCTTCACTTTCAGAACCCGCATCGTCTTTCTGGCTGACTCTTCTGGAAAAACTGCGAGAACGGCTTCTTCGTATTTCCTGCTTCTCTTCTATGTCTGCACTTGGATGTTTTCTGTCCTCATAATAAGCAGATGATCTTTCGCCAACTGATTCTTGCTCAGATTCACTTCCACTATCTGAACCATACCCGCCTAGTCCTGAAAGAAAATTTTAACCACATTAACGTGATGTTACTCGTGACGATTCGCTACGACGATTTTTAGCGCAACACAACGTTGCAATGTTGGAACAATGTTGTAACCATTCGAAACAACGTCGCAACGCCGTGTTGCGCTAAAAATCGTGGTTGCGAATCGTCTCGTGTAACGTCACCTTTAGAGTGCGAGCATTCTCTCTTTTTCTTCAGATTAGTCAGGGGGGTGACGCGCGCGCGAGCGTCGAAGCCGCGAGAAACAAGGGCGGCCTCCATTCACGCGCGTGGTCATTTTAGTATTTCGTCCGTTTCGCTAGACGGACTAAGAAACAAAGGGATACTGCTTGTAGTTTACAACATTCTTTGTCATTTGAGTAAAGACTGTGCGACAAACGGCAAGAATAGATCCTTCCACAGTTTTTTTTCAAATTTTGATAAAGAGAAGTACGCGAATGTCTATCGAAACTGCCGGAAAAAGATACTTAAAATAAGTAGAATCATCAATTTTAAATGCGATACGTCCGAAACAAGAGAAGATATGGCCATAGAGTCTCAATAAAGTTTGTATGGCGAAGGGCACGAAATAGCCACCAGACAAACATCTGTAAAACTGCGCGACTTCGCGATGCTCTATCTTCGTTAGTTTTCAACAACTCTACTGATTTTATGGCGTTCTTTCGACCCGTGTTCACAGATTTTCGTTAACTGGTCCCGGTCGGAAGTTGAAAACAGTGTCTATAAAATCATCTGTTAGTGCTACAGATCAAATAAAAAATAGGACAATACCCGAGATCAAGGGCCGACTTAAAAATGACCTCGCGCGTATTATTTGTCTAGAAGGCCGAGGAGCGAAAGCATTTCCCGATTTAATACAAATTTCAATTAATCTAGAACCAGGTCATTATTGTGGCCACAGAATTGAAAAAGTACGTTATCATGAAAGATAACGACCTCTTCTGACATAAAAATGACCTGCTCCTCCGTTTATTGATAGTAATACAATGTAGCCTGTGCAAAACAATGAAAAGGTGCATCAAACGCTTTAAAGGGCCCAGTAGCAATAAGCAGCAATTAACAGTCTAGTCCTAAAATGCAAAATGCTCCAGCTAACCTAAAATTTACCACAAAAACTTGTCACTTATTAACGAGCAGAAGTATTTTTATCAAGTGCAGTACCGTTTGTTTGTTTAAGTTTCATAGCGTTTCTAAGATGAATAATTTTAGGATATTTAATTGTTCCCGCGAAAATACGAGTATAAGACTCAGCTGTGTTTTAACGCTCTTGAAACATTCATTTCGTATAATTATTTTTCTTACAATAAAATTTGAGTTTCAGAGCGAGTAAGAAATTTAGTTCTGCAATATTTTTTTGATGAAAATTTTTAGGGAATCAAAAAAATTGCCTTTTCTCTTCCCACCTCTTTTTCAGACAATCATGGAAAAAGTCTTGGGACACTTGCGTTTCTGGAGCGTTTTGCAATTCACACAGGTCCAACCTCTTCCTAACAATGTTGGACGCGTGTATCCAGAATTTTTTCCGAGTTTCAACTTTGTATAGGGTGGGGGGAGGGAGAACAGCAAGAAAATTTCGAAACGGATGTACTGTTTTAAGAGGGAACCGAGAAATGACAGAAAAGTATGAATATTGCGGTACTGTCCCAAGGATTTTTGTCCAGGATTGTAGTTACTGTGGATAAAATTAATGTATCATTGAAATACCGGGTAAGCTTTCGCGCGAAAACATGATAATGGGTGCGTTCCTTTCGGTGAATCCAAAAACGGATTTTAGATCTAAGAACGGATTTCGCGTTCCTTTCGGCAAATCCAAATCCGGATTTTTGATCTGGTGAATCCTTTTTGAAAAAGGATTCATTGGATTTGAAATCCGAAGAATCCAAATCCAGATTAACGGATTAGTGATCTACGCTGTTCCATTCACAGTGGATCCGAAATTAGTCAGATGATCCAGCGGTATTTCCAGTTGAAGTATTCCCATAGAGGTCGTAGAGTTTCCTCGTTACTGTCATTTGCCGCAAAACATCTGAAAACACTAGAAGATTGTTCCAGGTACATTAAAATATCCATATACTAACCACTTGTCTCTAAAGATGGCTTGAAATCAGAAATAAGTAAAAGTAACAAATGAACTGCTATCTAATTACAAACTCGCTTGTAGACGCGACAGGCACTCGAACGTGCTACATAAAAAAACCCGAGCTATGGAACTGGATCAAACTGGCCGACAATCTTTAGATAATTTTCAATTTTAATGCGCTTCTTCCTTTGTCTGTTTTATACGTTCCATCGTCGCTATTCGAACTGCCGACCACTAAATTCTGCACGGTATAATCGCATAATTTGTCAAACAGTAGAAAACACGTCATTTTTTGGGAGGATGTCGTGCATACTGCACGCTTTGGCGAAAGGTTACCAAGGTTACAAATCCAATTTCGGATTTCGCGTTCCTTTCGACCGCGAAATCTGGCAAATCTAGGATCAAAAATCCGTTTTTGGATTCGCCGAAAGGAACACACCCAATATCTTCACATGTGAAAAGATCACCGTTGCTATGGCTACATGATGAATTGCGCCTTTCGCTGCAAAAAACTACTACAATGAAATGGTTTGGCAGCTCATTGAGGTTTAGATAATAAAATAATAAAACATTACCTGGCCGCGGGGAGATACGAAATTTCAATAAAACACTGTACAAACCATGCTTAGTTCAGTATTTAAGGAAACGAACAATCAATGAGTGGAAAATGCTTAAATACTCCCCTACATGATGCGTTAGTCTAAATTGACAGTAGAGACCCAATTAGACTTGCTACAAGTCGACCTTGCTTAAGTTCTTAAAAGTGAGCGAAGCAAGCTTCATTGCATGAGGTCGCGCAGCGGCCGAACGAGCAACGAAGTCTCGAAGTCGACTTGTTTCGCCTGAATGGATTTGAATCATCATATGATTGACATGCTCTATCGGGAGCGGCGTGAAATATCACTCACTGTCCTATTGGTCAATTGTCATGACGTCACCGGTAGAATTTTCGACCTGTGAATTTCGCGCCAAACAGGTATGGAAAGTCTTTAAAATGGCATAAACAACCAGGAAAAAAATAAAGGACTTTTAGAAAGTCTAAGACCCAATCTAACAAACGAGATGGGTACATTTTTAGCTTATGGGTCTGTTCCATACATTTCACTACAACTATGCCATGAATGTTATACTGGGGTGTTTGCTGTATGGGGTTCAATTTATCGAGATTTCACTCTTGCTGTACATTTTTTTTGTATGGCAAGCTCTCCAACCTGTATGCAAATGCTCTGATGTCACAGGCTACTCGAAAAGGCAAGATAATTATTATTAGCAACATATCAGAGTCACTCCTAGCACAACTGAGTGGTCAGTGCTGGTAATCCCTGGTTGAAACCCCCCCACTCTTCCAACTGGCTACAATTGTTGTGTGGCAGCCTAAAATTCAACTCTTAGTGGGCTTTATAACAGATCACTGCAGTATAACAGATCACTTAATGACTGGTCCATTGAGCATCGAGAAACTAGTTGATTTTGTTTCTACTGAATCGCAAAATTTACGCCAGGGATTCTTGGGAAAGAAAATAAGCCATTTCCATCAGGAACAGTCACTGAGTACTAACCTTAATATTATTCATTTTAAAAAGTCAGTAATTCTCGAACATGGTGAAAGAAGAAAAGTTATGTGGAAGTACTTGTACTAAAATCATATTGCTGTATTGCAGGTTTGAACGTGACATCACTAAGACCATATTGGGTTAAGAACAGAAAAGAGTTTCTCTCCACTGGGAACTTAACTCTATCTTGCAGATTCTAAGAAAAAAAATGTACTATATTAACCACCAAAATGGCTGCCTTGTCAATGGCTGCAGTCTTTTTTATTTCATTTACATGTATATTACTTATCCATGACACTTCCCTTTTAAAGCAACAAAGTAGACAGAAGATGTAGTTCTACTGTTTATACAGCCTTACTTGTTCTAGTTGTTTGTACCTTCTTATTCATTTACATTTAATTATACAAATAAATGCTTTATCAATTTACTGTTACATGTCCTTCCTATTTTTGTACTCACGTGACAAACCAAACAACATCAAGTACATGCTCATGTAGTTTTAATAACAAGTCAAGCTAGTCAGTGGAAAGTTATCTCTTGTGTAACCATTCAAATCAAACACCCTTGTTACTTTTACATGGTAAAACCTACATTTCTCTTAAATAACATTATTTTTGTCACCCTCAGTGAAATGCATAAAGAGTGGCAGAACATACCTAAATAACCTCCTTTTCCTCGAAGAGCATCTAAACCTCCAGAATGCTGTAACTGCCGTGCAGGACCTACAACATCATTCAACACAACAGAAAATAGTCACGTTACTGATGGCCAACCAGAAGCACTTGGTAAAGAACACCACTAAGCATGACAGGATATGTACCTCGCAGCGCTTCATTATAAGTCTCCTGAGCAATTTTTTTCAACTCTTCATTAGTTACCGTTAAGAGAACTTCCGTCAGCAGTTTGCGGATATTCACCATCTGAAAACCATAAAAAAACAGCTATTAATAATATAATAGACACTAAAACACTCCAAGAGTCCAGAGAAAGACGGCTGATTATAATGCAAAACTGCCCCATTTTTAATTTTGATATTGTCATTATTTTTGTAATTGCATGCTAGGCTTTTGTGGGCAGGGACAAAGCATCCCCACTTTCTCTTAATGCTGAGTAAAGAATACAACAGATTGCACAATCAAAACTAAAAACGTTCCCCTGGACACATAAACTGACGCACTTTTTGGGCTGAATGAGACTGGCACTCTTCACTTACCATGTAATGTAATCAAAACAAGTGGCCTCTCACCCCCACCCCAAATTCGCATGAAATGAAAAAAGTATATTTTTCATAGATTGTTTGTTGAGCCACAAAACAAAAAAGCGCCGTTCAATAGACATATGCCAGACACTGAATGCATTTAACTTTATGTCTGAAGTGTTCAGAGCTCTGAAATTGTGTGAAAAACAATAAGTTAAGTCAAAGTACTCTAAAAGGTCACTTTTGTATAGCTAGCTGTACATGACTTGTAAGTACACAGCTCTACTTATGCAAGCCCTAAGACAACCCCATTTGAACTTTCTATGTAAACATGTACAGTGTATGTGCATGTTATATTGTACTTATGAAAACTATTCTGGTTCTAAAGCCATGAGCTCCAGGAGATTTCTCGAGAGAACAGTTTTCATCACAATTTCCACTCATGTTAGTTTGGAATAGAAAAATTAATTGACCTTTTAAGTTTTGCTGCATTTTACACTCAGGCAAAGCTACACGTAGTAAAGTCATCTGATAAGAAGAGTGAGAGTCTTTTTGTTTATATAAATTTGGCACTGATACAGTTTTATCTAAAGAAACAATGAAGTACCTTCTGAAAACCGTTTACATTGTACCCCACAGTATAGTGCTTAAAAATAAAGTGCTGTGTGGGATTTACTGTTAATCGCTCTAAACGGACACCTCGCTAAACAGATATGTACATGTAACTAGGGTTTGTCCTGCCTTTTGTTATTAGTTGGCTCACTATACATGTACGATGAACATCTTTCGAAGATAGACACTTAGTCGCAGTTCTGAAGGTGTCCCTCTCAGAGAGTTAACTGTTATAATATCAAAAAAATATAAAATGTAGCTGAGTGAGTTCTTGCCTCCGAACGCCCCCACCCCGACTCCTAACATTTAATAGATTCCCCATGCATTTATTACACATGTAGGTCATTTATGGTAATCCTCAAATGTAAGTTTCATTCACTGGTTACCACTACTTAATGATCAATACAATTTATTTACATTTAAGTGTGCTCTTAAAAAAACTTACAAGTTCTTGCTGCTTTTCCTCCTCAGTCTTCTCATTTTCTTCTTCATCCGATGATTCTGCCTTCTTGTGTGGTGGGGATGCTTTCCTAGAGTGACGTGCTTTAACAGAAGAGCTTTTTCTTGGAGCCTCCTTTTCACCTTCCTCTCCTGATGACTGGTGTTCCCCTTTTTTCTCCTCATCAACCTCCTTTAGTAACAAGTAAAGGTGGTTTTCAGTTAACGGATAAAAGTACTTTGAAAACTATATTTCAAAATGCTTTGGTTTTGCATCTATACTGTATGCTTTTGGACTGTGCAGAAAATCTTGTAATGTAGGTAGAGAAACCAAAAAATAACGGAAACACACTTCAGGTCTGTCAATTTGAGTACAATTTTTGTTCGGTTTACTTTAACATCCATCCATCCCTTGACTAAACATACCTTACTTAAATACTTGAATTCAATTTCTCCATTTACTTGCCTCAACTACAATGTTTTATTTCAATTTTGTTTCTATTGACATGCAGAAACTTTTAATTCTACTACTTCACAGAAGGTATTGATCCAATAGAAGCCTTTAAAACATTTATTTGCAGCCTTATGATTTTTTTCCCCTTACAAATTTTCAAAGAAAAAATACTTTAAAAATCAACTGTGTTTAACACAACTAAATTAAATTTTTACGGCCTATCAACAAAACATTAAGACGGAATCCATTAGAAAATTGAGTAATTTTAATTTTCAGTGGACAAAACCTTGTACCAGAATAATTACCAGAAATATTTTTCACACTTTTCGAGGGCTATAAAAAATTGTATGAAATAACTCCAAAGAAAAGGTTCTTATTGGAGCCCGACAAAACAAACTTCACTAACCTTCAAAAGCTTCAAATTTCACACAATGAAATCTTATGCTTGATAGTTATTTTTTACCTGTGTTTTTTCAATTCCTGCGAAATTTGAATTTATTTTCTTGGGCTCTCATAAGAAATTGTCTTTGGTGTTATTACAGATAACTAATAATTACATCTACAGCCCTTGAAAAGTGCAAAAAAGGATGCAATATGGCTTTAAATATTCTGGTACAAAATTTTTGTCCACTGGAAATTTAAATTAGTCAATTTCCTGATAGATTTCATCTTAATTTGTTGAATCCCATTTAATGGTAAAGCCCTAATTAGTGCATTAACCCTTAAGCCCCAATATCCGAATACAAATTCTCCACAATATGGATGTCCATACATTGCCTTATAGAGATCAACGCATTTCTCCTTTGTTGATCATTTTGTTAATTCTCATAACCATTTCTTTTGATGATGTATCAATATTGTCAGGAGAAAATTGATGTTGGTCACTCTTGGGACTTAAAGAGTTAAATCCTATGTACAAGTATGGTCACATGGGTGCATATACAATGTAAATACCATAGGTTGCATCTAAATAAGGTGCCAAACATGAAGTGTTTTGTCGCCAAACATTAATTTTTGAAGTTTGACAGCCATTAAAGCAAACTGTCGCGCCAAAGCAACATTGTTTATATGTTTTTGATCAATGCGTTCCACTCTTATCTCATTTTTCTTAACTTTCAGGCATATTTCTCGCTCAGAAACAGCACACTTGCCTCCAGAAGTTATTCTTAACATCTAAAAATTCTTGCAAAGAATATTTCATTGAGCGAAAATGAATCAAGTCAACAACAGCCGCGTACTCCAAACTTCGAATGTTTGGCCGCAAAACATGACATGTTTGCACCCAATTAGAACATGTTTTTTTCCTCACGTGTACATGCTTAGATGCAACCGACGGTACATGCATCTACACTGTACGTCCATGGTATTCAAATAGTTTCCCATTTTTATTAAACTCAACCACAATGCTTTATTATCATTTACCTCATCAGAATCATTGCTTTTTGGTGAATGCACTGGAGAATCAACTTTACCATGATCATAACCAGCTATGCTAGAAGCTGACCCAGACAAATTCAGGCTTGATTTCTTTGGTTCTTCTTCATCTGGCTGATCTTGTTTTTTCTGTTTCTGTTTCTGCTTTTCCAACTTTTCAAGACCCTCTCTTATCCACATAGGAAGAGCTTTCTTCTTCACATCTAAAAAAAATTATCATTTTTTTCAATTTCAGCGGAGTAAAACGACAGCTTAAACTCTGTCAAAACTAATTTAAAAATGCACTTTGCACTTTGTTGACATACCTGTAAAATACTTACAGTCTAATTCTCTAAAAAAAAGCACAGTCGACATCACCAGGTATTTGAGTATAATTTTTACTGGTAACAGTTTGGTGCAAGTTCTACATATTTCTCACTTCTGGATTTCCATGAAAAAAGACACTACTAAACAAAATAACTTGCAGTGAAATCAATCATTTCACTGTAATTGCTTTATAATGTTCAAGCCCATCTTTGTTCAAGAACAAACGAACAGTGCAGTACTATGAAACCCTAAAGCTTGTGAAAACAGTGGCCAATGTACTTACCACTCAGTCCACTTATATCAGGAATTGATTCAACAGGAGGATGGCCTTTGGGTTTACCATGTTCATGTGCAAACCTGTGATGATGACGTTCCATTTCGTAAGGATGCTGATGATAATAATGACTATCATACTGAGGATGATAATCATAAACTTGTGCCCCTGGAACAAGAGGACCTTGGTGTCCGTAATCGAGAGTTTGATGACCATGGCCATAATCAATGGGCTGAGCTGCTACATGGCTGAACTGCTGCTGCGGAGGAGGCCGGTTAAACCCGTGATTATGGTCAAATGTTTGCATTCCTTGTAGGGCTGGTGGAGGTTGGTGATTGTAATCTTGAGTGACGGTGATCTGTTTTTCTCTTTCTTGAGACTGTTCAACGTGAACATGGTCTGTAACCTCTTGAGTCTCAGCTCCACTTCTTTCCTCTACTTCATCATCCATGGCTACTGTTTCGATGTTATCAGCCATATGATTACCCTCTTCACCTTGCCATCCTGGGACTGGTGGTTCGCCTTCTTCCACTGGCGGCATTGGTGGTGCCTGGACCTCTGGTAGAAACTGTTGATTGTTGACATTAGCAGGGGGCGGTTGTCCTATTTTCACTTGGGTATCTGGCTGGTAGCCACTGTATACAGGTTGCTGATACATCTGAGAGTGGTCCACTGGTGGTTGAGGCTGTTGTTGGTAGTACTGTGCCATCTGCTCTTGTGCCATTCTCTGCTGAGCCCATAATGCTGCTTTGGCTGCCCAGTCTTGGCTTGGGTCTAAATGTTAAAAAATGTTTCACCTTAACACCTCTCAATACTATTACCTCTTTTATAACATAAAACATTTTTTTTGACAAAGTTACCTCACATGGTAAGAAAACATTATTTAGGATGACAAGTTACTACGTTTTATCCAGATATGATACATGACAGCCTACAGTTATGTACAGTTTTGTATTTCCAGTTTATTTTGAAATTGAGTACAACTTTAATCCGCATGCACCTTTCTCCCTTAATCTTTTGAGCACTTACTGTACATCTTAACCTCAGAGTTTTCATATTCAAAGAAAGACAAAAACACATTGTTACAATGAATACAAGCATTTTTTCTAAGTCACAGACACACACTGACATTTCACACTCAATACACTGACAGAAAACAAAAGTCAATGGTAAAAGTTGACTCTCCCAGCACCGCAGTATACTGTGTTCTGTCGCCTATGAGTATGGACTAACAATCAAATCACCTTTAAAACTGAACTGTCTTCCAGATTATCATATTATTACATTTGTGTCTTTTAGGAGTAACTGCAGAATTCCTTCATTAAGACTTGCCCCTTTACCAGGGATCAGAATTAAAAGAATACATGTACAATGTATGTAGGTGGAATAAACAAGCTTTTACCTGACGCCAAATTATGACCTTACTTTTCACACTATTTAATAAGGGCAATGATTGTTTATCCCTGAATTGCTGATTTATAAAAATCCCTCCAAACCATAAAATACCAGTGATTCAAAGCACACAATTAAGCATGATTTATTGATTGCCAATATTCTGTTTGAGTGACAGTTCCCATGGGTGACAGTATTCATGGCAGAGCTTCAAGTACAGTTCTGACACTGCTCCTGACAATGATTGGAATGAAAAGTTCTACTACTATTTTTAGTATTGGGGCTTATTTTTGTTTGTTTGTTTGTTTTTGTTTTCACTAGATGACTCCCAGGACTCACTGTAGCAATTTTTAACAAGAACAATGAGAACCATAATTATTGCTCTCTAATGTAGCACAATGAAACTATAAAGACAAATTTTGTTCCCTTATTTTGTTTTTGATTTTTCCTTTGTATTATCTAGGGAGATACATATAGTTTTCATGCTGGAAATTGTTACTGCAAGGTAGTCTGTGAGTGGCAGTCCCCGCAAAAGGATCTTCGAGGATGGTCGCCCAAAACAGTTTTTAGCCGCAACTGGCAGGGCTTAACTTATGTGCAACCGAGTTTCCTGAGGGGTTGCGAGATGCATATTTCTCGTATGCCTCTTACTGAAAAGCAAAAGATCTCAATGCTTACCTGCTTGCGGATTTTGATACTGGTAGTTGTAAGACATTGGCCACCATTGCTGGGCATTTGCAGAAGGGTCATGATGTCCGCCTGCCCACATCTTCGAAACTACAGTATGGCCTAGCTAGCTATGGAAGTATTCAAAATCATGTCTGACCTTCAAAACCCCACTCAAACATCCACACAAAAACAAAAGGCTTATGTATGTTTAATTCTCATAATATCTTGCTTGATTTTGTAACACTTGGTAACAAAGCATAAATTTCGCAAAATCGCTCCTGCATGTGCTATAAAAATTGCACAACTACAAGAACCACTACAGGTAGTACTGCTAACATTAAAATTACAATAACAAAATCTATGATCAATAGAGTTGTTGTTATATCTTAACATCTGTAAAATCGATCACATATGTTTCAATTACGATAAATAACAACTTAGTGGCTCAATGGAAAAAAAGACAATTGTTATTTCTATGCTTATCCTTTCGCGCGACAAACCTACTCTTGCCGCCATTACGTGGCTAAATGAGAAGTAAGCTTAACTCGCGCGAAGAGACCAAAACCGTTAAATAAAAACATTTCGTTCCCTTGCATGTCCATAAAATGTAATATAAATATTCCTTGACAAATGATCATCGTTTAAAGTCTAAGCAACGCAAGGATAAATAAGCAAAATATACCACAAAGTTCATCGAACGACGGCGTGCCCAAGTTTATACACCTTGCCACGTTTGAAGGTTTGGCTTTCCAGATCGCCTTACAAAGCAATCATTCCTACCTGTATCGATAGATCCGACAAAAATAAAGTCCGTCACTTTTTTTCTTGATGAAAATTAGCGGAAAAAGTCACATTGATGCCCTTATATGTAAAAGCACACAAGGTTCACTGTGAAAACTTCAAGCTTTGCACAACAACTGCACGCTACACTGTGCAACTGCAAGATTACCTAGAGGGGGGCTCATTTGATTGACGCCGTTGTCGTGACTTGTCTCCAGGGTCTTCTCAGTTTCTCAAATCTGTGAGCGAGTTTAGTCGTCACGCAGCCCTCCTGAGGCTTTGAACCCAAAGTGCTAAGAAGCTGGCGACCAGGTTGATCGAAGAAGGTTTCCTTTAATTTTCTTTTCACCTTGCCCGTCGGAATTTCATTAATTTGCTAAGAAAGAAAGGTGAGTTAGAAAAATAAGAAGCTCTCGAAAATTCTTATTTTCATACGAAAATGAATAAAACTATATTCTACCGTCTAATAAATGATGGTATGACTCTGTTTGTGATGACGAGTTTCGCTAAGGAAACTTATGAACAAGACTGAAATTTTGAATCCTTTTCAGGTATTTACAAATTCACGGCCGCCTTGTTACCGACCGACACTCTTTTACAAAGAGAGGGCACGAGAAAGCAAACCCAGGACTCAACGGGCAAAGAAATTGGTTTTATTTAAAGCTATGGTTGGGAACATTTCAAGCACTACAGATCCTTCGTCAGAGTACAACCTCAGTATCAGAGAGGACGGCGCCGAATTCGACGAAGTGTTAGCGTTCAAAAAGTCAGTTTTTCAAACTTTTTACTGTGAAAAAGTTATTTTAGTTAACACATGTACAGTCAGTTGAAAAAAACCAATATTTGGATCATCACTTCGCCTACTACAACGCTTATCAGGGGCACCCAACGACAATTTTCGGAAAATATCTGTTCGGAAGACGATTTCAGATCTAGAATTTTCGGAACATTTTTTGCAAAATTTCTTGCTTGTCTGCCTCTCCTAGAATTTTCGAACATCTAAAAAATGGTATAACTGCCTATTTTTAACGGATTTTTTACCCTAAAAAGGTCACCTACAATTTTCGGAAGCCTTTTTTCTGGCTAAAATTTTCGAAAAGGTACGTTTTGATCCCTATAATTTTCGAATCACTAGACTTTCAACTAGGAAATCCGAACAGATCAAAAATTTTTAGGGGATAAAAATCTGCCTATATTTACCGTTTAAATACTAAAATACGTTTAACAATGCTATGTTTAAGTGGTTTTGAGCTATATTCTCGTTGGGTGCCCCTGGCTTATTAGGGAAGTAACTCCTTTTCGACACTTTATTATTTAATTTATGGACCTGAACCGATAATCTCAAGGTTAGTAAAAGCTTTGAACTGAAAAGAAACATCACAAAAAGATACACGAGTCCAGCTTCGTCGTCAATTTGCATATTTTTACTTCCTTAGTCGGTACATTAGCGGGGCAGACAGCCCTGACAGTTTCGTATGACACAGATTGTTCTTTCAAATGTCAATGCAAAACGTGAAAATAGGAACGTCTAGTTGTTAAGAGCTTGTTTTCAGTTCAGTTCAAAATAGCTAAGTTATATTTAGTTTTCTGTTAGTATACATATCACATTTACGCTGTAAAATCAATTCTTTATCGTTTAACCTTTCATATTTGGATTAACAAAATGCACAACATACTGTAAAAAATTTTCCGCTGACCGCCCTTCTAATTTTCACGGTCATCGAACCTGAATGAAAAGAACACTGACTTTGATTTGTTTACAAGATCCGTTTACGGTTAATTGTATCTGTATTACGAGAGAGTTACAGAGAACAATAATTTTAAAGAAATAAAGGTAAATGTTATAGGCGGCAAACAAGAATTAATGAAAAACTGACATGCCGAACGGATAAGAAAAAGATTTTCAAGAAACGATTTTTTCGAAGACAATTATGCTGAACAAATATCGGGAGTGCGTTTGGCGTTGTAGACAAAAATAATCTCCGTCTTGTACCTGGTCTGTGAGTACTCGCCTTGATTAGCCAAGTTTTAAGCCATGACGGGAAGAAGTGCGGGTTTCAAACAGTTTTGTGTTTTAATTCACTGCGACTGCAGCAGCAGTGCAGTGAAACATGTATCCTGTGAATCGTTTTTAGTCAGTAAATATAATCAAATAGAACAGTTGACTATAATTTCTGTGAAGTCTATCAATCTGGGAACGAGATGCATTCAACACAACTTGCAGCCTAAGCTTCCTGGGGCGTACTGATTTAGTTCTCTCCTTTGTCTCCTCGCACTTTTTTTTCTTAGTGACGCACTCTATATAGCCATTTCGACGATTGGTTAGTTTTATTTTGGCAGAGTTTTTCAATAAATCATTAGAGTTGGACGTATTTACAATGGGAGCCTGCATGGTGAAACCATCGGGAGCAATTTGATCCAAGGGAACGAGAAACTGAAAAGGCTGGAGCGTGCACGGTTTCACTGAAGTTCACCAGGACTAACTGAGCAGTACTCTTCGAAACAAAATAAATGAACGTCAGCTTCAGTTAGGTGTCTACAGAAGCTATGAAAAGTGAACCTATATACCTATGACTTAAAAGCTTATTTTGCTTCCTTCACGAGCAACAAATCAGCTGACAAATATCAGAAATATACCCTTAGATGTATTCAGCTTTTTCTCTCCTCGCCAGATGTTAGCTACACCACGCGCGAGGGGACAATAACCGGTAGTTTAGCGGTAGTGGTGTTCCATAACTGGTTAAATCATAGACTCTAAAAGTCCGTATTGCGTGAAAAGTCGTCTTTCTCACGCTTCGCGCTCGTTCTTGCCGCTTTGTCGCTCATAAAAGTCGACTTATGGGCAATTGTAGATTCCGTTACGGATGCTTTAGTACAGTAACCCAAAGCAAAGTCCAATAAAGTTTATGATCATAAATTAAAGTTGACCAAAAAGAGGATCAGAGAGCTTTCTTGAAAGAAGGAATCGGTTAGTCGGCAAGAAGATTTCGTGAGCGGAATCGCTATTTTGGATAAATTTCGACTGGTTTTGTCTACAAAAAAACCAGCATATTCTCACTATTTCCTGCTAAGGTTACCGCATATCCATGTGATGAGGAGTATACAACATTTCGAAACATTCGAAAACACCAGTCATCTTCCCCTCAACTAGACGCACCACGTGACTTAGCCAGCGAAGACGCGACTGAGAGAATCACGACATGGTCGCCGATCATTTGGGGTATATTTTCATGTTTTCCACCTTTGATTTATTTCTAGCCGGGCATTAACAAAGAACAAGAAGGAAGAGTCATTCCTCCGAAATCAGCTATAGACTACAGGATGTCATTATTATATATATGTGATACTGACAGTGAGATTTCAAAGGTAGGTGTATTACTTAGTCGACGTGGCTTCATCAACGTGTCACACACCAAATCTTAATCTCAAACAGATAGGCTTCGAAATGAATTTAATAGCGTAAGCCTACAACAATCAAGTTAACGAAGGCTTCCATAATTTCGTTCAACCGCAAAAAACAACGAAAAAAAGGAAAATTGGATGGTTCGGTCACTTACATTTTGAAAAATCTCGGGCACTTTCAGTGACTGGTTTAAGTAAAATTAGAGTTAAAGCAGTGGTTTGCTCAGATTGCCTTACATTAAACAGTGTAAAGATTTAATTTCAATTCCCTCATTTGTGGACATTATTCAGCAGCGCGATTTTCTCTGTTGAAAGTAAACATGCCAATACATAGATTTGCTTTTATGTTTGTGTTTTCATAGACTTGGCAGACATGACAGTTTTCTTACAAGTTTGCACAATAAAAGTATCGATTTTGTGTCATCTTTAATTTAGGGTATTTTCTGTTCAAGAGAGCTTTTGCTTAGCATTTAAAGTTATCATCGAACTGAATTGAAAAACTAATTCACGTTTACTACATGTATTTCAAATCTTACTGAACTCGGCCTTTTTTTTCAACTCCACCATCGACGGGATTTTTCTTGTTGCGGCCAAACATCAAGTCAAGTTTCTCTAAACTAAGTGATCTGAGCTGATCTATAATTAAAATGTAATACATGTATATGGAAATAATGAGAGGTAAAATTATTTAGTGCAAAAGGAAACTATATATTTCTATGCTTAGATTCAGCAAGTTACGTTCACGACGTTTCTGTAACAGGTGAATTAAGAGTGAGGATAAAAAACATCAGGCCACCGTAATAAAGTGCACCCAACAAACTTGAATAATCGTGGGATTTCTTCGACAATTCCTGCATGAGAGAAAGGCAATTCGAATTAGTTTTAGTCTTCGATAAACGAAAACCTTCCTATCACGTTCGGTTATTTTCACAACCGTTTTTGGCAATAAAAACTTAATAGTTGTTCGGAACGTCTGGTGTCAACTTTTCACATATATTAGAGTGCGTTCCACGAGATTTTGTGTATATAGCGAGCAGTGGTTGCGCGCTTATCGTCTCGAATGCTTTTTTGTGAGAAAGGTAACTTATTCGGCGCAAAATCTTCGTCTTTTTCGTCTTCTTTTATTTGTCCACTTGACAGTTAACACGCCTAGGGCATAGCTTTCCTTATTTATGATTTTCTGTTTTCTTGTTAACGTACAGATTGACTTCGTCGGCTGAACGTAATTTTGTAACATTTATACAAAGACTGAAGCGCGCTCTACAGTAATGAGTCAGATGATAGCAAACCGGAATAATCAGAGACTCGTCAAATAATTTTGTAGAGGGACTGAGAGAATTATGAATCAGGAAAATTTAGAATTACAATTATGGTCCAAGATAAAGATTAATCTTGCGTATTATTTTGTACAATGATACTCTTCTCTGTTTAGGGTCTGATGGAAAACACAAAAAAGCTCGTAGTTCTTTTTTCTGGTGGTGCCGAAGAACACTCAGCTAGAAGAGGGTTACTCTTACATGTCATGTACTCTGTTCTTGTTATTATTTTTTTAATGACTTGTGAGAGCTGCCGCGTTATGACCATGCTCAGGATTGCTTCTTAACCTGAAATCTATGCCTATTAACAAATATCGCAAGACAACACAAATAAGGAAGGACTAAGCCATTTTACGAACAATTTTATTACCATATAATGGTTTGAGCATTTTGATCGATCTTACAAAAATCATTAATCAGTATATTTCTTGTGGTAAATATCTCCACATCGTTTCTTCTAGACATTTTCTCGAGCTATATTTCATATATTTATTAGACATCGTGATTTATTTCGGAATATTTGATAAGGTTCTCAGTAAACATTTCAATTTTTTTCAACCTTTTTAAGTACAAATCAGTTATTTTTCGAGAAAGTACCGAGACATTAACATTGACCTAATGAGTAAAGCGTAGAGTAAACGTTAATTTTACACGAAAAAAGCTGAAGTTTGCATTGGTTTCAAGAAAAACAAGAAATGTTCACATATATCGAACAATAGATAATGGTAGACAAAGTAAATAATAAAGAAGATAAATAGATTTACCTAGCCACGGAAATCATTCACTGGGCAAGTGTTCCTCAAGTGAGGGATCAAGAAACACTGCTGATAGACCCTGGAAGGGAAGAGAAGCTTTGGAAGAAATTGGTAAGAAAATAAGCCTTAAGTCTTAGACTTCACATCGTCCTTCGAAACTAATTATTTTTCCTTTGCAGTTTCAGAGTGATTTTCTCCGAAGATGTTTCGATCGTGTCCACTGTTTTTCCTCTTGCTTGTCCTTTTACTGGTAAGTTTACTGCTGAGTTATGTGATGTTACTATCCCCTTGTCAGTTAATTCCTGATAGGCCATTTTCGCGATGACATCATTTGACTACAACTTCCAGACTTCAATTCGTTTTTGTTTTTGTTTTTAAATTTGTCAATCCCATTGAGTCTTAAAAATACTGATCGCAAATTTTAAAAAGAAAACAGCAGTTAAAAAGTGAAGAACTCTGCTAACTGTTAAGTGAACAAATGATGTCATCATGCAATTGTCCTATTGTCCCCCTTTTATACCCTATATCGCCTGTACTCTCCTGTCCCTCCCTAGCACCAGGTTTCCCCATGTTTCCCCTCCGATACTTCCCTGTATCTTCCATGTAGTCCATGTTCCCCGTTATCTTATCTATACATTCTTGTTCTATTATTCCTTCTACTGGGACCAGGTTTCTGAAAGGCTGGTGAGCGCAAAAGGGATTAAAATTTTACTAGGTGATTGTTTTTAACTCCCGATATGTTAAATTCGATTACCATGCTGTGTTGTTGATACTGGATCTCAGAGCTAAGGCTCAACAATATATTTTATTCTCCCATTACTTTTTCGTGAGCAAGAGGCGTAGGCATAAAATTTGTGTTATCCTTGGGTTAAACTTAATCATCCTTCGATGAACCGTGCCCAGTACTCCGGTGTATTCCCATCGCTTCATGATCCGTTCCTCTCATTTATAATCGCCTTATACTCCCCAATAAATTATCTACTCCCTTGTGTATGTACTTCCATATACCCCTTACTCTTCTACATATCTCCTCTACTCCCTTGTATCATTTTTGCGCTCCCATATATCCCCGTACCCTGCTATATACACCCTCTACTCGCTAGTACCGTCTTTGTTCTCCCATATATCCCCGTACCCTTCTTCATATCCCCTCTACTCCCTTGCATTGTCTTTGTACTCCAATATATACCCATACCCTTCTACATATCCCCTCTACTCCCTTGTATCATCTTTGTATTCCCACATATCCCTGTACCCTTCTACATATCCCCTCTACTCCCTTGTATTGTCTTTGTCTTCCCATATATCCCCGTACCCTTCAACATATCCCCTCTACCCCCTTGTGTCGTCTTTGTACTCCCACATATCCCCGCACCCTTCTACATATCCCCTCTACTCTCTTGTATCGTCTTTGTACTCCCATATATCCCCGTACCCTTCTACATATCCCCTCTACCCCCTTGTATCGTCTTTGTACTCCCACATATCCCCGCACCCTTCTACATATCCCCTCTACCCCCTTGTATCGTCTTTGTACTCCCACATATCCCCGCACCCTTCTACATATCCCCTCTACTCCCTTGTATCGTCTTTATACTCCCATATATCCCCTACCCGTCTACATATACCCTCTACTCTCTTGTATCGTCTTTGTACTCCCATATATCCCCGTACCCTTCTACATATACCCTCTACTCTCTTGGTCTTTGTATTCCCATGTATCCACGTTCTTTTCTACCTACACCCTCTACTCCCTTGTGTAGTCCTTACACTCTTATATATCCCTATGGCTTTTTACGTATCCTCTCTTCTTCCCTTTTTCTCTCTTCTGATAATACCTTTTATGAATTTGCAGGATAACGGTCTTGGAAGTTCCTCGGTGAAACCGCGGAGCAAGCGATCTTATCACCGTCATTCAACAAAGTTATCAATAAAAGACCTTGCTCTTGAGCTGGCAAAAAAACATGTAAGTAGCATTCAAAAATTAGATAGCACATTAAGTACTACTGTAAATGGTCTTAAGCCTTCTTTTCCATGGCAGTTTCAATTCAACTTAAGTGTTTTTTGTCTCATCTGAATCTAACTTATTTGCTAGTTTCCAGGCCATTTTATCATGATCACCTGTTCGGAATTTTCTCCAGTGGCGGATCCAGAGGAGGGACCCGGGAGACCCGCCCCCCACCCCCACCTCTTAATTTAAGACCAAACGGAGGCCCGAAGAGCCGAAAAAAATTTTTTAGAGACCGACCCCCTCCCCCCCTCACATATTATCTCAGGGTCTGGATGACTACCCCCTCTCACTTATCTGAAGGTCCGGATCCGCCAGTGAACTCTACCTAGGCCTCCTCAGTTTTGAGCGCGGTAATGCGATTTCACGACTCACGAGCTACAGCCAAGCAGGTAGTTTCACTTTTTGAAACTTGCTTTCAGAATTGCTGTTGATAGTTAGTTTCTTTACATTGTGGGCTGTTGGGAATATACGCTGCTATAGTGTTAATTCTAAATGACAGGTGTCTCTATGATCCGTTCCTCCTTTTCACATTTTTAGTTGCTGAAGATGATCATCAATGAGCAGCATGACCTGGACAAAGCCAAGGAGAGTGTCTACATTCTTCAGAGAGGTTTGTTTTCCTTTGTTTTCGGCGCCCAAACAAGGTTTCTTCATCACTAGACCACGTTATCACGGGTTATTAACTACGCAAAACAAAGTCTACAAAGATACAACATGCATGCGCGAATTGTGACGGTCTCATTTACCAAGTACAGGAACTGCAAATGGGAGATCAAACAGTGGATGTTAACTTTGTCATCAAAGCAGAAAACTACTTTTTAGTGGCCACCTTAGTGTCCTTCTGTTCACACTCCGAACTTGCTTTTAAACCCAATTTCATTATAAAACCATTTTTTAAAATTTGTCAAGGTGGACACAAAGATCACTTCACTGTATATAACACACAACTTTCAAGAGTAAGTTGTTTGATGACCTCCGGAGAAGTGTATTTGAGGGTTTTATACACCTGCACTTATGCCGTAGTCAATGACCGTTGGGGCGCCACAGACGTTGTAACCCTCTCCCTCCATTTTATTTTGTTTCCAGCTTTTCTTCCGGCATGGCAAAACTTCAACCCTGTCCATTCGGCGATGTTGTTTTCCCAACGCTTCATTTGTCGGCCCCTTCTTCTCCCTCCTTGCACTGTTCCTTGTAAAATCGCCTTAGCAAGCCCTGATGATCTTGATACATGCCCAAACTACTTTAGGGTTTTACAGGTGTCTATAAAAGATGTAAATGTTTTGTTTCGGTGGGCCGAAGCTCACTTGACTCTCTTTAAAGGCACTCCAATAAAAGCTAATAAAAAATCAGAAAAATGACAAAGATAGTGCAAGTTATATCACAAGATCTGAGGACAGAAATGGGAGCTAGTCGTCCGGAGTTTGACGCGCGTACCGCGGTCACATTACCTCCATAACTGACGTTTTACTATTTGATAATCTGCTAGGAAGTTATCATCAGACACTGTGTCTATTCCTTGCAGATAGCTGCACCCACATTAAGTCTATTGGCAAACCTGTGACTCACAACAATCGGCACCATACTCAAGGAGCATGGATGAAAGATCCGCTAGGAATCATGGGTACTGAGACCATATTTGTTATGGAGTACTACCACGCTAACGTACTTGAAGAATTTCAAAACATGGACATGTTCAAAGCAGGCATCGCTCGTAAGAAGTACAAACTGCCTTACACGTGGGACGGAACAGGAGGAGTGGTGTATGGACCTTACCTTTACTACAATAGGTAACTTTCTACTTTTACTTAAATATTTATACTTGGCAAAGGTTGCCCATCGCGCCAAGGTAAAATAATGAAATAAAAAGAATCATGTAATTAAATAAATAAAATCTGTTTCCGAACAGTGTGGACCAAAGAACAAATGTCCAAAGACTTTGTACTTGTCATACCTGTATTCATTCAATCTGAGTTGAGTATAGCCAACAGCAAAACGAGAGGCAAAAGGAGATTATTTCTTGGACTATATTTTAGCAGTGAAACTGTTTTCTGTCCTCTCCAGTGTATCGCTTCACACCGAACCATTGTTCAAATCTCAATTCCTAGACGACCTAGACGCCGTTAGCAATTATTCGGTAACATTAATTTTATATGAGATTGCATTAATTGTCTAATATTTGTAAAGTAAACAAGTGACCGTCTTTTAAATGATATATTATTAAATGAGGCTGAGTATAATGTGAAGAATTATACAGGTCGAGGAGAAGGGTGGAGGACTTTAACAAGTTATAACACCTCCTCGAGGACTTTCTTCAATACTTTGGCCTGGAGGGGGGGGGAGGGGGGGGCGGTGGCCGGTCATCCTATGCAAATCGGAAGAAGAAACAGTGATTTCGCAATCAAAAAACTGAAATTAAACAAAGCCCCAGGGTGTGGTAAAATATTAAATGAAGTGCTAAAAACCGGGAAAGATATCATAAAAGGTCATCTACTAGAGTTATTCAATCGTATTTTAAGTTCAGGTAAATATCGTACGCTCTGCAGTTTTGGCCTCATCGTCCCTATACATAAAAAGGATGATCGATCAAAAGCTGAAAACTACCGAGGCATCACGTTGCTCTCTGCATTAGGTAAACTCTTCACATCCATCCTCAATGATCGATTGTATGCTTACTTGACCAAAAAAGGAATTCTAAAAGCAGAACAAGGCGGGTTTAAAAAAAGGCACGGTAACGCATATAGCATCTTCATCTTAAAAACACTCATAGATAAGTTTGTTAAATCTAAACCACAAAAACGCAGAAACTTGCTTTTCTCGTATTTTGTAGATTTTAGAAAAGCTTTGATCGCATACCCAGGCAAAAATTAGGGCGTTTTTTAGAAATAACAAGTCCTCAAATTACTCTTCGTTTAAGTATGGAGTAAATAAACTAAACAATGCTAAATCTTATAAATATCTGGGAATGACGCTGAACCCGTATGGAAATTTTAGTTTAGTTAGAGAAGAGTTAAAAAACGTTGGGCTTAAGGCACTTTATAAAGTAAGAAAAGAAATGGGTGACAACTTTAGAGAAAATATTATGCTGACGATTAAGCTATTCGATGCTCTGATATCCCCCATACTTCTCCTACGGAAGCGAAATTTGGGATGTTGACTGTAATGACCAAATAGAAAAAGATCCCCAAGAACTAGTTCAAATTAAATTCTTGAAATGGTTGCTAGGTGTAAATAAACACTGCAGCAACAATGCATGTCAGAGGCTGAAACAGGAAGATTCCCAATAAAAATCGAAGCACAATATAGGAATTTTAAGTTTTGGCTAACTCTAACCAAACACCTAAAACACAAATTATCACAGGTGGTTTATAATGATATAAAGTCGAGGATGAATAAGGAATTATGGAGCCAAAAAATCAAACGCGTATTAGACCAAGCTTGCCACGTTTGGTATCGAGTTGCACTCAAACCGATATTGCTTTCATCTAACGATATCTTTGAAATCTTTCAAGCCCATTCATTCCCGTACTATAATTTTTCTCCTACCGCACTGATACTTACAATTGGTGGTGTTTTTTGTTGTTGCATGACAGAGCAGGTACGAACAACATCGTCAAGTATAATCTGCAGACTGAGCGTGAGGAAAAACAGATAGGCTTGCCTGGTCCAGCGAGGAAGACCAATTACCAGTGGGGTGGTTACACTCAATTTGATCTCGCGGTTGACGAACAAGGATTATGGGCCTTATGGGGCTACAGTGGTAACAGCTACAGACTGAGAGCGCAAATGATAGATGTATACAGAGGAACCATAACCCACGCTTGGCACTTAAGTTCAGGTACTATAACACTAAAGAGCTCCTAAACTAAATACAAAATGCCGTGCAGTATTATAAACAAGGCTAATTTTGACTCCGTAAACGGAGTCAAAATCATTCCGTCCACTCTCAAATGTGTATATCATTGGCTAATTGTTTTAAGGTACCATCCACCCCTCAAAACCTTGCTAGCGATTGTAGTTCTAATAATTACCCCTACAAACCGTACATTTGCAGGTTACAAATAATTTCTTTTAAAAATTCAAAATTAACGCATTTCAGAAACAATGTTAGTTTGCCAAAGTAGATGGCAGTAGTGAACCCGATGAGATCGCATTGCCTCTTTACATGTTTGACTACAAAACCCTGCCTCAGATCTTCGTCAACTGCATTTGTTCTTTCGTTATGAGCAGATGAGGTTAGGGATGACAAGCCATTAGTAATACCCGTGAAAAAATAATATTAATATAACTCGGGAAAACAAAAAAAAAGGAAAGAAATTAAAACTCGCAGACACAGTTTTTAGAATAACTAACTGACAGAAAGGTCACTTGGCCAAATTTCCGCCAATTGGGTCACGGGTTATCGACTTGAAGCTCAAAATGTACGCTCAACACGAGTTGGCCCTATTTTCATTTCGAGTAAAAAGGGAAAATAAGTAGATTCCTCAGTCAATAGAGTGTTTTCACATGACGTTACTGCGGCCATATTGGTGTTCCAAAACAATAAAACGGCGGCCATGTTGGTGTCCCAAACCAATCCTGTGGAAGTTGAACTCATTTCTTATGCAAACGCTTTCTTTTGTTCCAATACATTTGCATAGATGCTGGCCATGTGAGTGAAAACACTCTATGAAATTAATTAGAATATAAAATATTTTTCGCCACATAAGTCAGCGCAAATATAAAATTTTTTCGCTATTTTTTTAAAAAGAAAGTTCTGGACGAGTTCTATCTAATTATCTTTAAATTATAAATTTGAAAAAAATGATGATTTTTTTTTACCATGGGTGATACCTTTAAACTGAATATCATTTAACTTGGCAAGTCTGCATTACTCATTCAATTGAAGAGTCAACTTTGCTCACTGTAGTGGGAGCTAGTTTAATTGACTTATTCCGAGTGTCCATTTAATATTATTTTGCAGAAGCTATGAGCTCAATGGGAAATGCTTTTGTGGCCTGTGGGGTGATCTACTGTATTGACTCCTATAACTCCAGGACAACAACCATCAACCGTGCTTTAGACACCAAGACTGGAAAACAGTGGAACCCCAACATTCAGTTCACCAATCAGTTCGGCTACAATTCCATGGTGGCCTACAACCCCAGAGAAAGAGTGTTGTACGCCTGGGACAACAAGCGTTTGGTCACTTATCCCATCACATTTGAGAAACATTAGGCTGATTACTGGATCAGCAGGTGATGGGTTTGAAAACAATCTGATATTTTAAAGGGATGCTTTGCTATTAAAAGGAGAAAATGGGGCAGTTCACAGCAACTCAAGAAACTCAAGAAACAACTGAACAACTATATTGAACTATGCAGCCGGCGTGGCAGGCGCCAAAAAGTGTGACCGCTTTTGATTTATTCACATTCTTTCGTGCAGATTTAATCCAATCAGAAGACAGCTGGAAACTGTCCTCGACTTCTGATTGGTTAATGAAAGAATGTGCGTTAATTAAAGGAGGTCACACTTTTGGGCTCCTTGCTGAAATAACACCTGTAAGTAGTCCAAACGTCCACACACCATACAGTCCAATATTGTAAAGTTGTTATCGAATAATTATATCAACCGCTCAAAATTTCAGTGGTGGCCAGTTTAGTGGCGGAATTTTACTGAAATTGTTGGGTTTTTTTGTTCTTCTTTTCTCAGCGGTCTATTCGGTTTTGGGCATAAAGCTTACGGAAGAATGTGTCATGGGATCAAACGCGCTTATGTGATCTGGCCTCATTTTGTCATTAATTAATAAACTGCTGTTAGCACTGGCATGATTAATTAGTTAAATAAAAGTGGTTAAAACGAATATGCAGCTTATTTTGGGAGTTGTTGTTTTTTCTTTGCGCAACGACAATGCCTGAAACAACGAGTGATTAAAAGTACAGGGCGAAAAGAAAAGAAATCAGTTGGACTCAATCTTTGATTGCCTAATGCCGTAAACGACTTGTCCTAAGGATTTTCCCTTTGTCAAACCCTGCCGGTTGCTAGAAGGCCCTAGGATTGCTAAAACCAAATACAACCTCTTGAACCAGTGAGCGTAGATTCTAGCTGATTCGGTAGCGTCCCTTTTTTTGGAAGGTGAGATTGTCTGTAAACTAACTAGTAGACTGTTGCCTGCAGGCTAAAAACACGGCACTGTCTTTAGAGCTTGTCAGATGTACAGTAGCACCTTTTGAATAGGAGTGAGTGGGAGGGGGCGGGGAACGCGGTTACTCCGCAGTTAAAGTCAGGGTGAAGATCGAAAGAGGGCAAAAAACCCCCCCCCCACCCCCCACCAAAGAAAAATTACATCGACCAAAAATTAATCGCAGGGAAAAAAAAAGAAATCCCATGCTGAATTTCTGATCCTTTAGTGAAATTTTTCCGCAAAGGATTAAATGATATAACACACAGAAAATGGACATGGGATGTTTGTGGCGGTTAATTCATTGTCCCCCCCTCCCCCACAATCCCTGCTTAAATCAAGGCATCCACAAAGCACTCTCCAGATTTTACTGCCCAAAAAAATAGAATGGAAAACTTTTAAAACTTCCCAAAATACATCAGTCATCTCCGACACATTAACTTCGACTCCACCCCTCCCTGGGACTTTAATGGATTAGATTTCTTCATTACTTGTAATAGTGTGTTCAAAGATTTTGAACAAATACGCCGCAGAACTTGAAGGACAAGTGAGTTTGGCCATGCCCACAAAGTTTTCCTTTTCCCATGCATCGCCCGCTCATTCCACCAAAAGCGGGTCACTTGGTTGATTGAGGAACAGGAAGCTATTTAGTCTTTTGAGCTAAATCTACATGACTATCACTCCTACTTTAAGAAATAAAAACTCAGATTCTCTCCTTCCCTGCATTGTCTGCATTGTTTGCTTTGAAGAAGTCGCGTGTGGCTTCGTGAAGTTTCAGACAACCTATTAAAATGTGCTGGCGTCTCAGGGATCAGGCCTCTGTTTAATTACAACCTCTTAAAATAACTTAAGTGAAATTCACATATCCCATATTGCCATACAGTTAACTAAAGGTAGTTTTTGGTGACGATCTACATGGAAACTCATTGTAAACATCGGCGGAAATAAATCTTTCCACGGTGGGCAGTCGGCAAAAAAAATCCTTCCATGTACAGTTCACCTGACCATCTCTACACCGAAGGCACAAAGCAGGTCGTCCGTAATAAATAAGAGGTGCTCCGGACGGCTTTATGGAGGTCCTCGGCGCCTTTAATTTGATGCCACATTTTTACAATATCATTGACATTTTTTAAACTAGTATTCTGAGTTATTGGCGCTTCGGTCAATTCATCCACGCCACAGCGCGAAAGAAAAAGAATCAGGCCTTCATTTATAAATTTCTATAGACTGCAATGCAGCTGTATTTTTGGGAGCGGGCGACGCCTATGTTCGTCGGTAGTGCCGTGGCTGCCATCTTTGATTTTGTGTCTGAGAAAGATTGGGGAGTGCAGCATCCATTGGATAGATCGCTTACGGCGAAAACACAAGGTGGAGTGAGTGAGGGCCAAATCCTCTATTTTTTATAATTCAACATTGCGTTACGCGGTAGAACGTCATCTCATGCGCACCCTAAAGAAAACACCTACAATACACTGGGCTACAGATTCTTTTATCTATATCGTAATTTTACTGTAAATGCACGGTAAAGTGAATCGCCGAGATCGACGTTGGGGGCCACATATCTACCGCTAAAACTTCCTTTTTTAAAAATGAAGATATGATCGTCGCAACAGTAAGTGCAATTTAAGCAATTACAAATTAACCCGAAAAAAATTTCGGCACTTCAACGGGATTCGAAACCCATAGCATCTGCGTTAGCGCTGCTGTGCTCTAAACAATTGAGCTATAAAGACCCGTACATTGCATTGGGAGCAGGAAAATTTGTTGAGTTCATCTTAACCCGTGAATGAAATGAAGCAATGAAGATCATGTAAACTGCGGTATTACACATTTGAAGAATGAAGATTTGATCGTCGCAGTGGTCATGATAAGCAAGTGGAAATTACTGAAAACCGAGGAGGGCGACTTAAAAGGCCCTCTGCTATGCCGTGGCTTTACTACCTTATCTACTGATTTCAGCAACGTGCTCATTTTACTCAAAAAAGTAAAAACAAATTTCGGCAACAGTCTGGTTTTACTGTTATCCGATAAACTTCTTTAGTTTCATCAAATGTAAAATTTAAATTTTCGAATAGGGAAAAATTAAGCACACTAAGAACAAAAAAATGGTCAAAAATGGTCAAAAATAATATATAAATACATTGTGGACGCTTTGAACATTGGTGGAAAACTAACGTATGAAGATCGAAGATTTGCATAAACTCATATTTTCATGCTGAGCTGTCATGGAGAGACAAAGAGGTTTATTTTAAATAATGAAATACATTCAATATAAATTAGTTTCAAATAAAAATAATATCTTCCCCACTGGCTGGGACACAAAATGTCAAAATCAAAAAGTCCTTTTTACGATAAGCGTGTTAAAAAAATTCTTTTTATTATTATTCGAAAATTACCGTCACTTTTCAATGGCCTAAATTTCCTGTGTATTTCCTTTAGTTTACGAAACTTGGTATGACCCGCGTGATCGACCTTTTCTTAGTCAAATTCATTAATTGAAATTTTTCACTTACCAGACGAGAGTGTGTCTGCTAAAGACAGCATTTCAGTTGTGAATCTTCTTAGAAAGCGTAAATAATCGGTCTAATTGTTAAGTTTAAGTTCATGCCCAAGTTGATCTGAACGTATTAAACGCCACCGCGCGAAGCGAGCGGCGAGGAACATTCGCGAGCCGCAAAAATCAATCCAATTTGACTTCTTCTCAATCTTCAAGCGGCTCCGCCGCCTTAACACAGCACTCGCCCACTAATCCTACCAGCTACGTACTAGATTACGTCCATCTCAGCTCGCACTGACTTCACCGCGTTACGATCTCAAGTTTCGCGCGAATGAGTGCGTTTCGATGCCTTTTGGCTCTTTCTGAGACTATTTGCATTCAAAACGATGTCATTCATGCGGTGTGAAATCGTACTTTTTTTACATTACTAATGTAGTGTACAGATTTCTTCATAGCATAAAAAATGTTCCGCGATTATTAGCAGCTGCGCCACCGATCGACGACAGCAATGAGACAGTTAAACCAAGGACAAAAATGACTTAAAGTTCTTAAAGTTTTTATACCACTCGCTCACTCGTAGAAGTGGGTCCGGCGGTCGGTAGATTCAGAAAAGTTTCATAAGAAGGTGCTGGATCACGTCGTACACACTGTTAAACTAGCTAAGGGCGTTTAATAAATATTTGACTGTGGACATTTCAATGACATTTAAAAAAGGACGGTACAGGATGGGAAGTTCACTTTCCCGCGTTCAAGGGACCTGTCATGACAAATAAAATTCTCCCTTACAAAAATTCAGGAACTGAAATATTGATATACCGGTATAAATTAATCCAAAATTTCAGCACTGCTCTTTTTCAGAAACTAAATTAATCACTTTTGCTAGAACAGAGATAAAAATGGCAGACCATTGATTTGAGCGATTTTTGCCTTGAAAGCTATATATAAGCCTAACGGCTGTATGTAAAATTTAGTAACAGTTTCAGTTCCAATTCCAGTTTAATTATCCAATCGGTAATCTAATTGTTACCACCTACGGAGCTGAATACAAGTTTTGCCAATGTGGGGAAATCAACCTTATCTTGCCTACACCTCTCTACAGCTTGTTTAAAATAATAAAGACGTGTATATACAGTAGATTACGCCCGGTAACTCGACCTCTGAAGGGAAACTAAAAACAGTTCGAGTTAGACAGCGAGAATTTGGGTTATCGGCTTAAACAGTTAAGTGAAATATTGATCAAGGGAAAGCAAACTTTTAGTCCGAGCTAGCGCCGGGGAATTCGAGTTATCCGAGTTCTAGTTATTGAGGTTCTACTGTACTAGTTTAACAGTTGAACACAATAATATGAAATTTTGCAGTTCACTTCTTCAGCTGCGAACGTTTATTAGTTAATTTTTCCAAACGATTTTCACTTTTTTCTTCCCTATCTAGTACCGGCACCAATTAGGCCCAGTTCCAACGTGGAACCAAACACGTACCGGACCTAATGCATAAATCGCTAATAATTCATTTTCACTGGTAAGAATTGCAGAACATTGTACATCGTGAAAAAAAAAATGAATTGAGACCGACTAATTAAGTTCCTACGTCTGAATCAACCGTCGCATTTCTGGGGGAAAAGTTGGTTTACACAGTAACTAGGATTAATGTCCCGTTTGTTTGCTTTCGCTTTTGATTGCTGAACGGTACAGGTAAAGCGTTCTGGCTTATTCAATAAAAATAACATACTGGTAGAAGCAATTTTGTTCAAGAAATGCAAACCAAAATATTATGAGAGCGAGAGAAAGCGAGAAGAAATGACCTTCACGTAAGGAGCTCACTTCATGGTTCATTTCACTACAGTTCATCACTCAGCAAGATTTATTTAACTTTCCCTATCAAATCTTTCAAAAAACAGGTAGTTAAAGTAAATCGGTACCTGGCAGATTTATTTCCCGGAATTGCTGCTTTAACTTTATTTCCGTAGCCGGCCCTGTCGCTGTCGAAACGGAAGTCGAGTAAATTATGCTTATTATGCTCAGTCAATAGCCATGTGGCTCTTGGCTCAGTGGAGCAAGTCCGTCCCTGCTGTAAAGTGCCGGGATAATTACATTTTCGGTTGTAGCGAAGCCTTTTCAAAGAAAACTCTTTACGGCGATTGGTTATGTTTTGATTACTGTGATCAAATCTTCTTGATTATGTTTGCTAATCGCCTCGAAAATTAATTCGAAGGTGGAAAGATGGAAAAATGGGGCAGTTTCTGGAAAAGTATGTATGGAAGCTTACAAAAGGGATTTTCTGATCGGTCTCTTTGTTTGTTTCGCTTTGGTAAGGAACTTTCTACTTAAACTGATAGACCAATTTTAAACTAAAGGATTTAATTAGTTCCGAGAGAAAACCTCGGAGCCGTTTGAGAAGCACTCTGTCGTGTCGGGATATAAAGAACCCGACTTTCGCGAAAGTCATACTAAGTAATTGTTTTAAATATCTTATTTTATGTCCAAGATTTAACGAACAGAGGATAAAAGGCAGAAAAAGATGAAGAATAGAGAACAGTCTAAGGTAAGTCCTAACTTTAGCTTTTTAATATAGCGACGTGCTAATTTTTCTCCGAAACGAAAAAAAACAAATTTCAGCAACCGTGTAGTGTGAGGTAAAGATGAATTAGTTTGGTAAACTTAAAATTTGAAAGATTCGTATACAGAAAAACTAAGAACACTCAGACAACGAAAACTGGCCACAAAAAGTCAAAAAATAAAATATAATTTTGCCGAAGTCAGTGGAAAACTTAACACGTCTGAGTATAAAGCGGGATTTGCATAAAGGCTTTTTTATGCTAGACTTAAACGAACAGACAAATATGTATTATAATTTTCTAACTGATTTACCCATACATTGCAAAGTCTCAAATTTTATTTTCTTTCGCATCTGGCTTCCGCTTTTAGAATCAAAAGAGTGACAAATTGTCAAAATCAAGAAGTAATTTTGCCGATATAGGTTTCCAAAACAATTTTTGATAAATATTCAAAAACTCGAAAAAAATAGCTCTCTTCAGGGCCTAAATTTCATGCCTTTACTGGCTTGTGATATTTTAGTCTGTTTCCTTTATTGAATTCAGCAAAATCCTCCAGGGAGTGTCTAATAATTATTATAATTGATTTGTGAGTCTATAGAAACTGAATGATAATTCCTTTCTTATTCACTTCACAGTGTTACTGTTAAAAACAACATTTTAGTTGAAAAATCCGGTTAGAAAATATAAATAACTGGTATAATTTTAAAGCTCATCAGAACTTGAAGCGTACATCGGCTCCACTGACTTTACCGCGTTGATCTCAAGTCTCGCACGGGATTACTCGCGCGAATGAACGAATGCGTTTCGCTCAAATGCCTTCTGGCTCTTCCTGAAACTGAAATGCATGCAAAAAGATTTCAAGTTCATGATTTCAAACCATTGTTGTGTGGAATTATATTCTATTTAATGTAATTCTTAGATTTCTCCATTGCAAGAAATATGTTCAGCGATTTTTAGCAGCTAAATAGACCCTTAAAGAAAGAAGTAATGGGAACGTTTTGAGAAAAAAAATAAAAGTCCACTGTGGAAAATTTAGCACGTCATATTTCAGATTTGCATGTGGTTGACAGACAAAGAAGTTTTCTAACTGATTTACGCAGTACAAAGAATCCAAAATTATTATCTTTTGTCCCTGGCTACTGGTATAAGTTTCAAAAGACAGAAAATCTCAGAAACAGAATTATTCAGTTCTCGATATAAGTGTTCAAAACAACTTGTCTAATAAGATTAATATTCGAAAATGCAAATAAAAAAAAAGCGACAAAAACTGGCATATAGCTTGACATTTTAGTCTGTTTCTTTTAATGATATTTTCACTTGAAGTGTTACTTTTTTAGACAACATTTAAGTAGAAAACTCAACCCTCTGAGCGAAAATAATCATTAAATAAATTTAATGTTGGTGGCTAATAGTTAAGCCCATAGAACCCGGTCGTAGCCCTTTCCACTTCACCATGGTCATCCGCGTTTGCTCGAATTGAATAAGTGCGTTTCGCTAACGCCTTTCGACCCTCTCTGATATTGAAAGCAAAGAAGATTTTCTTATCAAGATTTTCATATGGTCATTTGTGGTGCTAGGTCGCTACCACACTATTAATTTACTGTTCAATTTTTTTTGCATTATGCATTCAACGATCGGGTTTTCGATTCGTCTCCAATCGCTCGTTGATTCTGAGTATTAAAAATGTGTTGTTCGTTTGTTAGAAACTTAAGAAAAGACTGAGCCTCATAACTATGCGCCGGATCACGCTGTATAGTTATTATAAACTAAGGTCTTTGAATCGCACAAGAGAAAAATAGATATCCGATGTTACGATTGTCATTAATAAGGCAATACACAATAAAATAAATTAATACTAATCATAGAATCCTAACTATCCTGTACTGAGGTTGTGTTCAAATAATTAATCTATTTAAAAAGGCAGACATGAAACGCACAGTTCATTTTAGGACTGGCACATTGTTTTTAGGGAGATTATAAGAACCGACGTTCTTTGAAGAAACATATGGAGCTAGCGGGTGATAGTATTTATTAGAGGTTACTTTCTTAAAAATTTTACAGTCTTGCTTCTTTTATTAATAAATCCTTAATCAAAAGGGGGTAAGAAATAAAACGGCTCTAACGACATCTAAACAGTTCTATATAATATTGAGATCAGGTTCAGACGCTCCGTATACGGGTATAAACCATAGCTAAAATTAGGTAAAACCAAGAAAGTAAACAAATGATCTATTTCAGCTGGTGAATATTGCTCTTTTCTAAGGGTTCTTAGAACATTAAGACATTTGTTTGCGTTAATTAATTTAAGATTAACATCTGCCCGAAACTTTCAATAACTCGGGATCGTATACCCCAGTAGACTCAACTCCACTGAGGAATGTCAAATACAGGGTTATATTGAGAATTAGTATATACACACTCAGTGATCTTGGTAATTCAAGCAATCTGATTGGTTAGCTATCTCGGACTATGACGTTATATTCACCGCGCTAGGCGGTGAATATAAAGCCGAACAAAATCGCTGTCGTGAACTGGGTGTTTTGCCAAAGTTTCAAAGTAAAACCTTTTTGAAAATACACGAATATCCAAGTGCTGATGACTTTGAAGGCAAGAAAAGACTTCATGGTGTTTAAACAGCGTGATTTATTGTGGAGTGGTTTACTTTAGCTGACTTTTTGTACGCTCGAAGCTATGTTTACCACTACAGAGGAAAACGAGGTCGCTTTGTCACTGTTTTGAGATTTCGGGATTTTCTCGCAAGACCAATTTTGCCTATAAATAGAAGTTAATTTATGGAGAAGAGAGGAAGGCAAATATTTTCGAAAATTGTACGTGCCAGCAAGTTAACACGGCAAAGAACTTTGGAGATAATCAACGCTCACCTTGATCGCAGCCGCTGTTGACAGCATTTGCCAGAAGCGGCGAAGAAAACTTTGTCATTCACGGTGAGTTGACAGAAACAAATAAAGCTCTAGATACTTTGCTTCTCAGAATTGGGTAGTAATTTAAATTTTCGGCGTTTTCTTTTAAACCGTTGATGCTAAAGCTTACAAAACTCGATACAAAAGGATTAAAACTATCATTTGCCATGTTTGAAGATACTGTAAAGATCTAACTTTTGCGCATTCACTGTTTACGGCTTCGTGTTCACGCATGAATTTTCACCCGTCAATCAAACTAATCGTTTTTTAATGGTTTCCTTTCTGATTGTGTTGAGATCACTTCGTGTGAATATACTAAAACAATTATTCACCTCAGGCTCAGTTAATATTGTTGAATAATCCCCTCGACTTCGTCTCGGGGATTATTCAACAATATTAACTTCGCCTTCGGCGAATAATTGTTAATTAATGTTGCGTTCAGTACTTCTGAAGATAAGTTCCGGCTGTACATTTTTTCGGATTGTAAGACATGTTTTTTTCTTTAGACCATGCCATGAAACATCATACTTGGAAACGGCATGTAAAGTATATGACGGTGCAGGTTTTTAAACTAGAAGGCTAACCGATCTTCGATGCAGCGAGAGGCTATTGACAACATTTTAGTATTTACATTAACGAACAAAATCAACGGATTTATTGCAGCGTATGAAACTTAATAATAAGTTTTCCAAAAGCTTTTTCCAAAAGCTTTTGAGTCAATTATTTTCGGTTTATATGGAACAACTTAACAAACACATTTTTATTGACGGCTAATCAGTGTTCGAAAGAGATTATCCCGTCTGGCAGTGTATTATAACAGATTATAGGCTAATAGACGGATATCTTGCCAATCTAGACTAACTATCAGAATCGGTTGTTCTTCAAGTTTCTTGCAATTGTTGTGAATATTAGTTTCTTTTATGAGTAGACACAGTTTTTTCTTGTAATGTATTTAATGTATTTTTATGTATTGTGCTCGAACATGTTAGCTCGCAAGCTGCTCTGACAACATTGGAATGCCTTATGTATCAGGTATGTATGTTGCCTGTGCCGTTAGCCTTTTTGTTTCATATGTTGAGCAAATATCCGAAAAAAAAAATTTTCTTAGCAAAAACTTTCTCGATCTAGTTTTATTTATTTGGTCACTCAAAATATAAGCTTCTCGGACTTCACGATAATTCGATTAACTTTCCCGATAAACTGACGAATCTATTCTCAAGTCAGGCACTTAAAGTCCCAGTTTGTAGAAACTCCCAATATTTTGGACCAATTTAATCTGATTTCCTTATGAAGTTCCAAAACGCCGCAGCATTCCTCTGTATTTCCATTTTTCTAACTGAGCTCAGTGCACAAAAGAAAATTATAATTTTACAAAGTCATGTGCGTCGGTTACCTTATCGTGCGGCTTACATGGGCAATTTTGTCGAGCAGCGTTTTCATTTTATCTTATGTAAAACTAACGTCGATTTAACATGGCAATTTAATCGCAATTTCAAAAGCAATATCTTTTTTCTTTAAAAAATATCATTTTTTGAAACATAGAAATAAGTTCGAAAGGCGCAAATGTGCACTAATCAGACTAACCGTTGCGCTTGGAATACGATCTTTAAGTTAATTGAAAAAGGTAATAATACCAAACAAATTTGACTCAGCTTTTTTACAGGAGGCCTATTTTTTAATTTGAGGTTGTGATGTCGCCATACCCCTAACTTGAGATCAAGCTCTATTTTCGTTTCGGTTGACAAATAAATTTCCGGCGAGAAAGGCGAAACGCGAACGCGTAAGTGAGAATATATGCATTCTAGCCGCTAAATTTGGGCCTGATCTCAGGTTACCATGCCCCAAGTTTGCAAACGACAACATTTACCATGGGTATTACAGTTTCTCCAAAGCAGGATAGGGATAAACTGTACGTACATTACTGCATTTTTCGATCAAAATCGTTTCACTGCGACATGCCTAAGGCAAATCGCGCTGCTATCTCCTTGAAAAATGTGGGAATTTGCAGTTGAGACCAAAACAAAGCTCATGTCGCGCGATAACTGGGGCGATAAATTCTCCCCGTACCACTGAGCCTTTCAGGCCCTGTCAGAAAAGAATTCCGGGAAAAGCAGCTTTGGTGGACTAAGTGTTTCGGTAAGCAAAGATCTCAGTTTACCGCTGTACCGGGTAAGAGATGATCTTGCTAATGCGACATTGGGCAGGCCGAATTTCTACTAGAGATGATTTATCCGTCTCTAGTAAAGATTCGGCCATTATATAAACCTGATCAGCAGTGTTTAAAACGATCTTGAAGAAGGCTCAATTCTGTGACTTTTTCAGTCTGAACGCTTGTACTTGAGTATCATATCTCGATAACACTTGACAGTTAAATTTCTGGCCCTTTATAACTTACTTTAATACCTTCAATTTTTTATAAAACAAAAATAATTATTATTTTTAATTCAGTGACTAGAAGCGCGTATGCAACATTTATTATATTTGTAGCTGTTTCATTTTTGAACACAACATTAATATGCAAAGGCCGAATACTCCACATTCGGAGCGTCTACCTAACATAGTTTATTTGCTTTTTTTGAAATGAAGTTAGCATTGACCTTAATGAGACGAGCAAACGTTAATTTTACAAGTAGACAAAGCGTAAGTGTTAATCAGTCTAAACTAGAACAAGAAAAAGTTCGCATTTTTAAACAATGAATGGTGGTGGGCAAAATAAACAACTGAAGGCAATAAAAAGGTTAACTCAGCCAAGAAAATCATTCACTTGGCAAGCGTGCCTCAAGTGAGGGATCAAGAAACACTGCTGATAGACCCTGATAGGGAAGAGAAGCTTTGGAAGAAATTGGTAAGAAAATAAGCCTTAAGTCTTAGACTTCACATTGTCCTTCGAAACTAATTATTTTTCCTTTGCAGTTTCAGACTGATTATATTTTCTCCGAAGATGTTTCGATCGTGTCCACTGTTTTTCCTCTTGCTTGGCCTTTTACTGGTAAGTTTACCGTGAGTTGTGATGTTAAAATCCCCTTGTCAGTTTCCTAATAGGCCATTTTCACGATTACATCATTTGACAACAACTTCAAGAGTCCATTTTGTTTTTTGCTTTTCTATTTAAATTTGTCAAGCCCATTGAGTGTTGGAAGTATTAATGACCAATTTTACAAATAAAACAACAATTAAAAAGTGAACAACTCTGCTAACCGTTAAGTTAACAAATGATGCCAATCATGCAATTGTCCTGTTTTCCCCCTTTTATACCCCATATCGCCCGTACCCTCCTGTCCCTCCTTAGCAACAGGTTTCTCTATGCTTCCCCTCCGATACTTCCCTGTATCCTCCATGTAGTCCATGTTCCCCGTTATCTTATCTATATATCCTTGTTCTATTATTCTTCCTACTGGCGCCCGGTTCCCGAGAGGACGATGCGCTCCAAAGGGATCAAAATTTTACTACGCAATTGTTTTGAACTTCCCATATGTTAAATTCGATTATCATGGATCTCACAGTAAAGGCTCAACAATATATTTTGTGCTTTTCGTGGGCAAGAGGCGTACGCATAAAATTTGTGTTAGCCTTTTGTTGAACTTAATCATCCTTCGAGGAACCGTGCCCATTACTCCCGTGTATTCCCATACCCTGTTCATACAGTCTTCTCATCTATAATCGCCTTGTACTCCCATAAAAATTATCTACTCCCTTGTATCGTCTTTGATGTAATCCCATATATCCCCGTACCCTTCTACATATACCCTCTACTCCCTTGTATCGTCTTTGTATTCCCATATATCCCCGTACCTTCTACATATACCCTTTACTCACTTGTATCGTCTTTGTACTCCCATATATCCCCGTACCCTTCTACATGTACCCTCTACCCACTTGTATCGTCTTTGTACTCCCATATATTCCCGTACCCTTTTAGATATACACTCTACTCCCTTGTCTCGTAATTGTAATCCCATATATCCCTGTGCCCTTCTACATCTACCCTCTACTCCCTTGTATCGTCTTTGAAATCCCATATATCCCCGTGCCTTCTATATCTACCCTCTACTCCCTTGTATCGTCCTTGTACTCCCATATATTCCCGTACCCTTTTAGATATACCCTCTACTCCCTTGTATCGTCTTTGTACTCCCATATATTCCCGTACCCTTTTAGATATACCCTCTACTCCCTTGTATCGTCTTTGTACTCCCATATATTCCCGTACCCTTTTACATATACCCTCTACTCCCTTGTATCGTCTTTGTACTCCCATATCAGGCCCGTACCCTTCTTCATATACCCTCTACACTGATGTATTGTTCCTGTACTCTTATATATCCCTATAGCTTTTTACATTTCGCCTTTACTTTCTTCTTATAATACCTTTAATGAATCTGCAGGACAACGGCCTTGGAAATTCCTCGGTAAAACCGCGGAGCAAGCGATCTTACCATCACAGTCATTCAAAGAAGTTATCGATAAAAGACCTTGCTCTTGAGCTGGCAAAAAAACATGTAAGTACACTAGAACCTCGATAAAAGGAACTCGGATAAGTCGACCTCCCCGCTAACTCGAATCAAGTCCCATTTCCCTTTGATTTCACCCCACTTTTGAGCATTTTTACTCGGTGAACTCGAACTCTGATAACTCCAATTCCTTGCTAGCTAGAACAAAATTTCCTCTCCCTTTTGATAAAAAATTCACTGAAATTTATCCCAATAACTCGAATTCTGGTTCTTGTAACTTAACTCGGATATATGCCATCTCGTTAGCTCTTGAAACACTAAAACTAACACTAGTCAACACTACAGCAATTTGATTTTGCAAATGATTGGCGGCAACGAACACATCAGTCTCGGTTTACCATAAAAAAATGGATAATCATATCACTGTCTCTGATGAAATAGTAAAATTGCATTGCACTACACACTAATGTGCTGACTGTCTCAATTCAACTTTGTTTTAATTAACTGTTTTTTTGTCGCCATCTCATCTGCGTCTTCCTTATTCGCTACTTTCCAGTCCAATTTATCGCTTGCCGGAGTTTACTCTGACTTTTTTATAAGCCTCATCAGGAAGCGCGGTAATAAGATTTCACGTCGATTTTTTATGTTACAGCCATCAAAGCCACGTAGGCAGTTTCACTTTTTAAAATCTGCTTTTTACTAAGCATGAGGTTTTTGATATTGTGGGCTTTTGGCTGCTATTGTTAATTCTAAATGAAACAAAGTAGTTGTCTTCCGTTCTTCCTTTTCACATTTTTAGTTGCTGAAGATGATCATTAATGAGCAGCATGACCTGGACAAAGCCAAGGAAAGTGTTTATATTCTTCAGAGAGGTTTGCTTTTTGTTTGTTGACTTTGTTGCTTCACACCGTTTCCTTTTATTCTTCGACGCGCAAGCAAATTTTAGGCATCACTATTAGCCTACGTTATCGATGGTTAAAATTAAACACGCAAAGCGAAGTCTATGAATAGTTTTTTTTTCGAATGAAAGCTAACTTGACACTTCAATCGCTTTTACAGGCACCCCAATCAATATCGACAAACAAAGATAAATCAGGTTAAACAACTAGGCGATCTAAAAACGTTCCAAGGTGCTGACATTGCGACTAAGGAGACAGAAAAGGAATTCTGTGAGGAATTTATCATCAGTCATACGTTGTCTATTTCTTGCAGATAGCTGCACTCACATCAAGTCCATTGGCAAACCTGTTATTCACAACGCAAGGTACGTTACTCAAGGAGCATGGATGAAAGATCCGCTTGCAATCATGGGTGCTGAGACCATATTCGTTATGGAGAACTACTACGCTAACGTACTTGAAGAATTTGAAAACATGGACAAGTTCAAAGCAGGCATCCCTCGTAAGAAGTACAAACTGCCTTATTACTGGGACGGGACAGGAGGAGTGGTGTATGGACCTTACCTTTACTACAACAGGTAACTTTGTACTTGTCGTTATTTGTATTCATTCAATCTGAGTAGAGTATAGCCAATTGCAAAGAGATTATTTCTTGGACTATATTTAGGCAGTAAAACTGTTTTCTGTCCTCTCCAGTGTGTCGCTTCGCACCGAACCATTATTCAAATCTCAATCCCTAGACGCCGTCAGCAATTATTCCGTAATGTTAAAATTTATACGAGATTGCGTTATTTTATTTTGTAATATGTATAATGCAAACAAGGGATTAAACGATATATTATTAAATGAGACTGAGTATGATGTGAAGAATTATACAGGTCCAAGAGAACGGAGGAGGAGTTTAACAAGCTTTAAGACCTCCTCGCGAGGACTTTCTGCAAAACTTTGGCTTATTTCAGGTTACAAACCGGTGTTTTTTTCCTGCAGATACTCCTCAAAAAGTAGCATCCATCGAGGGATTTGTTTTGCATATTCCTGCATTTCTTCCGTTCAGTTTTAGTCAAAAATTCAGCTATTTCGTCTTTGGATAGCCGCTGAACACCATTTTTTTAGGCTGCCGCGCCTGGAAACGAGGTTGATCTAAGGGATATTGGCCTGGAAACGAGGCTTCTTGGGCAATACCATCGAATCGATGGTGAATTTCTTTTCAACTGCAAATTAGGTAAACGACGTCTGGATTATTATGAAGAATTAGCTGGGGCATTTGAAAAGGCGAAATACTAGTGAATGAATAAAAAGGGAGTAAAACCTCTTCTTTTATCAGCTAGCTTGCCACGTCAGGTATCGAGCTGTACTCAAACCGATATTGCTTTCACCTAACGACATCTTTGAAAACTTTCAAGCACGTACATTCCGTACTATAATTTTTCTCTTAACGGACTCATACTTTTTAATTGTGTTGTTTTTGTGTTGTTATGGCAGAGGGGGTACGAACAACGTCGTCAAGTACAATCTGCACACTGAGCGCGAGGAGAAACAGATAGGCTTGCATGGTTCAGCGAGGAAGACCAATTACCAGTGGGGTGGCTACACTCAAGTTGATCTGGCGGTTGACGAACAAGGATTATGGGCCTTATGGGGCTACAATGGAAACAGCTACAGACTGAGAGCGCAAATGATAGATGCATACAAAGGAATCTTAACCCACGCTTGGCACTTAAGTTCAGGTACCATATAACACTAAAGAGCTCCTTAAACTAGGTACAAAAATGCCATGCAGTATTATAAACAAGGCTAATGAACTAAAAAAAAAAAACGTTGTTAAATTTATTATTAATTCAGAGCCATTGCAATAACCTGCCAGTAAGTAAAAGGAGTCAACATCATTCCGTCCTCTCTCAAACGCGTATATCATTGGCATCCTTTAATTGTTTTAAGGTATCATCCACCCTTCAAAACCTTGCTAGCGATCGTAGTTGTAATAATTACCCCTACAAACCGTACGCACATTTTCTAAAAGGGAAATAGTTCCAGATTACAAATAATTTCTTTTAAAACTCCAAAATTATTGCGTTTAAGACACGATGTGCGTTTTGCAAAGTAGATGCCAGCCAAAAATTCGCCTCTTTTGCACATTTGACTGCAACTGAAATCCTATCTCAGACCTTTGTCAAGTGCGTTTGTTCTTTCGTTGTAAGCAGATGACGTTAGGGATGACAAGTCATTAGTAATATCCGTGAAAAAAATAATATAACCACGGAAAACAAAAAAGAAATCAAAATTCGCTAACACAGTTTTTTAGAATCACAATCTGACGGTAAGTTCACTTGGCCAAATTCCTGGGAATCGGTTCAACTTGACGCTCAACTTGGCCCGATTTTCATTTCGAGAAAAAAAGGAAAAATCAGTATTAAAATAATTAGAATGTAAAATTTTTTTCGCTACATAAATCAGCGCAAATATAAAATTTTTTCTTTTTTTTTTAACAGGAAAGTTGTCGGCGAGTTCTGTCTAATTATCTTAATAGGCCCTTTGCAGCTTGCATGCCATTCACGTGGTACAAAACCGCCATGTTGGGACGCAAAAGTTGCACTAGGACAAGAAAAACAAAAGAAATTACCATTTAAAATTATGTATGCCTTTAGTTGGTCTTGCCCCATTGCGACTTTTGCGTCCCAACATGGCGGTTTTGTGCCACGTGAATGGCAAGCTGCAAAGGGCTTATTCTGTCTTATTTCTGATCTTTTCATGGGTGATACCTTAAAACTGAATATCATTTAACTTGGCAAGTCTGCATCAGACTCGTTCAACTGAAGTGTCAACTTTGCATACCGTAAGTGGAAACTAGTTTTATTATCTTATTCCGAGTGTCCATTTAATATCACTTTGCAGAAAGGATGAGCTCAATGGGAAATGCTTTTGTGGCCTGTGGGGTGATTTACTGTATTGACTCCTATAACTCCAGGACAACAACCATCAACCATGCTTTAGACACCAAGACTGGAAAACAGTGGAACCCCAACATTCAGTTCACCAATCAGTTCGGCTACAATTCCATGGTGGCCTACAACCCCAGAGAAAGAGTGCTATACGCCTGGGACAACAGGCGTTTGGTCACTTATCCCATCACATTTGAGAAACATTAGGCTGATTACTGGATCAGCGGGTGATGGGTTTGAAAACAATCTGATATTTTAAAGGGATGCTTTGCTATTAAAAGGAGAAAATGGGGCAGTTCACAGCAAGCGAGTTTTACCATGACTCAAGTAACAACTGAACAACTATACTGAACTATGCAGCCGGCGTGGCAGGCGCAAAAAAGTGTGACCGCTTTTGATTTATTCACATTCTTTCGTGCAGATTTAATCCAATCAGAAGCCAGCTGGAAACTGTCCTCGACTTCTGATTGGTTGATGTCTGCATGAAAGAATGTGAGTTAATTAAAGGAGGTCACACTTTTGGGCTCCTTGCTGAAGTAACTTCCTGTAAGTAGTCCAAACGTTCACACACCATACAGTCCAACATTGTAGAGTTGTTATCGAATAATTATATCAACCGCTCAAAATTTCAGTGGCGACCAGTTTAGTGGCGGAATTTTACTGAAATTGTTGTTTTTTTCTTCTTCTTTTCTCAGCGGTCTATTCGGTTTTGGGCATAAAGCTTACGGAAGAATGTGTCATCGGATCAAACGCGCTTATGTGATCTAGCCTCATTTTGTCATTAATTAATAAACTGCTGTTAGCACTGGGATGATTAATTAGTTAAATAAAAGTGGTTAAAACGAATATGCATCTTATTTTGGTAGTTGTTGTTTCTTCTTTGCGCAACGACAATGCCTGAAACAACGAGTGATAAAAAGTAAAAGGCGAAAAGAAAAGAAATCAGTTGGACTCAATCTTTGGTTGCCTAATGCCGTAAACGACTTGTCCTAGGGATTTTTCCCCTTGTCAAACCCTGCCGGTTTCTAGAAGGCCCTAGGATTGCTAAAACCAAATACAACCTCTTGAACCAGTGAGCGTAGATTCTAGCTGATTCGGTAGCGTCCCTTTTTTTGGAAGGTGAGATTGTCTGTAAACTAACTAGTAGACTGCTGCCGGCAGGCTAAAAACACGGCACTGTCTTTGGAGCTTGTCAGATGTACAGTAGCACTTTTGAATAGGAGCGAGTGGGAGGAGGAGGGGAACGCGGTTACTCCGCAGTTAAAGTCAGGGTGAAGATCGAAAGAGGGCAAAAAATCCCCCCCCCCACCCCCCACCAAAGAAAAATTACATCGACCAAAAATTAATCGCAGGGAAAAAAAAAGAAATCCCATGCTGAATTTCTGATCCTTTAGTGAAATTTTTCCGCAAAGGATTAAATGATATAACACACAGAAAATGGACATGGGATGTTTGTGGCGGTTAATTCATTGTCCCCCCCCCTCCCCCACAATCCCTGCTTAAATCAAGGCATCCACAAAGCACTCTCCAGATTTTACTGCCCAAAAAAATAGAATGGAAAACTTTTAAAACTTCCCAAAATACATCAGTCATCTCCGACACATTAACTTCGACTCCACCCCTCCCTGGGACTTTAATAGATTAGATTTCTTCATTACTTGTAATAGTGTGTTCAAAGATTTTGAACAAATACGCCGCAGAACTTGAAGGACAAGTGAGTTTGGCCATGCCCACAAAGTTTTCCTTTTCCCATGCATCGCCCGCTCATTCCACCAAAAGCGGGTCACTTGGTTGATTGAGGAACAGGAAGCTATTTAGTCTTTTGAGCTAAATCTACATGACTATCACTCCTACTTTAAGAAATAAAAACTCAGATTCTCTCCTTCCCTGCATTGTCTGCATTGTTTGCTTTGAAGAAGTCGCGTGTGGCTTCGTGAAGTTTCAGACAACCTATCAAAATGTGCTGGCGTCTCAGGGATCAGGCTTCTGTTTAATTACAACCTCTTAAAATAACTTAAGTGAAATTCACATATCCCATATTGCCATACAGTTAACTAAAGGTAGTTTTTGGTGACGATCTACATGGAAACTCATTGTAAACATCGGCGGAAATAAATCTTTCCACGGTGGGCAGTCGGCAAAAAAAATCCTTCCATGTACAGTTCACCTGACCATCTCTACACCGAAGGCACAAAGCAGGTCGTCCGTAATAAATAAGAGGTGCTCCGGACGGCTTTATGGAGGTCCTCGGCCCCTTTGATGCCACATTTTTTAAACTAGTATTCTGAGTTATTGGCGCTTCGGTCAATTCATCCACGCCACAGCGCGAAAGAAAAAGAATCAGGCCTTCATTTATAAATTTCTATAGACTGTAATGCAGCTGTATTTTTGGGAGCGGGCGACGCCTATGTTCGTCGGTAGTGCCGTGGCTGCCATCTTTGATTTTGTGGCTGAGAAAGATTGGGGAGAGCAGCATCCATTGGAATAGATCGCTTAGGGCGAAAACACAAGGTGGAGTGAGTGAGGGCCAAATCCTCTATTTTTTATAATTCAACATTGCGTTACGCGGGCAGAACGTCATCTCATGCGCACCCCAAAGAAAACGCCTACAATACACTGGGCTACAGATTCTTTTATCTATATCGTAATTTTACTGTAAATGCACGGTAAAGTGAATCGCCGAGATCGACGTTGGGGGCCACATATCTACCGCTAAAACTTCCTTTTTTAAAAATGAAGATATGATCGTCGCAACAGTAAGTGCAATTTAAGCAATTGCAAATTAACCCGAAAAAAATTTCGGCACTTCAACGGGATTCGAACCCATAGCATCTGCGTTAGCGCTGCAGTGCTCTAAACAATTGAGCTATAAAGACCCGTACATTGCATTGGGAGCAGGAAAATTTGTTGAGCTCATCTTAACCCGTGAATGGAATGAAGCAATGAAGATGATGTAAACTGTGGTATTACACATTTGAAGAATGAAGATTTGATCGTCGCAGTGGTCATGATAAGCAAGTGGAAATTACTGAAAACCGAGGAGGGCGACTTAAAAGGCCCTCTGCTATGCCTTGGCTTTACTACCTTATCTACTGATTTCAGCAACGTGCTCATTTTACTCAAAAAAGTAAAAACAAATTTCGGCAACAGTCTGGTTTTACTGTTATCCGATGAACTTCTTTAGTTTCATCAAATGTAAAATTTAAATTTTCGAATAGGGAAAAATTAAGCACACTAAGAACAAAAAAATGGTCAAAAATGGTCAAAAATAATATATAAATACATTGTGGACGCTTTGAACATTGGTGGAAAACTAACGTATGAAGATCGAAGATTTGCATAAACTCATATTTTCATGCTGAGCTGTCATGGAGAGACAAAGAGGTTTATTTTAAATAATGAACACATACATTCAATATAAATTAGTTTCAAATAAAAATAATATCTTCCCCACTGGCTGGGACACAAAATGTCAAAATCAAAAAGTCCTTTTTACGATAAGCGTGTTAAAAAAATCTTTTTATTATTATTTTCGAAAATTACCATCACTTTTCAATGGCCTAAATTTCCTGTGTATTTCCTTTAGTTTACGAAACTTAGTATGACCCGCGTGATCGACCTTTTCTTAGTCAAATTCATTAATTGAAATTTTTCACTTACCAGACGAGAGTGTGTCTGCTAAAGACAACATTTCAGTTGTGAATCTTCTTAGAAAGCGTAAATAATCGGTCTAATTGTTAAGTTTAAGTTCATGCCCAAGTTGATCTGAACGTATTAAACGCCACCTCGCGAAGCGAGCGGCGAGGAACATTCTCGAGCCGCAAAAATCAATCCAATTTGACTTCCTCTCAATCTTCAAGCGGCTCCGCCGCCTAAACACAGCACTCGCCCACTAATCCCACCAGCTACGTACTAGATTACGTCCATCTCGGCTCGCACTGACTTCACCGCGTTGCGATCTCAAGTTTCGCGCGAATGAGTGCGTTTCGATGCCTTTTGGCTCCTTCTGAGACTATTTGCATTCAAAACGATTTCATTCATGCGGTGTGAAATCGTACTTTTTTTACATTACTAATGTAGTGTACAGATTTCTTCATAGCATAAAAAATGTTCCGCGATTATTAGCAGCTGCGCCACCGATCGACGACAGCAATGAGACAGTTAAACCAAGGACAAAAATGACTTAAAGTTCTTAAAGTTTTTATACCACTTGCTCACTCGTAGAAGTGGGTCCAGCGGTCGGTAGATTCAGAAAAGTTTCATAAGAAGGTGCTGGATCACGTCGTACACACTGTTAAACTAGCTAAGGGCGTTTAATAAATATTTGACTGTGGACATTTCAATGACATTTAAAAAAGGACGGTACAGGATGGGAAGTTCACTTTCCCGCGTTCAAGGGACCTGTCATGACAAATAAAATTCTCCCTTACAAAAATTCAGGAACTGAAATATTGATATACCGGTATAAATTAATCCAAAATTTCAGCACTGCTCTTTTTCAGAAACTAAATTAATCACTTTTGCTAGAACAGAGATAAAAATGGCAGACCATTGATTTGAGCGATTTTTGCCTTGAAAGCTATATATAACGGCTGTATGTAAAATTTAGTAACAGTTTCAGTTCCAATTCCAGTTTAATTATCCAATCGGTAATCTAATTGTTACCACCTACAAGTTTTGCCAATGTGGGGAAATCAACCTTATCTTGCCTACACCTCTCTACAGCTTCAGTTCAAAATAATAAAGACGTGTATATACAGTAGATTACGCCCGGTAACTCGACCTCTGAAGGGAAACTAAAAACAGTTCGAGTTAGACAGCGGGAATTTGGGTTATCGGCTTAAACAGTTAAGTGAAATATTGATCAAGGGAAAGCAAACTTTTAGTCCGAGCTAGCGCCGGGGAATTCGAGTTATCCGAGTTCTAGTTATCGAGGTTCTACTGTACTAGTTTAACAGTTGAACACAATAATATGAAAATTTTGCAGTTCACTTCTTCAGCTGCGAACGTTTATTAGTTAATTTTTCCAAACGATTTTCACTTTTTTCTTTCCCATCTAGTACCGGCACCAATTAGGCCCAGTTCCAACGTGGAACCAAACACGTACCGGACCTAATGCATAAATCGCTAATAATTTATTTTCACTGGTAAGAATTGCAGAACATTGTACATCGTAAAAAAAAAAATGAATTGAGACCGACTAATTAAGTTCCTACGTCTGAATCAACCGTCGCATTTCTGGGGGAAAAGTTGGTTTACACAGTAACTAGGATTAATGTCCCGTTTGTTTGCTTTCGCTTTTGATTGCTGAACGGTACAGGTAAAGCGTTCTGGCTTATTCAATAAAAATAACATACTGGTAGAAGCAATTTTGTTCAAGAAATGCAAACCAAAATATTATGAGAGCGAGAGAAAGCGAGAAGAAATGACCTTCACGGAAGGAGCTCACTTCATGGTTCATTTCA